TACAGCCCGCGCGCGCGGTGCGTACGTACAGCGCGCGCGCTCCGCGCGTACAGTTCGCGCGCGCGCGCCCGCGTACACCGTACGCGCGCGCGCGCGCCCCGTACCGTACGGCCGCCGCACGTTTCGACCGCACGTGTAAAAAATCACAGCAGATTTTGAAAAACCGCAACAGATTTTCAACAAAAGGCAGCAGATTTTGAAAAAAAACGGCAGATTTTGGCGCACACTGTTTGCGTACAGTCCGCGCGTACGGTTCGCGTACAGCGCGCGCGTACGGTGAGCAGGTACAGTCCGCGCGTGCAGTGCGCGCGTACGGCGCGTGCGCGCCCGCGCGTATAGTTCGCAGGCGCGCGCGCGCAATGCGCACACACACGCACACACCCGCACGCTGCGCGCGCACGTGACACACTTGTTCGCTGAGGGGGGGGGGTTGCAGACGATGTGTGTCCATTGGCACGTATACATTTTTGGTTTTGTACGGCGTTATGGCCAGACCAGCTGATGGCATTCCACTTTGCGTTTCTTTCTTCAACACACCGTGTCGCCAGAAATACAAGTGCTGCGTCGGCAGCCTCAAAGCGTGCGGTAGCTGTTGATGCGTGAGCGCCAGTCTGTCACCGACGCTGAGAACTAAACGCAACCTCCAGCACCACTTGGCCCGAATACTTGCACTTGTACTACATTGTACCACCCGTCATGAATCAGGTACACGATTTTGCCAAATCAACATGCTGCTCACGCTTCACATATTAATTTGGCAAGTTTCAGACTAGCTCACCCGAGGCAGCGCAATAGTCGCACGCATGTCGCCAATTTCTAGTCGTATCTGCGGAAGGATGGAAACAATATCAGAACCCATCGTGCGAATGCCAGTCAAGCATCAAATAAACCAATCAAACATTATGGTTTACATGTTTGGGGCCAGTTTGTGCGTGTTGCGTCCCATCAATGTTTCATCATTTCAACTATTCATCATTGGTGGCGCAGGATTTCGCCCAAGCTACATATGAGAAATACTATTGACTTGGTGAAGAAACTGCTGGCCCCGCAAAAAAAGCAGCGTCTGATGTGGCAGGCAGACGCTGGGCCACGGAGCTTGAGTCACATGCAATGTTTCATCATATCCGCTGTCTACCTTGCGCTCGGCAATGCGCATTGCTTGCGTAATGCAACAATGTGGTGTCAACTGCCAACCAGGTTTCCGCCAGGCAAGCATTTTGAAACAACAAACCACACTGACACTTTGCATCTGCGCAATGATTTGTTTGTCCGGAGGACTGAACACTGCACCCAGTGGTGGTTGGTTTAAGCCAAATATGTTGCCGTGATTTACTCATCTTAGGCCTTGGGATTTTTGCCTCAGCTATCTAGTGTCGCTGTCAGTTCAACTTCAGCTAGTGATGGCTGGCGTGTCATCTGATGACTCATACCTGCAGAATCATGTGATTTGAACGATGCTGCCGTGCTGTACAAGGGCCAGTCAAAATTTCGCATCTCGCAAGCTACTACTTGTGTCGTCAATTGGCAGGTGGTTTCCACCCAATTATAGACAGCTGTTTGTTGCGCACCGGCTCACACGGGGCAACATCTAGCGCATGAGCTACTGCAAGCGGAAAGGCGGCAAGCTTCAAAAACCAAGCACTCATGGCCCATCTCAGGATCGTCGAATTACCGGTGCACTAATTCACTGATTCGCAGATCCGATTCGCACGCAGTCGGGTAGTGTTCCTGGGTTGCCTGAGTCCGAGTCCGCGTCCGCAATCTACAGCTAGGGGAAAACCTTCGCCGCGCCCTACGGCCCTATATTGTTAGTCATCGTGATTCGACTCATGATGTTGAGCACAATGGGACTGGCCGACCGGAACCATGCGGTGGCCCCTTCCAACGTAATGCTGGGCTACCTGCGACACCCAAAAGGAAACAAGATTGCTGGCGCACCAAACGCTCGAGTTTGTTTGATGTGAGGCATGAGTCACGAGTCATGTCACGAGTCATGTCACGAGTGACACTGACACTGGTCATGGACCAATCGGTGCGACGCAGGTCAAGTAGCTATACATTACATCATGACTTTGCTTGCGGCGATCTCGCAAAGTTAGTTTGTTTAAAGTTCACTCTGTCAACCGTCAAGAGTCAAAAGTGAAGTTTCCAGTTAAAGTTGAAATGAAGGTGGCACCAGTCAACTATTGCGTTCCCACATGTTCACAGGTGCTTCTCTCAGCCTCTCAGATCTCGCACGCGTACACCCGGTGCACCATAGGAGGCACCGCGGTGCTTATGGCAAGCCACCAAAGGAAAGGGCCCCCCGAACACCAGGGCTTGTTGCAGAAGGGCGGTAAAAGAGTGGCAGTGACTGACATTGAGACTGACATCATCCTCAGGAATCGGCGGGCTTGTGCCCTGAACAATCGTGGCCAACTTCATAGACACACGCTGCTTAAGCTGCTTAACTGACTGGGGCCTGAACGCACAGTGCGCAAGCTTCCTATTTGACCATATTTGGCCAGCGCAGAGACTTGCGGGCGCGTGTCAAACTCATATTAATCCGATCCTGATCTGATGCCCAAAGACAAACTGGGCCAAAACTGCTATTGGCGCTGAGGGTGAGTCAGGCTCATGATTGATCCATCACGCGACGATTCCTGATTCATGTCTTTTCTTCCTGACTCATGGCTGATATAGAAATAACCTGCTACGGCCACAAATTGCCAAAATGCAAATATACTCTGATGAGATGATGACACTCATGGGTGGAGCAGCCCCAACTTGTGACTTGCTTGACTCATTCGACTTGCGCTTGCAACTGGTAATGCTGGTTGGAACCTGCAACTTGAAACACATGTCACTCCATCTTTGGATGAGTTTTGCTAGGAGCAACCTTGAACCAACACCTTAAGTGTGGATCCTGGGCTATTTTTCTTCGATCACCAGTGGTCGACTTCTTCTGTCTTTGAGCTCGAGCGATGCCCTCATCTTGCGTCGGTCTTGTTACTGTTTGCGTATAGCGCCGGCTCCGACCAACTCTTCAAAACCGAGCAGACGCCCTGAACCAGCTTGAGACTCTTGGATTCGCGCGCGCCGCCGCTCACTGCTCGCGCGTCGCTGGCTCGTTCCACGCTCGCCGCGCGCATTCCGCGCGTGCCGCCGCGCACCGCTCGCGCGCTGCTCGCTCATTGCGCGCTCACCGCGCGCACGCCGCGCGCACGCCGCGCATAGCGCGCGCGCGTGACCGCGCGCCCTCGCCGCTACTGTTTTTTAAGGCCTGTCATAGCATGACTCTCGGGTTTAGATAACTTTAAACATATGTTAAAGTGATCTGCCCAATCCAGGTACAGACTGAAAGGTCTGCTGATGGGGCATGCAACCTGTTCCATCGGCTTCCTACGATCGCGGCAAGTGGCTCCTGAATATCTAACGTCACAAGGAACTGCAGTTGCACTGCTATCTTCGAGCAAAGTTGAAGTACAGTTCACACTTGCATGAGTGGCTTCAGGCACAGGAAACAAAGTTTATATATGCTTCTTTTCTGAGGAACGTACAACATGGCAAACAACAAATCTGTTCACACAGCAATCTGAAAGCACAGCTAGAACAAAACATCAGCATACAACCTTCGAAGGACCAGGCAACAACCGGGCCGCATCCTTCCCACACAACCCACTCGCACATGAAGTACCTGCGACCGGGTTGTACCTTCCAGCAACAAGCGGTAAGCCAGCGGTGCCAACAAAAAGAAACATAGAAACCCAGCTCAGGGAATTGCCTGCTAGGTGTCCTTGAGCTGGCCACAAATCTACGCTCCTGGGCCTCGAAATGACTTCTGCGAGGATTGGCACCGTTCAATGGGAGTTGCTCAGTGACATTGCGACTGGAGCATATCTCAACACAAACCAGCATTGCCCAGTCAGCCCTGCGCTAGGTGCATCTTCATCCCGCAGCAGAGCAAGCAAGGGCAATCAAACCTGTATGGTCATTCAGTGTAATTGCCACGTTAATCCTTCTTCGGTTGTCAAGACTAAACATTGAGTAAAACAAAAATACACAGGGGAGACAGTAGATTCTGATGCCTCGGATCCCTTCCTGTTGGTTTGAAAGGCAAATGATGGAACCCAAATCAGCTCAAACGCGGGATTGCGCCACGTACCTTCACCCCACAAAACAAGCAACAAAGGGTCGTAACAACAAAATCGATCAGTCCGACAGCACCGGGGACTGAGCATTGCCCTGGACAGCGCGAAAGCAACTGCTGCTTTTTTCTACCCGCGGCCGCTTCGAGAGAGCCAGTTCTGGTTCGTCCTGGGGCTTGGCTGCAGAGCAAGATACAAGTTCACAAAGTCAAGTATTTGTGCATCGTAAAACGGCTCATTCAAGGCATGGCCTACACAGAAACTACCACGAACAAACCAAACAGCATGTCTCATCCGAGCTGCATTGGGCTGATGGATAACACATCAAGGGGCAAAGCGCTATTGCGAGTTTCACTCAAAGGCAGAGAGTCCAGAGTGTGACTTTGTGTTGAGACGATGCACTGTCTGCATATACCGGTTCATCTATACATGCAAATATAAATACAATATGTACATATGTATATACATATATATATATATATCATATTACACACCATGCATCCCAGCGCCCAAAGAAGACGTCAACAAAGGAAGCTAGGGCACAGCGGCACTACTTAGCGTCTGTTGGCAACATGGTTGCATCAAACAGATACACGCGCACACACAGACCACACAGAGGCGTAGCTTGAGTTAAACGATGTTCCAGCAGGCAGTCTAGGATTCATTCATGGTACAACCAGGCTGCAATGCAACAATGAGTTTTCAACTCACACTGCCCTATTCAAATGATTCAATCCTTAACCAAAGGCTAGAGGTTCTGAAGACTACTCTATGGCATCGCTCCGGGAGAGTAACACTTATCCATGTCGCTATAACATCGGCAGTTTGGCTTGAAACGGCTTGATGACTGTTGGGCACCTCCCATCTCACTCATCACGAACCAACTGGCGCGCTCGCCTCTTGCGTGTCGGCCTCCAGGGCCTCGACAGATGCGAGAAGGCGCTGTACCTCTGGGTGGTCGGTGCTTGGCAGGCTGCCCTTGCCTCAGGCACGCACAAGGTGGGCCGATTATTTGCTGATGCGTATATGATGTGTATATATATATATATGTATGTATATATATATATATGTATATATATATATATGTACAGAATTCTACACCCCCCCCCCACCCCACCATGGGAGGTTTCGGTGCCTCCATCTCACAAGGACATTGAGCACCTGCTTTGACACATAGCCATGACAGATAGCTTGACACATAGATAGCTTTCCAATATGGTTAGCCTGACAGGTAGGCAGCTTTGAAAATAGATAGGTTGATAGATAGCTTTATGACGCACGGATAGGATGTGCGCGAAAAAACAAGGAAAAACGCTGAAACCAGGAGAGCTGGGGGATAGCAAGATGCAGAAAACGTTGGCTGTGTGCGTGAATTGGCCTCCCGCGCAGTGCGCAAACCACCTCGGTCGCCATGCCTGTACGGAGGCGGTCCCGGAACGGGCTCGGGACGGGTGCAGAACGGTCTCGGAACGGGTGCGGAGAAGGGCCCAGGTTTCGCAAGGATTCAATTGCGTGGCAGGCGCGGTACTTTCGCAAGGTCAGCTACAGATTGCGTAGCGGGCGCAGCGCTTTCAAATATCAGGCACAGAATTCGTGGCAGATACAGCACTTTTGCAAGGTTGAGAACAGGTTTCGTGGCAGGCGCAGCACTTTCGCAAGTAGAGAGATAGGTAGATAGAGAGAAAGAGAGAGACATAGATCGGTAGATGGATAAACAAGAAAGAGGTAGATAGATAAATAGATACATAGATAGATACATAGAAATAATAGAAAGATTGGAAAAATAGACAGACAGATTGGAAAGATAATGTTTAGGATAGCTAGACAAACAGCAATAGGGAGAGGTAGATAGGGAGATAGATACTTAAATAGAGGGAGGGATGGCACACTCCACACCTCACCACGCAACTTTGTAAGGCTTTCCTCTAAAAGTTTCTTCACGGGTCAGGCTCTTGATGTTTCCTCGTTCCTTTCCCGTGCTGCAACGGAGGCAGCGTGCCATGGTCTTTGCCATCTGTCCAGGGCGCTGTGGGGGTCGGCCCGGAAGTCCAGCAAGCACCGCACCACGTCCAGGTGCCCCGCCTCCGCAGCCACGTGCAAGGCAGTGGCGCCTCGGGCTGGTGCAGTCCATCGGCCCATCCAGTTCGGCGAGCGGTGACGGCAAGTCGCAAGGGACCTCATGAGTGTCATGGGTGCAGTGAGTGATTCCATGCACCCAGTGACCATGGGAACCAGCCTTCAAAATCCAAAATCGAACGCTGCCCGCCTACTTACTACGGTAGTGAATCGAGTCCAATTAGAGGCTTTCTCAGGGGTATAAGCAACAACCTGGTCGCGTCGGCGATGGCTTTAAGTATGTTTCGAGATAGCATGATGGCAGTGGAAGTGTCCTAGAGCTGGGGGGGGGCACTTTGGATTGTGTGAAAGGACAATTCAATACATTTCAAGGGTCTCTTACCAGTCTCTTGTTTTAGGGGTGTCTTCAGGATCTCTTCAAACAAGCATCATTTAAGGGTCTTCTATGTTCAGCAACACAAATACAAAGTACGTCGGCAAGTAGGTAAGCCAAACAACTAAACGAAGTGAGTGGAGTGGAGTGGAGTGGAGTGGCGTGGCGTGGCGTGGCGTGGCGTGGCGTGGCGTGGCGTGGCCTGGCCTGGCGTGGCGTGGAGTGGAGGACTTTCTGGAAACAAGTTTCAAGCCTTCACATCAATTTAGCCAAAACACATGCATACCAAATCAAGAACCCCTTCCACACCAAAATGAAGCCACGGAAAGCCCAAACCAGAAGCAAACATTTGATGCCCCTTCCCACGAAGAACCACTTCCGCCTGAAGGTCAAATCAGAAGGAAATAAAAAGCGATTATGCGCAAATGAAGGAATCGCAGGAAGGACAAATCCAGCTGGGCGGCCACTCGGCTTCTCCACCTGTCTCATCTCGGCACGGGCCTCCAGCAAGAGTCGCACCACCTGAGGCTGAAGGTCTCGGCGATTTTGGAGCTCGGAGAGTGGAAGGAAGCCTACCACACGGGCCCGACACCTAGAATGGGCGTGGACTCTTCGACATGGTCAAACCAGCTTAACTCATGATCATGGGATATTAATTTTTGCGGTCATCTAGCCCCTGATGTGCCTCCTCTGAAGATTTACACGGACCCCCAGAAAGACACTGCTTGCGCCAAAGGAATCTGCGTTTGGTGGAACCCTTTTGGGCTCCATGCTAATCAATTTGCACGAGAGTGTCCTCTGGGTGATGGTTAACGTTAGCGCGCGCCAAGCCGATAGGCAAGGGCGAAAACAGCGGACTTGGTAAGATTGTTGAAGGCAGAAGCATCAGCTATGTGGAGTGGCCGAACACGTCTGACGCACACAACACCACACCAAACAACGCGCATGGATTCCGACAGAAAACACACGAGCTTCCGATGCAGGACATTATTGTTCAATTGTGGCCTCCTGGTACATGGGATTCACCAACTCACACCCATCCAAATCACCTAACAGAGGGGTAACTATTAGAGCCTGATACGCCTGCTTAGTCATCCTTTCAGTCGCCCACGCTCCCAAAACCTTGCCTGCCTTGCCCGGGTTTCTCTCACACCCCTCCATGCCAGCCCACGTCCCGACAGCCCCAGCCCAAGGCCCACAACCTGCAGGTGGGCGACGCTCAGTTGCCCGAAGGACGCCGCTGCGCTCAAGGGCGAGCGCCCGCTGTCGTCGCAGAGGTCCTGACGAGCAACTCCGGAATACTCCGGACCTTTTATGGATGGCGAGTGTGTGCGTGCGGATGCGTCTACCTGCAACAGGAGGGATCCCCCTTTTTGGAAATGCCAACACGTTAACAAATAATCGACTTGTTATTGCCATGTCATTGCCAGCAGCCCACCCAATTCCTAAGAAGGCAGGCATGGCCCGCTGTGCTCACAAGGCGGATGCCAGTTCTACACACAATCCGAAACAAAACAGAACCGATTCAACATGCCAGCGGTGAAGATTCATTGAGTTTCTCCTTGGTGGGGTGATGCTTGGAGGGAACGTGCAAGGAGCGCTGACACAAGTCAAATGGTGGCAGTTCCATGTTTTCAGCTGGTACCCTTTTCGGGGTGTTGTTAAAGCGCAGTCACAGCAAACCTAAAAACAGAATCTTCAGAGCCTCACTCACTGGGTGCTCGGGAGGCTGGATTGCTTTTAAAACAATGATCGTTTTAACTTGGCTTTTAAGGAAAGTTAAACACGATTGGCGATTCAGATCGACCAGCAACTGCAATGGGCTGTGATAAGGTTCTTGTTAATTTCGTGCTTCTACTCGGTCGAAACCAACAGCATATGCGCAACAGCGCAAGGTTTTGTGTCATTTCCAAGGCACGTCAACAACTCCAAAGCCAATGGACCCCGACAGCTCGAACCGCACCAAACTTTGCTCCGTGTCCGCGCAGGCGGCCAGAAGCTCTGCAACCACCTCCTGCGCGACATGTGTTGTGAAGTCTGCCTCTCAGTGGGCAAACTACGTTTGATTCTCAATTGCCCTAACTCCCGTCTTCATTTTGGCTTGAAGGGAAGTCCATTTGGACATGTTTCCAAGTGTCCTACTATTTGTAAGTTGTTTTTAAAGCGAACAGTTTTGCGAGGGAGCATCCAAATAAAGTGGTTTGTATTGTACTCCCTCTTTCCAACAATGATGGAAGAACGATAACTGTGTTTGCTATGCGGTATGTGTCGAAAAAGGGGGTAACCCCGGAAAATTAAATTGGCTTCCTATTTTGGCTTCCCTTTAAGTCACACAAAGCCCATTCGACCCAGACTGGGCCTGGCGTCCCAGCGCCGCTGACACCCGCAGAGCCGTAGAGCCGTGCTCGTCCTGGGAGGAGAGCACAGCGCCCGCCTGGACCAGCCTTCGGCCACTTTTTTTGACCGCGTGCGTCCGTCCAGGAATGTGGCAAGATAAGGGGACCCAACAAATTCCTCTTGGCTTTCCTTTCCCGATGCGTTATCCGGGTAGCCCCTTTTTTACAAGGACTCAAGCGTGGCAAAAGAGCTGCGCCAACAAGGGTTATGAGCCCAACATGTTGATCGCTCGGTAGCCATGGACGCTGGGATGCGGAGGCGAAGGGCGAGGTCGGTGGATGCGGTGACCATGGAGGGTACCATGGTGGCGGAAGCCGACGGTGACCTACCTCTTCATGAAGAAGAACGAGGTGGAGAACCGCAGCAAGAGCGAGGTCAGCGGCAGGTGGTGGATGTAAATCCTTTCTGGAGTTCACGGGCGGTGGAGGCCGCAAGGCTGCGAGCAATGAGGCCCGATGGTTTGCCCAAGGTCCCGGACACCGTGAGCCCCCAGAAGGTCGAGACGGAGATGGACGCTTGGGGAGGTGCCGGTGGCGCTCCTGAGGGAGATCTTCCCGGGCAAGATGGAGTTGGTGGCCACCCAGATGCTGCTGGCAGTAGGACGAAAACAGAAGAGTTCTGGAGCGAGATAAGGAGGGACCTGACAGCGGACCTGGAGAATGCGGAAAATGCCGGAATGGCCAACGGCGATGAGCATGGTCTGCAGGAGGAAGGTCGACGTCCAGGTAATGGGCAGGAACAAGGCGGAGATGGAGCTCTACTACATGGGAATGGAAGAGAGCCACCGCATCATGGTGACCTAAGGCCGGGTGAAGGGCAAGGGCCACCGGGGAAAGGAATCGGAAGGCCTGGAATGATGCGAGGGAGACCTGTGGAACGTGAAGCCGAACTACGCGGTCCAGGTTGGGCGGAAGGCGGAGTTGGGAGACAAGATCCACGAGCTCTTCGGCAAGGAGGAAAAGGAGATCTACTACATGGTGGGCGAGGACCACATGCAGGTGAAGATCAACCAGATGATCTTATGGAGGACCAAAGCCTCAGAGATCAGCGGCTGTGGGAGGCGGCATGCAAAAGGACGGGCAACAGAGGGGTGCTCCCTGGCCAGAGCTCGCAGGTAGCAATGGGGGCATCGAAGAATCTAACCCGGCTGGATCTGGACTGGCTTTGGAACGACGAGCACAAGGTGTGGGTCCCTGAAAGAGCTCAACGAGATGATGATGACGAGCTGATCGGAGACATGGACCTCGCGGAAGAGATGGAGAAGAACTTCATGAAGGCGTGCAGGAAGATTCGCGGAATGGAGCAGCAGAGGAAGTACCTCTTCGACACGATCAAGGACCTGAGGGCGAAGGAGAGAAAGTGGCAGTTGGAGGCAGAGTTCTGGAAGGCCAGATGTGATGAGAAGGAAGCGGAGAGGTTTGTGACGCCTGCCGAGAAGATGGAGGTGTTTGAAACGCCGATGGAATATCATCATTTGATGATTGTGCCGCCAGAAATGCCGCCACCGCCGCCTCCACCCCCAAGGGAAGGGACACCGAGACGGAGATCAAGGTCCCCACCAAGGTCGCCGTTGAGAGGTACAAAAAGGACACCGGGAGGAACAGCGCTACCTGAAGGCGATCCGCCGCGTGGCGAACGCGAAGATGATCGTGGGTGGCAAATCCAGTGGTCGGAGCCGTGGGATGATCACTGGGGGGAAACAGGGTGGGAATCCCATCCATACTCTCAAAGCTGGGAGGCATGGAAGAGCTGGAATGACTGGGAAAACAAGGAGGATGTGAAGGCCGTGGTTGAGCAAGTGGAGTCAGGAGGTGCTGGTGGCAAGGTGGAGTTGACGGAGTTGATCTATGACCATTCCCCGTTGACCCTTGGAGACTGGCTGGCACAGGTTGGGCCGCAGATGAGTGATCTGTCCCAGGGAGCGGCGGAATGGTGGACCGGAACAATGGGCCAGGCGAAGCAGCTCTACGAGGTCTGGTTGAAGTCAACCCCGCTGGAGAGGCTCAAGATCACGGTGGACATCCCGGAAAGGCTAAAGACCCCGCGGTTTGTCAGGACAGAACAGCGGGGGGTCACGCTTCTGCTGAAGGCGGTGCCGGAGGAGATCCGCAAAGAGTTGATCTCCGCGCGGGAAATCACATCGACCGGGGTGCTGTACCGGTTGCTGGTGACCTATCAGCCAGGAGGACCAGGAGAACGAGCTTTGATCCTGAAGAAGCTCACGGACCTGGGCAACCTGAGGAACTATACGGAAGCGGCCTCATCACTGAGGGAATGGCGGAGGTACTACCTGCGGGCGCAGGAAATTGGAGCTACGCTTCCGGATCCAACTTTGCTGGCGGTGGCTTTGGAGCGGGTGGTTCAGCTTGTGAACAAAGGTGGAACGCAGGCGTTCAGGGTAGCCCAGGCGAGATCTCAGTTGGGACTGGACACAGCCCCGACATCGCTGGGGATCTGGAGCTACTCCGAGTTGCTCCTGGCGGAAATGGACACGGCAAAGCTGATGACCAGCGAAGGAGTGGTAGCCAAGGTGAAGGCGATGAGTGGCGGGAATGAGCATGCCGGCAGTCATCAACACGGAGCTGGATCCGCCAAGAAGGAGGTGAACAACTGCAGGTACTTCATCTCGGAGAATGGTTGCAGAGCTGGCCGGAGTTGCAAATGGCCCCACGACTGGGAAGGTGTCACAGATAAGGCGGCGCGATGCTGGACCTGCGGTGCGAAGACCCACAGGAAGGCAGACTGCACTGTGAAGCCGGGGAACCTGTATGGGGGGAGCCGACCAACGCCGAAGCCGGCGGCAAAGGTAGCGAAGTGCGAGCTGGGCGGCAGCTCGGGGGGAGGTGAAGGTACAGGTGGTGGTAGTACAGGTGGTGGTACAGGCGGTGAAAAATCGCAGTTTCAAGGTGGTGGAGAAGCCAGCAACATGGTGGAAAAGGATGCTACATCGGCAACGGCGGCTACTACAGGTGGTGGAACTATGGCCGGTGGAGCGGGCAGCGGAACGGGGGAGTTGCTAGCCGAGGCGACCAGTCTCCTTCGATCGCTGAGGTTGCCGTCGATGAATGCGGTGATCGTGATGAACCAGATGAGCAAGGAAAGTCTCGGCATGGGCCTCCTTGATGGAGGAGCAACACATGCACTCAGGCCTGGAAAAAACCAGGTAGAATGGAACCAGGCCGAGATCGTGGAGGTGCACTTGGCGGATGGTTCGAGCACAAGAATGCGGAGCAAGCCGGGAACATTGACGCTGCTGGCAGAGAAGGGCACGCAGGTCATTGTCCCCATGGGAGCGATGACGGAGGTGGGTTACATAGTGACATGGGCCAACGGCGTGTGCAAGGTGACCTACAAGGGCAAACCGGTGGAGGTCACGATGATCGCAGGATGTCCTATGGTGGAAGAAGGAGTGGCCTTGGAAATGATCGAGCAAATGGAGCAGAAGAAAGCAGAGCTCAATTGGAAACTGGCGATGCTGAAGGGCCAGGTGGAGCCGACCAAGAGCTTGATCTATGAGGAGGCCATGCTCAAGGCGTTGAAGGAGTTCTTCGTGGACGTCCCGGACAGGTTGTTGGCGAAGTTGGTGGTCACACAGGAGTACGACGTAATGAAGCTGCCGTGGAACAGGCGGAGGAGGAGAACCATTGAGAGAGCAGAGAGGATCCACCTGCATCTCTTTTCGGGCACGGAGAAGAAGTGGATGGACATGGAGAAGAGTGGAACGGTCATGATCTGCCTGGATAAGGTGAACAACCCCGGGCAGGATTTGCTCAACGACGATGTCTACGGCTACCTCATTGCCTTGGCAAAAAGTGGAGCTGTGGTCAGTGTGATAGGCGGTCCGCCTTGTCGCACGGTGTCGGCCTGCAGATCAAGATCGCCAGGACCTAGACCGGTGAGGAGTGAGGAGTATCCCTATGGCTTCTCAAACCTCACGAACTCGGAGAAGGAGATGGTGGAAGGGGACTCAGTGCTCTGGTTGAGAATGATGACGTTGTACGTCGTGGCGGAGGAGACTGCGAGGAGACGGAAACTCCCTGCGGTGGCGTATGGGCAAGAACAGCCTCGGGATCCTGGGGACTACAGGGTGGACATTCCGAGGGAACACCTGGTCAGCATCTGGCGATTCCGGGCGTGGGAGGCATTTGCCAAGCGGTATGAGATGGAGATGATCCACTTTGATCAAGGACCGCTAGGGCATGAACGGAGAAAGCCGACGACCATAGCCACCAACCTGGAGCAGATGCGGGGACTGGGGGAGGTTACAGGACCCGGTCAAGGCGGAGAAGCATGGTCGGAGAACCTGCAGGAGCGGATCACTCAGACCAAGAGGTGGTCAGCATGGGCGCCGGGGCTGGTGCAAGTGTTCAAGGAGGCGCTGCAGAATCATGAGAAAGAAGGGCTGGGTGTGGTTCGAGCTCTTCGGCCTCTAAGCGCTGCAGCAATGGAGCAGTGGAAAAGGCATTTCGCGTGTGATCATCAACCAGCACGGCGAGATTGTCGGGTCTGTGTGGAAAGCCAAGGAAGAGGCCGAGCACATCGGAGAGTTCAACATCCACAGGCGTACACCTTGGCGGTGGATCTGTCGGGAAAACTGGCGGCTGGGAAAGATCAGAGATGCCAGGCGAAGTACTTCGTGGCAGCGGTGTACACCTATCCGGTGAATGGAGAAGGAAGATCTCTGCTTGCTGAACCTCAAGAAGAAGCGGAACCGGAAGCCGGAGATGTGGAAGAAGTGGAGGTTGATATGCTGGAAGAAAAGGAAGAAGGAGAGCAGATGCCCGAGGAAGAGGTCAGGAATGAGATCCAGGCGGGGGACATCTGGGAGAAGAAGGTAGAAGAGATGCAGGATGTGGGGGTCACCAACCTGACGTTTGTGGAGCCGATCACATCAAGACAGGCGTCGGATGTCATCCCGGCGATCGCGCGGATCTATGCGAGGCTCAGGGAGATGGGTCTGCCGGTCTATAGGTTGCACACGGACCGAGCTCGAGAACTGATGGGAGTGCAGCTGAAACGCTGGGCTCAGGACCGGAACATCGTGAAGACCACGGTCCCGGGGGACGCCTTCAAGGAGAACGGACGGGTGGAGGCAGAGATCGGGGTTCTAAAAAGGGCGACGAGAACATTGCTGAAGGCGAGCGGAGAACCAGCTACCTTGTGGCCGATGGCGTTGAGGCATGCTGGAGAGCGACGCCTACGGAGGCAATTGCACGCGGTGGGTCTGCCGGTGAAGGAAATGCTGCCGTGGGGGACGATCGCCTACGTGAAGAAGAAGAGTTGGAATGAAAGAGGTCAGGACTGGAGGTTTGACCGCGAACGGGTCAAGATCATGGGCCCAGATGCAGTGATGTCAACAACATCAGGTGGCTATTGGGTGAGGAGCTGTGAGGATGGACGGCATTTTGCCACCACGGATGCGATCAGGGAGCCCGAGGAGGTGATCATCGACCCGGGGGAGGAAGTGGTACTTGAGGAACGAGTAGGTGCGGACCTCTTGATGCCGAGAGCGGAAAGGCCAAGGAGGCGACTGCGGGAAAAAACAGCTATGTCGACGATGATCGTCGAGGGGGAGAAGGTAGAGGACCAGGCCCACTTCGAAAAACGGCACCAACATGTCACTCAATGGGTCAAGGAAGAGTTGGAGATTTTAGATGCAGAAGGAGAAGATCAAGAGATGTGGCTTGGAGTACTACGAGAAGGGCTACAACGGAGGAACCACATCGAAGCTGCACTGAACCGGATGCAGGTCGAGGGCGCAGCGAAAGCAGAAGAGGAGTGGCTCGTGACGAAGACGGTGTCGATGGGCGAAGTGAGGAGCGAACTGGAAGAATGGAAGGTGGCGGCGAAGAAAGAGTACACGGCATTGGTGGAGGAAAGCAAGGCGGTTAAGCCGATCAGGAAGAGGGACATCGACCAGATCCAAGGCCCTGTCGAAGTTCTTCCGGCCAAGGCTGTGTGTACCAGGAAAGCGCCGGATGGGCGCCGGAAGGTCAGAGGAGTGGTGTGCGGCAACTATTCAGCCGGCAAGGATGCGGAGAAGCTGTACGCGGGAGGTGCAGACGGGTTGCAAATCCGGATGGTGCTGAGAACTGCGGGACAACGAGGATGGAGCCTTTTGTGTACGGACATCCGCACGGCGTTCCTCAATGCTCCGCGAAGAGATGATGGCAGGACGATTGTCATGGAGGTCCCGTCGGTGTTCAAGGAGTTGGGCATCGCTCAAAGGGATGAGATGTGGGTCGTCGACAAGGCGGTCTATGGACTAACCACAAGTTCCAGAGACTGGAGTGTTCACCGGGACATCGAGATCCGCAAGATGGAGTGGGAAGGAGATGGAAAGAGGATGAAATTCCTGGAGACAGAGGAGCCGAACCTATGGAGGATCATTGAGGTAGAGACCGGGGTGGTGCGAGGGCTGATGTCCATCTATGTAGATGACGTGATGCTCGCCGGCGAGGACAAGATCATTGAGGCGGCCAAGGCAAGGATGGAGGACGGAGATTGGAAGTTGTCCCCGGCGGAGTGGGCAACGGCTGAGGTGCCCATGAGGTTCTGCGGCTTTGAGGTCTACAAGAAGGATGATGGGTACTTAGTGAACCAGAAGGCCTTCGCGGAGGACTTAGTGGCCAAGTGGGACATCAAGGAGGGCATGGAGGCATTGAGCTACAAGCTGCCGGATGAGGACAGCAAGGATGGCACCCCGGACGAGATCAGAGAGGCTCAGGCTATCACGGGCGCTTTGCTGTGGTTGGCTTCGAAGACGAGACCGGACATTGCGGTGGCGGTCGCAGCAATGTCGAGATGGACAAGGAAGGGTGTGGAGGTTGTCAACCTGGGCAAGGACGTGTTGAGGTATGTCAAGGCAACCACTGATCGGGGCCTGAACTATGGACCGGTTGGAGGATGGGCGTCAAGAGAAGGCCTTGGCATGAAGAGGCGCGTGAACATGGTGGAGGTTTTCGCGGACATCTCCTACGCGTCGGGCGGGGAGGACAAAAGCGTGCAGGGCATTGTGGGCTTTGTGGAGGGAGCTCCGATTTGCTGGGAGTCGGTGAGACAGCCCTTTGTTGCACAGAGCACGGCGGAGGGTGAGTTGATTGGATACTGCGAGGCGCTGACGGTGGGCAGGGCCTTGGTGTCGCTCACGGAGGTCGTCACTGGCGAAAAAGTGGAGTACAAGAGAATGTACGGGGACAACATGGCGGCGATCAGCCTGGCATCCAATGGAGCAGGGAATTGGAGGACTCGACACCTTCGTATCAGGGCTTCGGCTTTAAGGTGGGCCTTGGAGGAGGGTGAGTGGGTGTTGGAGCACATGCCGGGTGTACAGTTGGTTGCTGATGGTTTCACCAAGCTTTTGTTAGGTCAGGCTTTTGGTAGCTTTCTGGTTGAGCTTGGTATGGTGAAACAGGGCCATTGGGCATCCAAGAAGAGCCACTGGGCCGCCGAAGGGCACAAGAAAAAGATCAAGATCGCTAGGGGAGATGAACCAGCGACAGTAGGAAGCAAGATCGCTAGGGGAGATGAACCAGCGACAGTAGGAAGGCCTGACGGGGAGGAAGCCAGGCAAAAAGGCCTGAGAAGATTGGGCAGGGAAGATGAACCGCCCACAAAGAAGTCCAGGGCAGATGAACCGGACTCAACCCCGGAGGATGGCCGAAGGACCGCAGCTGTTTTGGATAAGAACCACTGCCCATCGGGCTGCCCTCCCAACCTAGGTGAAACTAAGGCTAGGATTATGATGGCGATAGGCGCAAGCCTTGTGGCAAGGGCGGAAGGAGCTAGAGCCGAGGCGGAGATCTCGGGCGTGGAGATGATCGACGTGATCATTGTGATTGGAGGTATCTTGATGGCGATCGGAGCTGCGGTGGTGGCAAAGTGGACGGCCAAGGCGGCCAGCAACGTCATGAAGAAATTGTGGGTGGGGCCGGGAGTTGGTCGGGACAACTCGGTGGTGAAGCCTGCGAGAAAGGAGGTCGACGAGGTCGATGAGCAGCGGAGCAGGAGTTGGTCGCAGAGAAAGGGGCTTGAGCGGCGGAAGCCAACTTCGATGAAGCTGATCGTTGACGATGTGGAGGTGGAAGTCAAAAGGCAGGAGCATGGTTCCGGAGGGGGTCATGGTGCGGCTGGAAGTGGAGAGGAGGCTCGCAAGGAGCCTGGTGGAAGTGGAGAGGAGGCTCGCAAGGAGCCGGGAGGAAAGGAGGAGGTCGAGGAGGAGGGCGGCAGTGCGTCATCATCGGGAGCATTGCACAGGCCGCCATTCAAGAAGTGCAATACAAGTTGGAATCAGTTTCAACATGACCATGCCGGGCGCGGCTGGTCCATGGACTTCATGAGGAAGAAATACTACGAGGAGAAGTACAAGAAGGGGAAGTAGTTTTTGGGTCGTGCCGGTAAATAACCCGGCCGGCGGAGCGGCACAGAAGTGCCGGGGGGAGCCCGATGCGTTATCCGGGTAGCCCCTTTTTTACAAGGACTCAAGCGTGGCAAAAGAGCTGCGCCAACAAGCCTTTAAAACAGGGCGAAGAGGCATCGGAGCCGTGTGTTTACATCCTCCAAATTACGCTCTCAAAGGGTTGCTTCAAAGGGACTCCCCCCAAAAAAGAGTACTTGTAGGAACCCATCAAACTGCTCACTTTAAGCGACTCAAGTGGCTGGGCCTGCTGTCCAACAAACATGGGCGGGGAATGTAGGGAATCTGTGTCTGCCCGTAGGTACCGGTTAACGGTGATTCAACAGGACATGAGGTTCTGAATGGATCCAGACTTGAATGTGGGACTCCGGAACATTCAATATGCTTCTTTGTCGCCCAATGCAGGGGCAAGGGACCCTGGCAAGATAACAAAAACACTTGAGCTCTTTGAAGACACGGCACCTTCAAGGCTGCCTCATTGTTAGCACTTGCGTCGGCAATCGGAAATGTCTCGGGCTATTGGAGCCTATTGGGGGCAAGTGCCCGTAGGGACAGGCCGCGTGCTTTCTTTGGTTGGTTGGTGCAAGGGAACCCCCCGCAGGTTGGTTCCCCAAGGGCTAAGGGGGAGGGGGGGACTTTCTCAAAAGCCAAGCAAAAGTGGCCTGGCTGGATGCTCAATCGGACTCGTTTTGCCTCCCAACTCAGGGAGAACAAACCAACAAATACGCAGTAAAATTCAAAGAAGCAGCTACACAACAATCTATCCGGACCTATCAAGGTGGGTGCAAATTCGCTGCTGCATGTCATGCTTTTTGCCACTCCACTTGTCTGGTGTCCTTTTGAGGGTACCCTTTTTCCAGTTTAGCTTAAACAGAAATCAACAGGGATACCAATTTTGGGCTGCGCCTTTATTGATACATACCCGAATCCAAACCGGAAGCAAGGGACCTCCCACATAAAAGGAGATTGATTGGTGACCTCCTGTTTACTGTACCCTGGGATGGTGGGCTTGTTACCCCCAATTCGGACTTTGACCCATACCGCCCATACCCATATTGACCCCTTGACCCGTTGGGCCCAAAGGGATCCAAGGCACATGCGCACCATTTCGGCGTCGCCACGGCCGGCAGCTTCGATCAAAGGCGTCCGCCCCAGGTACCCGGGCTGCTCCTAAAGCGCTGAGAGAATGAGCCACATGGTTCTGGGACACAAGTTTTCTGTGATCGTAAATAGAGCCATGCCCATAACTATTTTCTCGCTGTGAAGCGAACCCCTTGATATCACAGCAAGTGGCCCTAAAAGCAGAATGTCAACAACCAGGGTGAGCCCCCTTCGCGTGGTCAGTAAGAGCCCTTCAAACCATTTCTGCTGCAAAGCTAAACTGTTGCTGGGGGAGAAGCAGTCATCTTCCAAAAGACGAAGGGTCGAAGGCAACAACCACAAAACAACTCCCCGTTTTAGATATACTCAATATTCTATGTACATATCTTGGTTTGAATTGATGATGTGTGGTCAGACAAGGACAGCAACCATTGATTGAACGTCACAAGCCCCCGCTAATCCACAAGATCCCGGTTTCTCCCAATATCGAGGTAACAGTCACGCTAAATTGTGCAGTATTGTGTCCGTCCACATTCACCAGTTTGACATGTTCCGTGGCCCTCATGCGCTGAGGGTGCAGAGTCTAGTCACTATGTGGATATTGTGTATCTGTTTTGCCCTCGAAGGTGTATCCAGGGCAGTGGAAACTCTCCTTGAGCTATCAAATGAATCAAAGTGTTGGTTCCCCTCAGAGCGTTCTTCCAAACTCAACCCATAAAGAAGGTTGCCTATAGAGACACACACAAGTAGAAAAGCCATGATGCCAGCCTTGCAGGGCCCCTAAGCAGTTTTGCCATTATAAAAAAGGACTGAAGCCTAATGTGTTTGTGTGTGTGTGTGTGTCTGTTTGTCTCTGTGCCTGTGTGCGTGTTTGTTTGCGTTTTGTGTGTGTGCGTGTTGTGTATTTCTTGTTTTGTTGACTTTTCTGTGTGTGTGGGGGGTTGAGTGTACCCTTTTTTGGGTGGATTGAAACGAAAGCCAAAACGAAGGACAACCATCATGTTGGAGGGTCCCCGGTTTCTGCCCGGCGTCCTTGTCTGCGCGCGCCTCAATGAGGCATTTGGCTATCTCGGTACATCCGCAGCTGACCGCCGAGAGCAAAGGCGATTTGTGACTTCCTCGAAGCAGCAGGCAGATGTGAAGCAAATTAACTGGTCCGTGTGAGAAGGAAATACGAGTAGCATGAAACTGTTCATTTGGAAAGGTTCCAACATATAATATCAAAAGATTACACGAGGCCGTTGCAAATAAACACACATAACAGGTGCCGGACTGGTAAAATCCCGTGACGTCATCATTTGCTTTTGCATGTTCAGTGAACGAGGGCAAGGTGATGGCAGCGTCCGTCCCAGAAACAATCCAGCACATGATCCCTGTACTGGAGAACTATGGACGACGGCCATCCTGGCCGGCACATGGAATTAATTATGAGGAATTGACAAGAAACTGTAACAACAAATCCGGATCTATGCGCGCCCTTAGGCAAGAATCACCTCGTAACACCGACACATCCTCAAAGTACACTGGACAACTATGTTGTTTCTGTGCCACTCTCAGATCCTACGTCTTGAAAGCATGCTAGACACATTTCTGCACAAAGTGCTCTGATTCGGGCACCAAGCAACATTCAAAAGATCTTGCTGTGGTTCGAAAGACCAGTCATTTGTTCAACATCTTTCAACACATTTCAGCTATGGATGAACAAAATCCTGCACCCTCCTACGCCAGTGGGAAGAGGTGGCTTACCGCAATAGGGGCTGACCAACTGTCGTGTGGCGTGGACATTGTTCATCCGCTGTGGCCGCATTGCTTCACGCAGCAATATAAGGGGCTACAACAATACCTACTAGTCTACCGCTATAATTTTGAATAAGTGTGGTTTTAAAGTACCCCGCAACCCCAGTCTAGACATTGAGGCCCCGTCTTAGCGCCGTGGGGCTCGTAGTGTCCATGCTGATCCCCAAGCAAACTGATGAGCTTTCGTCCGGATGCATGGCGGACATGCGCGCGCCAGATCGCTTCGCAATCAACAAATTGTTCGCTTCCCGAAGCAAACACCGCCAGATTAATACGGCCATAAAATAAGGATCTCTCGGGTCGGACAAACGCGTGGTACGCGATGTGCAATCACTTAGGGGAACCTAGATATTCCACCTGGAACAAAACATCGGATAATGCTTTGAACATGGACGCAGCGCGACGGGGACTCTTATTTGCAACATGCAATATTGATGTGCAAGTCTCAACCTTTGCACGCCGGACATTGGTTAACGCGCATGGCGAACAAAGTTGGGAATGCGAGATTGAAAAGGCTTCTCAGGTCTGCATGTGGGGTTTTCAGTCTTCAGCATCTGATGCATCAAATGCTGCTGACAGGTAGAAGATGCCCTTGCGGCGAGTGCCAAAAACGTTAAAAACTGAGTGACACTGTTAAACTTCACTTCGATATTCATCTGACATGCAACAATGTCACATCTGTTTGTCTCACGACCCTCAGGTCATATAGACAGAGGCAACTCCTTCAAACATAGTTACCTAGCTGACATCTCACGAATCTCCAGCCAGTGACAGCACCATGTAGAATGCCAACACTGTGCTTCGCAAACCGGACTCTCAGTTCCGCCTCACTGGGATAGCCCTACAAATAGTCAACACGCCTTAAGGTTTTGAATCGCCGTTGAGCCACGGAAGCTGGGTCTGTCCAAGTCGGCCCTAGCCGCCACCAAGAGGCTGACAATCTCCTCCAGGGTCGGGCCACTGGCAAGTTGAATCACAGCGAGAAACACTCTGCATGTAACACATAATGGAACGCACACAACCCCTTTTGCTGACAATTTGTAAAAAGCTGGGAACTTACTTTCTGAATCTTTCTGAGTGGATCCGCCAAAGAAAAACAAAATGAGAGTAAGCTTTTGGTTCACACATCTTCCCAAACAGTAGAAAGCTTAGAAACTCGGGAAGCGGGGTCATCACATTGAGCATATCTAGCACCCGCCAATGTAGAACACTCAAAGCAAGTTACAAACACACTCTCAACATGGAGCCAGCCTAGAACTTTTTGCTGAATCAGTCCTCAGTTCTTGTCGATACTGTCTTGAGTCTTGATTGAAGCAAACAATACGCTTCCTCGAATATGATTCCCCTCGTTTGGGCGAGGTCGACAACATGGACCTTCTTGGGGAGTCCCTTTAGGCGTCATACAATAACATTGGCGTCCTGCAAGGACCTCCGGATCAGCAAGTTCCAGGATCAGAGATCATCCAATGGTTGATCTTTGGACAGTGATCTGGTCGAAGTGCTTTATCTCCCAATTCGGAACCGTGGGTTTTCGCTTGCAAAGTCGGTGAGCTCGTGAACTAAATTTGCCCTAGTTCATGCAAATGAGTGGGGGGCCCTTCTGCTTAGCCCTAGAGGAAAGCCGCAGCAACTGCTGGTTTCTCACATGAGTCAGCAGTTAGTAGCACACATAGACACACAAACACATTTCACTGCCGGTCGGCTTTTGTGACCTGGGTCACGAAACAACTTACTAAAATATCACAAACATACATGGAACCTGAAAGGGGGTCCCTAATAGAGGAACACGGTCTTCTGGGAAGATCTTTAGGTTGCATGTTGCGGCACAGTCTAAATCCCATGCTTCTGACACCTGAAATAAGAGATCCCAAGCTAAGGGACCTTGACCACGGTGACCTCATTTTAAGCCCAAATCGGTGAGCTCGGCATTAAAAAGGGGCTCTTTGTTCCTGGGACGGTAGCGCGCCGCCTTTGCCGCTCGCCTCGTGGCCCCGCGCCGCAGCGATACGCAACGGGGTGTCCCCACTGACCAGATCCGCCCGGTCCGGGTCTGCGCGTGCCTCGCGAGTGCAGGCCCAAAAACGCAAAGAAGGTTCAATCTCCGTGTGGTTTGTGCTTGCCGAAGATACCTCAGAATATACAAATTGCAATGTCACGATTAGCCCACTTTCTGAATATGGTCGTAGCCCCCAATCTTCGAAGGGGTGCCGGTCCTCAGCTAGCTCTCTGCCCACCAATGGAATGAAGTGGTCCTCAACTGACTGAAATGGTTGTCGCGAGCTGTGCTGAGCTGCAGTTGTTTTCCCCCCAACAAGCACGAAATTCGACTGGGAAGGCTACAGGCCCTGCTTGCTCAACAGGTAAAAGTCGGCAAGACCACAATGTGCTACTAAGTCAATGCCTTTCTTGCCCAGCAAAAAACCACAGCTTAAGCGCTCTATCATCCAATGACAAATGGGGTCCAAGTCGTCTGCTTTGAAGGCAGCACCGTTCGACCGCAACCATGGCCTGCGAATGCAGTTGTTTGTGCGTTCCTTCCAACTTGCAAAAAACACATTAAACCCAGTTGCCATGGACAATAAAGCAGCTTTGTTTTGGTGGTTGATTTTGAAGTGGGTTCCCCCTCCAACAAAAACAAGTTGAAAAGAGGGGCAGCCCACTGGATCCCTGGGAATTATATTTTGAGCTGGTGAAGTGCGTTCCTCATCTACCACCCAGAAAACTGCCTGTCCGTTTGCCACCAAAGGTAGGGGTTCGTTTGATTCCATTTGGGGGAGCAGTACAACCTTGGCCATGCCACTTTCATGCCCCATAAGGCTGCCTCTGCTCTACTCACACTACGGTTAGCTTCGCAGGAATTCACCCCAGTTTGCTCCCCAGACTCACCCGATCCAGCAACAAAAGGCATACACTAACTTTGCCGGCAAACGAAAAGGCCTTCCTCGCAAAAAAAAGGTTCAGCAAAACCGAACAGACACAGATCCCTCTAAGGCCCGCCGCAACAAACCTGCATTTCAATAACATGAACGGACCCTCCCAAATGAGGCGGAAAACACCCGGTGTTCACACTTTTGCCCTACACTCAATTGTGTTGAATTCCAAGCGGCTGTCTTCTTAGAAGTTGTGTGCTCTAGTTGGGGCCTCAAAATCGGAACCTCAGAAGTCAAAGTTGGAACCTCAGAAGTGGCCAGTGGCCAGTGTGTAAGCATGCGCGCCTGAGAGAAAGCAAAACGGCAGGAAAACAGGCAGGAGCAAAAGAAGCATAGCAGCTGGCACCATAGTGCTAGGGCTGAATAAACACTATGGACAAGGGCCTGAACTGAGGGTGACCAGTAATAAAACCACTTCGGCCTTGGGCTTCCGCTTGCGAAGCACGTGCGCGGAACTTGCACGAAACCTTACTAGTTGAAACTGTGAAAAAACGTCTTCTGGAGCAACCAACAACAACCTCCGACATATTTCAATGGCACTGATGCTTCGAGGCACTAAACTATTGCAAATCCGACTTGAGCAAATCTTGTGAACACTGCAGTTTTGACTTGCGCGGCCGCATGCTTGTTCAAACTTGACATGCCGAATTCCAAGCGGCGGCCTACTTGCCCGATGTTTAACCAAAACGCTGGGATCCCCGAATACATACTAAGTATGCCGCGGGGTCTTTTTGACTCAAATGACAAAGACTGTGGGGGTCGGCAAAAAGGTGTCATTCGAATAAAGCGGCCGCCGAACAAAGCCCAACAAATAGTTTGGGCTTAGAACGAACATCGGCAGGGGTCAGTGGAAAGACCCAACAAGACGCGTCTGGTTGGCCAGGACCCGCAGTGTTTTCGGAGGCGGTGAAAATGTGTTGGCGTATGTGTAGTCCAGCAAGGAAGCATGTGAGCGGGTGTGCTTACCATGTGCCAGAGCGGTTGCGCGTATGATTCGACAGGCGTGCATGCAGTGCTGCGCGGACGCACGAAAGCGGGTGCGCGTATCACGTGCCAGGCATGCAGTGCTACGTGGATAAACTTGAGAGGGTGCGCGTGTCATTCGGCAGCCGTGTGTGCAGTGCTGCACGGACGCACTTGAGAGGGTGTGCTTATCATGTGGCAGGCGTATGCGCAGTGCTACATGGACGCACTTGCGTGGGTGTGGTTGTCATGTGGCGGCGTGTGCGTGTGTGTGTGTGTGTGTGCAGTTTCTGGACGCAATCATCTTCCCAAACACACTTCGACAACAGGTGCCCCCCCAACTTCAGAGTTGGACCCGCCCCTGGTCAATCAAGCCAGATGGAAAACACCGCCCACGTTGGCTTCAAATGAGTACTCAAATGGCACCACTCCTGCACAACATTGAAGTTGGGGGGCTAAGAGGGTGCGTGGGGTAGTTGGGCGAGAGCAGGCGGGCTTTTTCCATAGAATCCTCACAGGTGTGTGTGTGTGTGCGTGCAGTGCTGCGCGGGCACGCTTGAGCGAGTGTGCTCACTTATCATTTGACATTTGTTAGCCCCAAACCCCCCCCGAGGCCCGAATCAAGTTTCGTGTTGCGGGTCCTTACCAACCCGGTTGGACAGGAAAGCTGCCAAAGAAAGGTCTCGCCTCATGGAGCTTGAAAAAAACGGGTCCGGACCCCAAAAAGCAGCGGCCCCAGCTTCGGCCTGCAGCAAGAATCGGGCCACTGCAGAGTGTCCCACCATCGCGGACATCCAAAGCCTCGGTGTAAACCGATAATAAAAATTATGTAGACTCTTACGTCACACCAGGCTGTGCACCCCTCACAAGCACACAAATAAATGTTGAAGTGTGGCTCATATTTAGTGCAAAGTAACTTGGAAAAAGATCACGGGGACATGGGAATTCCTTGTTTTCCGACACGAAACAAATATTGATGAACAATAATTCCAACCGTGACAACAACATGAAACACGGGACATAAACCAATTCCAGAAGGTGGGGGTTCTTGGATCACGAGTAATACACACATGGTATTTGTTGTATCAAGTGCTAGTAGTATTAATGATGCTAGAAGTGTTAGTAGGACAAGCGCTCCCACGATAGGAAATTCCTAGGTCCTCATGGAAATCGAGCTGCTTGTTGGACAACTCAGCAGAATGCAAGGTTGTCGGCTGAACTCGTTTTAGAAAAAAGTAGAAGGTGGCTTTTCAATTTAGTCGTAGTTGTTAAAGTCTAGTCGTCGGTATGTCCCCTGTCATACAAAAACACGTCGGTCCATCGCCAAGCACGGTGCCTGGGAAGCTTGCGCCCCATGGTTCCTTTAAAGAAGCATGCGCTGTCTCCCTGAAACTCCATGACATGACTTAGACCATAGGTTTGATAGTTTGTGAGACCTGGGGCCACTGGTCGGAATGCTTTCGTCAAATGCGCGCTGGAAAGTTGCGACAAACTCACGCACTCGCAATCACACACCAGCACGCACAAATGTAGCAAAAGACAATAATTGCGGACGTATTGTATGACATGCACAAGAAAGCCAGCACAGCATGAAGACACGAAACTGAATAAACCATCAGTGGACTGTATTTCATACCAGCAAATCCCTGGCGAATGAACGGATGGGCAGCCATCTTCTCCAACTGAACTGCCTTTGCAGCCTTGCAGGTGCATAGCGCGTGTTCACCAGTGGCCAAGGCCCTTCTTCAAGCACCGGAAAACTACCGAGGCTTTGTTCTTTCCCCGCTCACTTGGCATGTCTGAATGTGATCGCATCCGACTGCTGTTCAACAAGCAAAGATCGTTTGTTTAGTTAGGTTCAAGTTCAATTCATGAGCACACTCATGGCCAGCGTGCAATACATGAGCAGCGCATGATGGCCAGAATGTGTCCACGTAGCATCATTGCGCAAACCCGTAAACACACACATGATATAGACACACACATGCAGGCATGGTAGAACAACTACTTAACAAATGCTGATGTATGAGTAACGACTAGTAGATATGTATCTATACAGAGACACGTGTGCTGTGAATTATGTGTATGTCTATACATATACATATATATATATATACGCGCAGCGCCCGGGGTTTGCCCAGGCGTACAAGCGTGTGTGTGTGTATATATATATATATGTTTGTGTGTGCATTTTGTGTAGCTGACTAGTGCTGAGTTGAGGCCTCTGTTTTGACCAGTGCTGACTTGAGGTTTGTGTTCCCTTCATGGTGGGCAACAACGTTTCATGATGCCATGAGTGGGCTCGAGCAACATGAGTAGTGGCGAGTGGGAACGTCATGCTTGGCATTCCTTGCGTTTGTCTTCACGTCAGCACACACTCTCCTTTCTAACAGAAAACCGGGAAGGCACGCTTCGAGCTGCCAGCCTGGAACGAGAATCCGGTTGCTGTTTCCAGGCGCCTGTGGCTCATTAGGGTTTATGGTTTTAGGGTTTTGGTTAAGGGTACAGGGTTCAGGTTTAGGGTTTAGGGTGTACTGTTTTGGGCTTAAGATTGTTTAGGGTTGAGGTTCGGGTTTATGGTTTTAGGATTAAGGCTTCGGGCTATGTTTTTAAGGGTTCAGGCTTAGGGTTTACGGCTTTAGGGTTTAGGTTTGAGAGCGGGCCGCCATGGGGCCTGTGTTTTTCCAGTGTAGTGCCTTTTGGGGCCTGTGTTTTTCCAGTGTAGTGCCTTGAGTGGTGCAAACAGGATTTGTATTTATGTTGTGTTTTTCTTTGTTAGACCAAGGAGCCAGAACACACGGGCATGTCTTTGTGCAAGGCAGGTTTTTTTGTAGACTTGTTTGCTGGACTGTTGCCAAATCAAATGCTATGTCACCTTAATTAGTGACAGAAAGAGATTGAAGATGCCCTAGGCTGAATCAAAACTGCTCTCACTTGGCGGACGGTTTCTTGTAGACGGAGGAGCACTGATAGGGCTTGGCCACACGCTTGCGCTTCTGCTGGCCGTGCTGGTTGATGTACGTGGCCTTCTTGTTGCGGATCGCTTGGTTATGCATCTTGCAGTAGTAGAGCACCTTGAAGGCGTGCCGGAGAGGAGAGGATTCGTTCAGCACACGTGCGTAGTTCCGAAACCACGCGAACACTTGCTCTGCCGCAGACGTGTTCACGTGCTTCAACCGCTTGGCCAACCGCGGCACATGCAGAGGGTTGCACTTGCATGTCTTCTTGTGCCCAGTGGCATGGAAGCAGTCGATGGTCCAATACTTCACCTGCTTGAATTCTTTCACCTCCAGGGCTTGCGGCAAGAAGGCGCAGTTCCGATCCAGCACGAAGCAGTTAACCTTCTTGTACATGGGCAAGATCTTCAACAGTGAGTCCTTCACAACTTCGTTGTTCTCTGGCTTGCTCGTGCAGGAAACCGAAAGCACTTGCAAGTTCTTGGGGTCGACGATCATGAACCACCCGTGCCCGTACGGCTTGCCCTTTCCATTCTTGCGGGGCTTGCCTTGGTGCGACGCAACCTCAGAGCACTTCACATGGACTTTGGCATGTCCATCGCCAACTAGCTCTGTGACAGAAGCTTTGTTTCGAGGGGGGAAGACTTTGGAGTGCAGGTGCTTGTCATACGCAGCCAAAGAGATCTCGGAGAGTTCGTTGCCGATCTCAATGGGTTGGTTGATGCCAAGGGAAGACAACTCCTGCAATGCCGCCCAGTACATAATTGCATCTGCGTGAGCCTTCCGGAAGCGAGTGAAGTCCGTATCATCCACGGTGCCGTAGACATTCTCGTACACATCCTGGACGGCTCTGGATGAAACAAATGCACGGAACTCAAGCTGGGTGTGGTACTGCAAGTACTCCAAGCTGAAGCCACGCTTCACGTTCACGAACAAGACCTTCTGAATCTCCTGCTTGTTGGCGGTGTTCAGTTTGCATCCATCGACATTGACAAAATTGGGGCCGTAGGTCTTCCTGCAACCCCAAGCTGTGCAGCGCATAGTCCGGACGATTGCATCAGATGGACCACTCATGGAATAGACGACCGCCTCGATGTCATGAGCTTTGGACAAAGCCTTGTGTCCACACGAGCAACTCTTCATGTGTGTGCTGTACACAGGCTTGGAGAGCGCGCCACCGGGAATATGAAAAGCAGGGCATAGGCTTGAGGCACCAGCGCACATGAAGGTCAGCTTGAAAACATGGTACATCGGACTCTTCATGAACACCGCAAAGACATCCGCCGAGATGTACGCATGCATGCCATCGTCGACTTTCTGCACCTTCCCGTTCGCGTTGATGACAGCGAAGAAATGGCTTCTTGTTGTGTCCAGCACGATAAACTTGCCTGGCTGCAGCTTGCTGTTTGTAGACACTAACTTCAATCTGGCACCTAAGGGGGCCAACATCTCACATCCATCAGCCGCAGTGAACGGGCCATTCTTGTCGTAAGAAATGGGGCACCCAAGGCTGCGAAGAGAATTGCAAAGGCACACCTCCGAGTAGGTCTCGTTCGAAGCACCGCAGCCAGCAGGATGAAGCCAGGCCTCATCCATCTCCTCAGCTGCTTGGACCATCTCTATGGATTCTTGGCTGCACAACAAGGAGCTTGCTGCTCTGGTTGCTTCCTTTGGCTGAGCGTGGTCTGGGGCAACAGGTGAAGGTGACACGACTTTCTGCGGGGAAGAGTCCAAGTCGATCACGCTGCCAGAAGACTGCATATTCAAGCTCCATGTCTTAGCTTGCTTGAAGACCCCCTCCTGCTCCATCTCAAACTTCTCCTTCTTGACCGACACTGCAGACTTCTCAAGGGCACGCTTCTGCTTGTCTTGCATTTGCTGAGTCACCGAAGGAACCGCCGCTGGCCTCTCTCCGAAAACTTGCTCCCGAATCCGATTGCGCTTGGCATCTTCCTCTTCATCCTCCTTGCTGCGACTCCTCTCTGCGAAGCGCTTGTGCATGACCGCCTCCACCCACAGCTGCTCCTTCTTCACCTCCTCGACGAAGTCATCTGTGATCTCCTTGGTTCCACCCTTGTGAAGACCATATAGACGTTTGCCCTCCTCGGTGAGATATTCCGCGTTGATCTCCCACACACGCGGCACTGCCTCGGTGTTGATGCCCGCCTTCCTGTAGTAGACGTGAGTCTTCGTATTGAGCAAGATGCAAGTTCTCTTGAAGACAGCATCCATGTGGGCGAGAGTGGCACTTTCCACAATGCTGGGGCGCATGAGCTTGAAGAAAGTCTCGAAGCTGACGGTGTTGGCATACGCAGGCTCCTCGGAAACACCATCATCATAGGTGTTATCTGCGACGGCACGAGGTTCGTTTTGAACCCATTTTGTCGCACCCCATCGAGCCCAACACATGCTCTCATAGAGCCCGACATCCAGGAATGCCTTGAGCAACTTCATCGGGAGCATGTGCAAGGATGTGTCATCCAGGAAATCGCCCATGAGCACGGACCCCTGTTCGCCACGAAGAAAGTCGATCTCCGGCGTAGAGCGGATACAAGGCTGACCCGACAAGTTGAAGCGCGCCTTGTTGTGGCGCACCTGTGCCATCAGGACGCTCCTACCCAACGGGCTCTTTCCCGCGCCCGCCTCCCCCAGCATGGTGAAGGCTGAGAGATCGAAGTCCCATATCTCCTCCATGATCTCCAAGAGCCAGGAATGGTATTACTTGGTCGTCAAGGGGATGGGCCAATCGAACTCCTTGCGGGCCAAAGCGCCATCCGAAGCCAAGTTCCGAAGAGCACGGTCAACCAAGGCCTGAGGCCATCCATGGATGGGAGAAGCTTTCCGGCGCAACTCCTTTGTCATCCATCGCAGCTGCTGCATTTCAGATGAGCTCCTGGGGCCATGTGCCAAAATGAAATCGAACCCCGCATCCACTTCCTCATCTGTCTTGTCCTCGAATGAGGAAACAGTCTTGGACTTCACGATGGCGTTGCTCGACAGCTCCGCACACTTGAACTGCCGACCACCCATGGTCTCAATGCAGTACTGCACGGTCTTTCTGCCGAGCTTGGGCTCCTGCATCCAGATGGCGCGCTTGGCAACTCCGAAGCCGAGCTTCATGAAGAGAGGGGCCTTGCATTTCTGGGGGAAGATGAAGTGCTTCCAAATGGTATAAGATCCATCCAATGCTTTCAGGATGACCATCTGGAGTTTTACATCCTTGCCCACTTTCTTCTGCAAGCCGAAGGGTGCAGAAATAAGGTCCAGATCTTCATTTTCAATGGCTCGCTTGTACTCGCGCTCCAACACGGTAAAGTCAATCTCCTTGCGGTAGTTGAAGATGACATCGAAGAGGTGCACGCTCGCGTTGTCTGTGTGGAGCAAGTCCGCACAGGGGAAGTTGACCGGGTTGAAAGAGCCAGGCGGTTGCTCTGGCAAGGTAATAGGACTGGTGGAGTTCCTGCAAACCATGCCATCGAGCACCTCCCTGAGATGGTCCACGGTCATATCCTCCGCCTCGAGAGCCATGACTACTTGAAAGAAGAGGGAATGAGCTGAGACTTACTTGAGCAGGCTACCAGAAGAGGGAAAAGTAGATGCAGACGCAGCATGGAGCAAGAAGTGCAACAGAGGAAAACACTCCGGGAAACCCCCCAAAAAAAAAAACAATCCTGAGAGGGAAATGACAGGAGGTGGCTTGCCTGAGCTTTTGTCTGCCAGATTGTTTTTTTTTTGTGTTTTGTTTTTTTTTTGGGGGGGGGTTTCCTCGAAGAAAGCCCCAAACAACAGTCATGAGGGGGAAATAAAAGGAGGTGACTTACCTGAGCTTGTCTGTGTTTTTTTTTACACGATTTGTTTTGTTGTTTTTTGTGTTTTTTTTTCTTTTTTTTTTCGGTTTTTTAATGATTTTACTGTACTTCAAAAACGCAGGCCCCATGGCGGCCCCTTCTGTTAGGTTTAGGGTTATATTTTTTTAGAGTTAAAGTTTATGGCTTTTGGTCTTAGGGTTAAGGCTTAGGGTTAAGTGTTTTTAGGGTTAATGTTTAGGGTTTATGGTTTTGGGGTTAAGCGTCAGGGTTAAGTTTTAGGGTTTCCGGTTTTAGGGTTTAGGTTTGGGGTTGTGGTTTTGTAAGGTTAAGGTGTAGGGTTAAAGGTTTTTTAGGGTTAAGGTTTAGGGTTTATAGCTTTTGGGTTAAGGTTTGGGGTCTTGCTGGTCCGGGCAAACCCCAGGAATTGGCCGTATATATATATATACATACATATGCACGTGTACTTACCTGACTAACCTGCGTAGCCTTGCTAGGACGCGCCGTGCGCCCCTGCTCATGGCTGGAGCTGTCGAGCCGAGGTGCGGTGTTCGACCCTCGTGGTCCATGAGATTTTGCTGAGCTCCTGCCTGACAAAGGCACCTCACCACCTGAGCCGCGGCTGCTCGAGCGGGCTTTGCCAAAGAACCCTTTGTAGAGGGGGATCCTCTTTTGAGGTTGAGGGGAAGCCAAGAGGAACTAACTTCTTTTGGGGGTGTCCCCTTCTGAGTAACAAAAGGCTGTAGTAAAGGCTTTCATGGAAAAGAAATCGACGCCCATGTCACAAGGTCGATACTTTCGTCCCTGAAAGGGGCTCAACCGCTTCGGTTCTAGAAGACCGCCAAGCTTTGGCGTTGCGTCTTGGCACACACTTAATACTGTGGATGGACAGAATCTTACACCGGTTTGTAATAAGATGGTTTCTCCCAGTATTAGTTCACAGGCTGCACCCCCGCCCAATCGCCGCAGGATTTTGCCCTTTCGCAAGATAGTGGGGAACTCTGTGTCACGCTCCACATCGCTCAGAAAAGCAACCATGCGACTTGTTTGTTGTTGAAGGCACAGAACCTCCAACCATTCCATGAAGAAATGACATAGAAGATAAGGATCAATCGACCGTGTCCCCACTCAAGATAAACACAAGCAATCTCATTCCTTCAGTGGGGAAACTAGACGCACACCAATTGCTTCCTCAGAACAAGCCAGCACATGCTGTCAACATTGGGGGACACAGTTTCCTTTCAACTTTCGATTTCTCTTCGGATTCCACAAAAGACGTTTAGTTCTTTGTAATAATTGCTAGCAAACCAAGCAAACCATATAGCTCAATAATACCACGAGTGTCTGGCTCTACTTGCAGTAAGGGAATCACCCTGACACCAACAAGAAAATCAATCCTCAACGGTACCCGCTTTGAAGCAATCATCAAAGTGGACAGCACGGCTTTGGACCACGATCACCATACTCTTGAAAAGCCCCCTTGTCCAGCTCCATGATGGTTAGGGCTGTGTTTGTTTTGAGGGTACCCCTCTTTACCACCCTTGTGAAAAGGGGAACAAACCATTGTTGGCCATCATATGGGGGGTGTCTGTTTGAGGCTTTTAGCATCGCTAAAGTATTCCAAACTTGAAACCAAAACGGACACCATCCAGTTTGGTCCGCCCAGTTGAAGACAAACCCACATACTGCAAGGGGTAGAGGAAGGTCGTTGGCTCGGCGGCTTGCCTCCAGATGGCCCCGGGCAGCCGCTCCTCGCAGGGGCGTGATGCCCGTGCGGTCCGCCTGAGCGACACACGACCCGAGAATGTACGGCTGAAATGGAACCGGCACCCTTTGCGGAAGGGAAACCGCAAGAGAACCTGCAATTTGCGGGGTTCACCCATATGTTGAAACACACCTAGGGCCTAAATGATAAGATGGGCTTGTGGGTTCGGGAGGACAGTGAGGGACCTAAACTCCCATGCAGGGCCATGACCAACAAGAAAGTCACCTTTAGAGCTGATGAGATAACAACAGCGTGAAAGCCTGAACCGCTGATTCCCTACCAAAGTAATCTGCCCAAAAAGTATCTCTCTGATGCTTACTCGCGCCAGCAAAGGTGTGTCCAGAAAACTGTAAGTGAGAAACCCAAAACCCGGCCTTGTCCTTGTCGGCGCCGTAGGCCAACAAACACTGCACTACCTGCCAGACGCAAAACGCCAGACAGCAGATGCCAGAGGCATTCAATGTGGAGAGCATCTGCTACTTGTGCCAAGTTCTGTTCTCTGGAGCCTCCGCCCATTGGGTGCCTGTTCAGAGGGCGAAGAAAGCCGGCGCTGCGAAAAGCTATGCGTTTTCCCGAAGACACCTCAAGCCTACAGGGAGGCGCCGAGGCGCCTGTGCTCTTTGGACACCCCGCCATTTATGACTGCCGTGCCCCGAGGAGCACGCCGTGCCTCCAGACATCCATTTGCCGCTGCGACCAGCAAGGCAGTGCTTCCACTCTGCTCGGCATTGTCCTGTGGCAAACCAGCTTACCCCATGCATACCCAGTGCCCTTTTCACCTTGGATTAAAAGCAATCGGGAAATTACCATAGTTCCTTTCAACACAATCGCATAGTTTCTCTTTGCACATCACCCAACTGAAAATAATGCTGAATTCACTCAAAGATAGTTAAATCAAGCATAAAGATAAGTATGAGGGCATCTGCGTGCAAATGCTCATCAGATCTCGAAAGAACACCCATGAGGCCCATGGCCCGCACCTCACTGGAATCCAATTCTATACTTTTGTGTTCGAGCCTTCTTTTGGTTTCGTTCAAGACAAGCGGTCAGATGCAACTTAACACAAATTATGATCCCCTCAAGTTAACTTCAACTGCTCTTGCTTAGAACCTTTGGGTGAGTCAGGCGGGTTGGCTCTGAGGCGAAGCGGTCAAAGCCTTGCCTTCGAAGCGCCGTGGTCCAGCAGGCATTGCACCACCTCCGAAGTACACTGCTTGCTGACCCCTTGTGAAATTGAGGGTGTTAGATAGACGGCCCCTTGGGGTTTCCTTTGGGGAAATCAATATTGAGGGGTATGTCTCACTGATACCTATGCTCCAAGGGTCCAAGCCCCGTTTGAAACAGTTGTTGAGCAGTCAAAGTATTTTCGTAAGAGGTGCATTGGAGCCTTACTTAGGGTTTGACGGTCGATTCCTCCTCTGTTTCTATGCCTACGCTGACTACTAGAAGGGCACCTTTGTTTGGGACTTTCAAGGCAAACTCCCTAAACAAGGAAACACCAACACTACTGTAGGTCTGTGATAACCTTTGGAAGTCGATTCCCAGCTGGCACACGCTAAAAGCGGCCTGAAAAACACCTAAACTCACCTCGGTCGGGTTCTTCAAGCTAACTCCGTCCCCTAACCTCGATCGATCCCTGCCAGGCCTCCATGTGCCCGTGGGCGCTGGCGAACCACAGGGGTGCCAGCCGCGGTGCGTCTGGGCATGCTGAAGCCTCCAAATCGAAATGAGACGTGTGACCGAAAGGCAAAATGTGGGAAGGGTAAGAACCATGGGCCAACCCCCGTTGTGTGGGGTACTCCCCTGTGCGACGTTTTGTTGGCTGCAAAGGGAAGCCAAAAGGACCTAATACGGTATCAGGGTTGGGCGAGCCCTGGGTTAGACATGCTTATTAAACAGCCATTGTTGGTTCTCCTGTAGAAAAGGAACTTCAAACGAATTGTTGGCCAACCCTGGGTACAGGGGAACACCCATCTGAACGACCTATCCGAACTGTACAGGACAAAAGAAGCGGGAAGTCTAGGGCACCTTCATCATGCGAGAGTTCACCCTGCTGGTAGGTGAGGTCGCGATAATTTGCCTGGCCCGTGATATGATATCTTGTAAGAAGGGCGGGTGAGCCTAAAATGCGTTGGAGCCTGACAAGTAGACCCCTTCAAATGTATCCTGGCAACAAGGACCGTAGCTGACCAGAAGTGAACGGGCGTACAACTTGGCTTGCGCCCTGGAGGTTTCAAGTCGAAATGGATCGCCTTTGTTGACCCGCGGCCATGCCCGGAATATGCCCGGAAACCGGAAGAACCCGCGCAAGTTGGCGCCGAGAAAGCGGGTGGCTGCAATGCGGGCTGGCTATCGAGCCCCGGAAGCCTTGCTGAAAGAGCTTGAGCCCCGGTCATGGACTTCGGGATCCTGAACTGATGCTCGCAAGCAACCCCTGTGTAACTGCCAGCTAGTGCCAAATAAGCAAATACCAACACAGCATTCGTAGAAACGCTTTGCAGTGCAAACAGCGCCTTCCAGCAAGTCAAGCAGCAATGTGTCAGGAAAACACTTTCAGCCTCGGATGTACAGAGCAAGACCTGATCCGTTCTCCGAATAACATGACATGTTGTGTGCCTTTGCGGGAGGCAGCTCTGCCTTTTGAGGCATACCATTAATGCATGCTGCTGTGATTCTCATCCATGTATATATGGGCTCCAACCTTTAAAACAAATTAATCAAGACGTGCAACTGGTCTATTTTCTAATGAGTTGGAGGCGTGACGCAAGCACAGGATTCGTATTGTCGTAGTTCTTGTCTAGTGTGAAAGGCTAGGCCTTGGTGCAAGTGCACTAGATAGTTTGTCTGGCATTGGGCGAAGCCATGTTGACCACAGAAGTGCTGATAGAAGAAAAACATCGTCCAAACAGATGTTCTTGGTGCCGCGGCTGACGCGAAATATTCCCTTCAAGGAGGCTCGTCTTTCAAGCTGCATGTCCAAAACATGGGAGCAATGATTCAAATAATTAGCGTTCAAGGGAAGATTGCCGTAAGAAAAGTGATCCCCCCCCCCAGACTGTGGTCGCTCAAAAAATTGTTGTTGCTTACTCTAACAATACAACAATACAGGCCTACAAAGGAAAGCAGCAGGTAAGAGCAGTATTTGGCCCACGGTATGCAGCTGGGTGCTTCGCAGCAACGCTTTGCGTTGGGAGTCGGCCAGCTGCCTATGGCAGACTGCTACATGCTATTTCATGAAATCAAAAAGCTAGCAGCTAGAAGCAAGCTGGAGCCGGAAGGTCCTCTGGTAGCAGGGGATAGCGCTCCTTCAGCAAGCTACGAACACGTTGCATTCCTTAGTGGTGCGTTGATCCCTAGCTAAAAGTCAGTTTTGGTGGGGTCTGTCAAAAATCCGTCTCGACGCAAAGAGTCAAAAGATCTAACGGTATGGCTGGGAACTGCCAAGATTCGTCTCGTACACCAAGCAGTGCTCGAACGAAAATTCCAAAATGAGGTGCCGATGCCGCGATCCGTTGATGGATCATATTCTCGATTGCCCTGCTTTTGAAACTTGGCATAGCTGTCAATCCCCTCCAGCTGGTCCAGAAACAACTCTCCCGCATAATGAACACTGTACGTGCAGGCAGATGCTAGTGAGACGTCATTGCATCTGCCCCCAGGATACTTCGCCGTGCAGCCCTCATCCTTCTTTCCCACCGCCTGCTCGGGGCAGGGGCCAGGGAGGGAAAACCAAACCCCAGCAGTGTATGCAAAGCCTGTAGATGATGCTCCTTGCTTTTGGCAACCTACGGCAAAGCCGTAATGGTCCCAAAGTTTGTTGCACTGAGGAACGGTGCAGGCCCCGGTGTCAAACGCCACAAATGGCATGAAGGCTTTGTTTTGCAGTGCCAGTTCCGGAGAAGGTCGCATGATGACCAGGAAGCGCAGAATTCGTGTAATGCCATTCATTCTCAGCCCAGGCGCGATTCTGGACGAGTTCTCTTTCACGATTTCATTGTGCAAGTAGTACATGACTCCTGGGAGGTCCGCCATGTCTAAGTTACTCATCACGTAGTTGGCGTCGCTTTGAGCTCTGTATGCATAGAAGTACATCTCATTTGACTGCTCGCAGCTTGTTCCATCCCACACTGCGCCCGTGGGACATACACATCTGTCAAAAATGCGGATTCGTGGGGGCTCACACTCATCTGACTCAACCTTTGGCTCGTTCTCCGTGAGGCGTTGCAGCACTTTGTGTGCTCCGACAACAGAGCCATAGCCAGCTTGAACCTCCTCCTCAGCAGCAGCGTTGTCTTCAAGGACTTGCTTCAACTGCTCAGCACGCATGACAGTGGTTGTGGGCGCCTGTGTCGTCGCCTGCTGCTTGTGCTGACTTTGGGGTTCATCCGGTGATTCATCCGCGATAATCAGGCCGTGTTGCTTGCCCTCTCCTCCCCCACGTGGCTTGGCATGCGAGGCTGCGATCACGTGTCCTTTGTGCTGAAAGGCTTTGCCAAGTTGCAGCACTGCAGTCACACAGAAAATCGCCAGCACAAATGCCAAGGCTTTCAAAGCGCGAGTAGAACTGGAGTCGCCAGAGTCACCGGAGTCCTCGACATTTTCCTCTGTGTCTTGGGTCGCTAGGCTCGCTTGGCTCTTCCGCTTACTGTAGCCAGGTCGGGCCATGGCTGAGTGCAGCAGCAAACAATCACGGTGCTTCACTGGTAGGTTGATTGACACTGTTTTGCATGAAGGCTGGGATGGAAGTCAACGCATGTTCTGCACCGGGGATGCGGTTGACTCTTGTCAGCTGGAACCCGGAACCGGAAATCCATTCGGCGAATGCATGTGCAACTCACAAGCAAATAAAACTTGACCCCGAAAGACCACAACCGCAACGAGTCAAATCATGTTAACGCATCCGCTTTTGGAAACGGGGACTGCGCACTTCCATGTGTATGGGAGTCCAAGCCCAGCCTGCAGCAGAAGTTGCACCACTTCAAGGTGCCCGCACTCTGCCGCGCACTGCAGCGGCGTGAATGGCGTCTCGTCTGTCTCCCCAGCGGTGTTGGGATCCTGCGAATGCTGATTGGATCAATCTTGGAAGAGCTTCGTCCTGGGGTGATGCGGAATTCTGCTGGGGAGAAGTCGGGAACATGATTGGCGGTTGAACACTTAAACCAGGGCTGGCCCAACCTTGTTCAGTTCATGGCTTAAACCTTCATTGTTTAAGCAACCTCCTGTTGGTTTCCCTTAGGGCCTGGCTGCTGAAGAGCAAATGTTGCCCAACCCTGAGTCCGATGCCAAGTTCCTTGAGGGCACGTGCAAGGTTGACACAAACATGGGAAAGGGATTCAGAACTCAGAACCCATATGCGCATGTCCACAACACATACTACACAGTATACATGCACATGTGTCTTTGCACGGGGGGTCATTGATTGAACCCCGGGCTTGAAGAAGTTCACTGCGAACCGCGTAGTGTTAGGATGTGATGGAATGGAACGTCTGAAATGTATCCCATGAATGTCTAGTGTTGCAGAGCGGCAGGCCTGCGTTCATCTGACATGTTTCTTTTGCCTGTCAAGCGATGCGATCAGCAAATCACGGCTTTACCTGCTTTGCTACTAGGAGGAGGAGGAGGCACGTACGGAGCATGGACGGGACACCATTGAACCTGCCACTGCGCTGCAAGCGATGCGTCCTGCGGCGTGTAGGACATGCGCCAGTTGCTTGCAAACAAGTCTGGCAGATTCAAGCGTTCCTGATCAGTAACCATCAAGCAGGCGTGACTTACTGATTCTAGCAGGCGAAGCGGGCATGGCGAAATGGTGCCTCAACGCTGATGGAGCATAGCGCCAAGCCTAACAACTTCTTGTGCGTGTTCTCAGTCAAAACCATTTGCTGTTGATGGAAACTTGCTTGCCTGGCTCATCTACTTCCTGGGGTGCTTCGAGAATCCTGAAGGCTAGATTCACTAGACGAAACAACACACAGCAGCACAACAACTGGCATCAACGTGGGATTTGTCCGAATGTCCCTGCGAGTAAGGCGGTACTACTGGACGCATCACCCCTCCGGCAGCTAGTTGCTTTATTTCTGGTCAAGAGTCTAAGTCAAGAGTACATGAGGTTGGTGGCATATCATTGCCTTTGGTTTCTGACATCTCTGTTGCAAACTTCGCATAACCAATTTCGCTCCTGAGGACACTGCAGAAGCTTCTTGACCTGCAGTGTGTTGCCTGTGCCAAGGGTCTCACATGACGTGTCAAAATTCGGGAGCCGGCAATTGGATCAACATGGGTGACGTTCCTTTGGTTCCCCTTTAAAATCACCTCAAAAAGGGTAAACTCCAAAACACCACACACATACACACATCATCCTGCCCCCCATCACGTCCGCCCAACTTCGTGGCAACTTGGCTCAAAAAGGAGGTACGGTACAGCACCCAAATGTTCAGATGATGGTCCATGTCAATCTAGTCTTCCTTGAAACAAAACAACATTTTCGAGGAGACCCCAGGTTAGTAGGAAACATTGCAAACCGGCTATGCAAGTCCCCTCATTCTTGCATGATAGGGTTTGGCTAGAGACCCTTACATCAAATTTGCTACTCGGAAACGTGGAGCTCTTCCTGGGGCATCCTGAGAGCGTGTGTGTGTGTGTGGTCCTTTTCGACTTTGGTGTGGCCAAGACAAGAGGGAATCGCTGTTGAATTACATTTTACCATTGATGCTTCCTGACGTGAGGTTCGGAGAGGCGCATTTGGCTGAGTCAAATTTTGGGCCCAAAGAACAGCACACGCGACGACGGTCAATACCTGTCTGCAACCCACTGAAACTTGGTGATTGAGTGTGTGGATGGAAGGAAGGCGTATTGCTGGAAGGTGTAAGCACATGTCAGTCACCAATGATTCACACACACAAACAACAGCACACAAGCCAACAATGGTTAAATGAGCCGAAAAGAGTGACATTGAACATTATTCGTGATTCAATGAATTGGAGGCACCGTTGGATGCCCTGTCTGACCAATGGTAATAGGACCCATGCTAAAGATAGTTGATACCGGCACCTCGGCCCCTCGCACAAGATGCCGCACTCCCCCATTTAGGACCGCATATATTCCAGTGGGGAGTTTACCCTTGTTTCGACAGAGAAAAGCGACCCGTCGCCTTTGGCAGCTGCAGACCGCAGCTCATCAGCCTCTGGATCAGGGATTAGCGAGCGTAAGTCATCAGGGTCCAGAATCATGCTGTGCTGCCTTTGAGTTGGACCAAGGTTCCGTTGCCAAACAGCTGCCCAACAAGATAGGGTCCGAGTCAACACAGTCCATTAACAAACCGCGTATGGCTATAATGTTCAAGAGAGAACCACGTCCACAGTGGTTGGACATAAATCTTCACCCAAATAATGTCCACCAAAGGGTCCGCAATTATGACTCCTAGTCCAGAAAGGAGAGAACTCCAAGCTGCGTCAACACGAGCTCGGATCTTTCCCCTGTGCATGGGCGGTGAGCTGAAGCGCTGAAGTCATCCAGCAGGGGCTCCGATTCGTGTTGGGGATACCCTAATGGTCGGGGTATCTTCAAATTGTCACCAAACAGCAACCCCGTTCTTTTCAAGGAAAGATGCGTCTTGAATTGCCTAACACACCTTTTGACGCAATTGCCAAACGACCTTTTGTGGATGATTGTTCCCTGCAATCATCCATATTCCGTGTGGCTCCCTCTGAGAGAATATCAACCAGCTGTCGGTTTGGTGTTCGAATAATCTATCACTTTCTGGTTCAATGTGGCTTCTGTTGAGCACAAATGAATACGAACACCGATGCAAACCAAGCCGTTATTCCTGCTGCTTATGAGTGTTTCTCAATATGGTGGATCCCTTGCAGTTGGTGGTAGAAAGAAAACATAAAAGGAAAGCAACCCCTTGAGGGGAGCCCTTTTTTGAGAAGCAGGCTTGTCCGCACCTCTCCGAGAAGATACCGAGGAACTCCCCAGCCGAAGCCGAAGTATACTGGATAAGCTCGGGATAAGCCAAGAATCAGTCAAGAATGAGTCAAGAATAAGGCCGTATGAAGGCGGTAATAGGTGAAAGTCCCCTTGGAGGTTCATGATGTTTGCCTCTTCCTTTTTCTTCAGGAGACATAGATATGAGAACTGTGTCTGAACAAAAGGATGCATTGTCAAAGCTCGGGGTGGGGAGTAGGTGCACGTGACGTGGTTAATGTCGACCTCGGATTAATGGGCCTGCGGATTAACAGTTGGTGTTTCCCCATAAGTGAAGGTTTGCCTCTACAATGGGACACCTGCCAATCAAACTCGATTAGTTGATGAATCCCTGCTGGCCCACATCTGGAAAACACCAAAATCAACGGATTCTCTAATCATTTTGGACACCCCAGTTTTTGGGGAAGCCTTTAAAGGGGCTCCTTTTTCCACTGGTTCACGACCGGCCCGGGCCTTGTCCTGGAAATAGGGCAGAACCACCACGGAGATCTCCTCCGGGCACCCCAGCTCCTCAAGCCCGATGCGCGGATGCCCAGCTGTGAACTGCTTCAAACTCAGGGCCAAGCCGCGTCAGAACCCACCGCAGCTTCCTGTCCTTCATTGACCACAACAATGCGCTTCCACTGCGCTTCCATCTGCGTAAACCCTTCACGGACCGAGATGTGCAAAAGGGGCGCCGAGCCTTCTCTAGCAACGGCAATTCACGTCCCAGCCAGGTCGCAAGTTGACCTCTGGAACTCTGTTTGCCTACCCAAAATATCCAACTCTCACGCCATCAGCATCATCAGCTAACTTGCTGCCGGATGGATGCAGTTTGCACCACAAGGCTTGTACATCCATGCTCTCATCCCACACAGTGACACAGGCTTGCCTTGGTCTATCAATTCATTTCCGTACAGTAGTGAAACCTTTAAGAAAAAGCACCACCGTGCAATGTCAGACGTTGAGGTTTCAACCCCAGCTCGGCCTTTCATCCGACCTGCTGCCCTGACTGGCCCAAACACAGTTATTGCCAGGTCCGTACTTAACAAAAGCAACACATAGGCCCTCAAAAGCACAGAGTCTCCCAATTCAGCAAGTATCAAGGACAACCGGCAATGAATCACAGCTATACATGGAAGTGCCGATGGCGCTGCATCCGGCATGCTACAATGGTGCCACTGTACGTGCTCGGCTCATGCTTTGTGCGTTTCCATGGTGGTGTAGTAGTCATGGGCAAGATCCTGGCTGTCTGAGCAAATAAGCAGAGAGTGTCCTATTCCTTTCGCTCCCCGGTCCTTGATTGGAGTGCTGCAAGCAACAAACAACTGCTTCGAACCTCAGGCTTGGACAGGTCACATGCCACTCGTTGAACCACCCCGTCCGAGGACTTCGGAGACGCCAATGTTGGGACACATGCTCGGGGTCCTTCACCACCATAACTACCTCAGCTTCAACCCGCAACCGAACAATCATAGTTTGAGTCTAGTTGATATCCACCTCAAATGACAATACCATTCTACAAAGATCCAAGTGCAGACCATCTATTCTCTTCCCCCCCCTTTGATCTGTCAAAAGAGACCCGAGCAAAAGGTATGACGTCGGCTCCTCGTAGGACTCCTCCCCAACCTCCCGGCCCTGCAGCAGCAGCCGTTGGCGCCATGCGCTCGCCCCAAGCCTTGGAATGAGCACAGTAAAGGGCACCAGTCGGGACCGGTAGGAAGGACAGTGTGGTGCAAGACCCGCGAAAGGCTTCGAAGCCGCAGCCAGAACAAACAGTCAGCCGGTTTTGGGGACTCAGGTGGCTTCAACGATAGTTGCTTCAACATTTGGCTGTGGGCAAGCTGGGTAAGCCGCTCCAGTGACTTTTTTTTTAAATGTGCGCACTGCCTACAATGTATTATCCTCGAACAAAACTATAAACCGCTCCCACAGCGCTCAGTTCTTGAGTGGCTCCTTCAGTAAAATTAACAAACACAGCTGCCGAGATTCCGCAGAGCTTGCGCGGCCCTAATTTCCACAACAAACCTCACGCGAGCTATGCGACCCACATGTGTCCTCACGCGGAAGCATGCTACAAGAACCGGGTCCCAAACCTTTACACGTTGTTTTTTTGGCGCTGCTCACCTGGGTTTTGGTCTTGCGCGTGGAACTGGCCTATGTAACTTGCCGCCCCAAATACAAAGCTAGGATAGTTACTTTCTAGTAGTGGTTTTGCTTCACAGATTGAAATGCCGCACTAGCTAACAGTAGCCAACCAACTGAACGCGCTGGAGCCAAGTCCATCTTGCCCAACAAACTCGAGCTACTGCGGTGACTCACTGGTTCCATGCTGCTGCTGCTGCTGCTGCCCATTGGTTTCATTAAAGGCACCGTTGGACTAACGTTGAATCCTGGCCGATCACTCGGGGGGTCAACGGAACCTGGAAAGCCTTCTTTTTCGTGTAGCTTCCTTTTTGGGCATCCCATTTTTGGGTTCCACGCAAATTTGCACGGGAGTAGTCCTTCTAAATCAGTCAAGGTTTATTTGATCAACCGGGTTCCCCATTCCCGCAACGGACCCATTGGTCAATGGGTGCCAATGGTTGCCCATTGTTGAGGCGTGGTCATCTTTCCAGGCGCAGAGCAGCCGTTTAAAGAAGCAAGCAGCCCATGCCACTAAAGGCCTGGGACGATCTGGCTGTACCGTATGTGCGGATTCAAAAGAGAAAGATGGCTGAAGAGAACAGAGAACAGGAATTAAGCGCGATCCAACCAACCAATTGCCTAAGCTTTCAGTCCGGGCCGCACTGGCTCCAAGCGCCGTCGCACCTCAGCCCCAAAGTTCGGCTCCGAGGCCGCGCCGGGCGGCGGCTCCACGCGAGTCACCACGTTGCCCGAGAGCAAACGCACCAGCATGGCGGTTGATGAAAGGCGAAAGCCCCAAAACACAAAGTCACAAACACGTAAAATCAAAAAGAACAAAACAAGACTAACAAGAACAAGCAACTGGAGGCAAACAATTGGCAAACAACATCATGGCTGGGGAGCAATCTCACAAATTAGAAGGACAAATAATTACAGTCCCAGGAGCAAACAAGGCAATCGGAAGAGGCATGCTCACAACTCAGGAAACAACAAAACGGAAGCAACCAGCAACATCGGGAGCCAACCGACAATCGGAAGAAAAAAACAACGTGGGAAGGGCTGGCTTTGAGAAAGTTGACGTTGCAATGTTTCTTCGTGTGCTGGTTTGTTTCTTTGGTTGGTTGGTTGGTTGATTGGTTGGCTGGCTGGTCTGTCCAAAAGGTCAAGCACTGCCTGGGAATGTGTTTGGAGCCATCCTTGGAGTATTCATCACTTTCAGACATCCAGCCAGGAAAGCAACGCATGACGAGGGCATCAGCTTCATTCTTGCTGCAAGTGCACAGCCTGAGGACGTATAGCTTGCTCCCGCTTGCTCTGAGCCAAAAGGCGGCCGAAATGCAACACATGCCGCTGAGAAATGCTACCGGAGCTGCTCACTGCGGCAAGCTGCAACATGATATTGGTGATTGGCGTTGCTCTTTGGATGCGTGTTTCTATGATGAGAGAGGGACCCAAGGGTTAAGCAATGCCGAGAACAGTTTCCCGGGATGGCGCATGTCACTCTCAATCTCCAGAGGAAAAGCATTTCAGGAATTCGATATATCCCTCCCGCCTAGAACCCGCAAGTCGAAAGCTGCATTCCTTTCGAAGGGTATTCACCGCCTTCTCCGACTGCGAAGAAACGACAGGAACCCGAGGGCCGAACGATGTGCGCCGAGGTCAGGCGGCTTTGGGGTCTGGAGAGTCAAGGCTTCGCAATCGGCCTGCGCGGCATTCGACTGAATCGCAGGTATAGGCCCATTGCGGTGCTAGTGAGTAAACAACAAGCCTCCAAAAGCGTGGCAAAGTCAATCAGGGAAAGCCTTGCACGAACTGATATCCTATGAACCAGGTAAAGCCTGGGATGAGGCTGGATGGCTGCAACAGAGATCCCGAAGCACGGTGGCTCCGAGGTTAAAGTTTGCCATCGAATAACATTCATGAGAGCCCCAAAGAATGCCTGCAGGACATGCAGCTAGCAGTGGTCTTGCCTGTAGCTGGTTTGAGGAATCATGAGTCTGGGAAAGGTGAGCATGCTCTGGCGGAGCCTGCGTGTTCCCATTGATCACATCTATATATTGAGTGTTTGGGTTGCCATCAGCACCTTTTTAGGTGAACACTCGTCTGTGCTCATATAGATTTCCAGCTTCTGAGGTAGTGTTGACACACATCATTCCGATGCCCAAAGAAGAGACACTGTGGTGAGCCCATCTGGCGGCGCAAGACGACCACGCATTCCAAGTTGGTCGTTTGCAGGTCTTCTGCGGGCCTTCTGTTCAGGGTTGTTGAGGCTTCGGAGGAAAGAGCTGCCGATTTGCCAGCGGCCGAACAAGCTCGCAGCCAAACGATAATCCAGAATTGTATTGTTCTGATTTGTCATGTTTTGTCCAAGAATAATGTTGTCTAAGGAGTAGGACTCAACAACTTGTCCCGTGTGCGCGAAAGTCGAGGTCGCGTTATACACACGTACATCCGACAAATATCTTACTTTCGCTGATAGCTTGTCAGTGTTTACTTCAGTGGTGTTTGCATCGATCAAGTAGCTTACAGCAAAACCCAAATAAATTTAGGTAGAAGCCTCTGTCTACACATCAGGTCTCCCTTGGAAGGTGCCTTTGATTCAACTCGAGAAAAGGATGACATACGTTTTGCAAACCAACAGAAAGCCAAGCCATGCCTGTTGTTCAATCGCCAAGCAAGGGACTGAAAACACAGTTTCACTTGCACTCTGTCCTTTTGCAAAACCAAGGATGGGACACTACAATTTGTTCGCTCATTCAACATCCCTGGGACTCGTGAACATTGAGGGTGGTAAATCAACAAGGTCTGCCATTTACATCATTCTGCAAAAACCATGGGTTGGCGGTGAGTCATAACGTGGGCAAAACAACAAGTATGGCCATACCGTACCAAATTATGATCCCAGGTAAGGGATCACTGGCGAGGACTAGATTATCCTGGGCAAAATGTAAACATTGAGGGTAGTCAAACCTTTACTCAATGAGTTCACCTGATCTGGAAACAAACAAACCTGAAGGGAGTGAAGAAATCTACGGCCCCACCCCCCAGGACAGGCTCTCAAAACCTTCTCAGAGAATATTCTGGGGAATGGTCGGTGGTAGGCAGGAAGATGAATTCCCCAGTGGCATCAAGTCTCCTCTGGGCTAACCAAAACACAGAACCGCGGTGGACAGAACCGAAAGCGCCTTAGTGCACTGAGCGCGCCTGCCATAAGAGCATCAAAGTAGGACTGCACTGCCTGGGCCGCAGTCTGTGCTTGAATGGCGATCCGCGCAAACAAAGGGTTACCGACTGACCCAGCAATCCGAAAAGAAGCAACAGGAAATAATGTCCCGTTGCGATTCATAATTCTTAGTGAACCCAACCAAAAACAGATTTGGAGGGTACCACTGAGCTGGGGTTGCCATCATGAGCTCAGTGTCAAACCAGGAGGCTTCCCCTGTTTGGATGACAACGATGAACAATTTGAACTGAGCCCCACATGTCCGCAAAGACGCCTGACGGGCATTTGCATGTGCGCTCGTTGACTGACTGAGTGGATGCCCAAAGCTCAAGGTCCAAGTTTGCTTGGAAAAGGACCGGCATGTTGCAACTGTACACGTCTAGCGGGATGTAAATGGCGGCTCCTTTTGAAGCTGCAAGAAAAGGGTCTGCACTGACCAACCGCCAACAGACTCAACACGTGATAGCAAATCAGCAGGAGTGTCTTGCACACAAGCACCCGCTTCCGCGAAGCGCCACATTTCAGGCATCCTCTGAAAAGGGAAGTTGGGCCTTTCCGGATACAATGTATATGTGATCTTCCCATGTAAGCGGTTGCTGAAACTTTAGGCGCCAGTAACATGCATCATGTACATGTCTAGAAGCATTCATTTGTCAAACGATCTGACACCGTGCGGCTGCTGCTAAAAAACAACATCAGCAACCGATGCGTAGTTTCTACACTGAACTGAATGGAAAGGAACTTTGAACATATCCACCCTGGATTTGTGGACGGTGGTTCAATTAAATCTACAAGGGCAACGCAAAGCCGTGTGTGTTGGCATTGTGGAGATAGAGTGTCCCAAATAGGAACACCAAAAATAAAATCACGTTCAACAGAATAAGCTGCAGGTGATTAAAGGTCACACACCGCAGTATACCGTAGTCTAACACATCGAGAATAAGCAGTGGCCAACAAGGGGAGGGAGGAAACCCCTTCTTTTCCCCAAAAAAACACAGAAAACGGGAAAAAGGCTGCTAACCGCACTGACCATTTGGGGTCAGCTTTCACGGCGCACAAACCCGACAAAGGGCCTGGATTGCATTGCTGCTAGCAGGCACCAAGCAAGCGTGACAAAGTCCCCGTGGGCGAGCCGTTAACGGTCCAGTCAGCTGATACAATGAGAAGCAGAAGATTCCATGAGGTCCTTGTCGTCCCCACCTTTCGCTGTCCTAGTGTTGCACTCAACATGGATGGTGTCCCTTGGGCTTCCCTTTAAACCAACCAACAAGGGACCACTGAAAAGACCCTCATATCAAGTACGTCCCCGCAGATTAACAAGGAACCCAACAGACCTCCATTTGTAGGGGCACGCCTTTTGGAGAACCCCGTTTTAGGTCCCATTTGTTTCGTTGTAGAGTCATTTTAACCAACAAACAACACCGGGCGGGTCCGGAGCCGGCGGTCTCTGGGCTAGCTGCGGGGTGCTTCTGCACAAAGTCCCAGTAGTCCAGGACATGGTGCAGCCTATCGCCCAGCGTCGAACCCAGTCCCCCCTTAAGTGAAAACCAGGAAGGAACATGGCTGGGACCGGGTCATGGACACCAGGAACTTAGACAACTCTAAGGGTCCCCAGAGCCAAGGGAGCCACCCTATTGACAACACAGACAATGGTCGATAACCCATCAAAGGGTAAGTGGGATCCGATGGGCAAGACATCAACACGCAACTCAGTTGCCCATTTTGTGAGTTGGCCGGTTCAAGGTTCAGAGACAAACTTGTAGGCAGAAATCACAGGCCAAACATGCAAACAATGTAGCGCGGGCCAACAGCGTCACAACTGCACTTGTGGCAAGATGTACAAACAAAGGACTCCAAATAGTTGCTGTCATATTGCTCTGCACAGTGCCAAACCTGTGTCCCCAGCTTTAGTGGCAAAAGCACCGGCACATCCAAAGCTCGCCCAACATCTCGATCAACATTTCATGGTGCCATCCAACGGTTGCGAGACCCACTGCTTCACATCGAGCAAGGCCCTGCGGCCGTGCAATAGCCAAGGAATTCGTAAGCAGTGGTCAAATACAGCTGGTGGACACATCTCCGCACCTGCTGCCAAGTTCAAAGCAAAAGTTAAACAAAGACAAGTCAAAATGATCATGCCAGCAAATTTATTCGCATGGCTGAATGAGGCAGCACAATCCATCATGAAGTGCCATCCATGCTGGGAATCGAAACGCTTCGGCTCACATCCCTTCGGCGGGAATCCCTCGTACGAGTCTGTGAATCGAGGCTCTGAGGCTGCCGGCCACTGCTTCTCGGTAAGTTGAAGCCTTGAGCCGAAGGAAGATAGTAAAACTACATGCGGAGGTCCAATCAACTTTCGCCCAACTCCCCGGAAACTGGATCATTTGATTTTCCCTTTCAACGGGTCCAATTTGAGTTGTCTTCGGGCTCATGGAACGACTTGCTCTGTAGGACGTGCATATTCCAGGTTGTCTGCGTGTGTGCGCGTGTTTTGAGGATAATGATTTAAACGGACAAAAAAGAAACGACACCATTTCGGGTCCCTGGTTCAAATTCCAATGTTCTAATGTTGACACATGTCCACTTAAGACATGCCCGCATAGACAACGGCTGCAAAAAAGGGTGCGCTGGGACCTACGTGCAATGCCACTAAAAAGAACCCCTCCAACGTGGTGGGCATCAAACCAACATGGGGAATCTGAGACTGAAATAGCTGCCCCTGCTGTCGTCCTCGTGTCAACCAAACTGTTACCGCGGTTTCTAGACTTTCTGCGATATCCCCAAGGTTAAACCAACATTAATCCATCTCCCTTTGCGCATCCAACACACCGATCGAGCGGGCATTTGAACGCACATTTACACTCTCATTTTTGTGTACATGTCATGTACGCGAGACAAGCTACCAACCGTGCAGCGCACCACAGCACCAACAACTACAAACCACTCGCACCACAGCACCACAGCACCACAGCACCACAGCAAAACCATGCAAAGAATCAGTCGTCGAACCTGCCGATTACGCACAACTCATGCACCGACACGCTAGCAGAACAACAACACAAGACACTGGCTGCAACACAGGCAAACACAGGTTTGAATACACACAACCTGACAGCCAGCAACCCACAAAGCGACCCACCTGCATGACGACCCATATTAACATTGAAACTACTCCACCAGCTTTCAACTCCAATGGTAAGAGTCAAACACCCAACTTGGGCAAAGCTCCTGTGCTCCCATATATATACCAATCTGTGCACACCCTTGTTCCCAACAACCGCCATCGCGTTCGTTAGGGCACTTGCAAAAAGAGATCCACCAAATCCCGCTGACAAAAACATCACCAGCTGCTCGTACCCTTGGAATCAGCAACTCGCGCCTCGCTCCAAAAAAGCCGGGGAAACGTGCTTCGGCTAGCAAAGAAACCTTTCGAACCTGAGACAAACTATGTGCATCCATGCATCCTGGTACATAACTTCAGCTATCTCAAGACAGCAACTCCGGCACATCACATTGCTATAACACATTGCTAGCCACATCAGCGTTCCATCCCGGAAAAAGACAACAGGTTGCCAAGCGGTGCATCTGAGTCAGGGAATGTCGAACGAGGGGCCGGCAGCAAAACTTAACTACTGGAACTGGCTGCCGGGTAAGGAAGGGGTAAAGCTTCGCAATATAATGTTTGTATCAGGTTCTTCGGACATGCAAGACTGATACGTCAGGTTTCGAATTAGAAAGCCAATGGTAAGTCAAATGCAAGGAAAGGCTGAACACAAACGGCACTGCCTTCTTCAAAAGGGAATACTGCATATCGGACTTCCCGGGGCCCCTGCGAATGCCCGAAGCATCCCTGGCAATTACCTGCGAAGGTCCAAATGGGCTGCACCCTCCCAGCCACAGCCAGATCCAGCCAAAACAGAACTTGCCTTCAGCGGGACTCCTTGGAAGTGCTGATGGTGGCTTGCGTTGGCCACAGGATGCAGCTTATCACCAAACATGTTTGGCTGCCTGATCCCCGACCCTGCGTCAAAACGCTCTGCAGGTTGCATGCAACCGGCAGGGAGCTGTAATAGAGGGGTGAGGCATTTTAAGAAAACCTTTTCATTTTGGGAAAGCACCACGGAGAATCATCCGGGTTCGACATGGCAACAAGCTACAACCTAGTTGAAACTTCCGGTGTAGTTGATACGAAGGATCATAGATGGGGGTCAGGCCACGCTCGGTAGCCACCCTGATCGTTTGGAGAATTCGCACCCCCGATGCTCCAAGAGGATTCAGTGACTGTGTTGCCTTGCAGCCCAACAGACTCAACAACAACAGTAATGCCTGTGTGATGCCACGCTGAAATCATGCACTGCCGGGACCAGGGACACCGACTAACACGCTAATGCCAAGAATGCGCAGTATGGCCGTTATGAATTATATGGGGATGTGTGCTAGGGCAAGTTGGCCTGACCAACTTCCTTCAAATCAAGCCCTACCAACACAGCGCAACAACACAAAGAACTCCCATGTGTTAAGGGCTTGAATCCTGAATATCTTGGCCAAAGGCGGCGTGCCATTGGGTTTTGTGACGGGCATGCCCTGAAAGGGGGGAGGGCGAGGTAGCACTTGCATCAACAGCAACATCTAAGCCTGCAACGTCTATCACATCAACCAGTCGAACAGCCGATGGAACCCAACTGCCATGTGCTTCGCTGCCTTAACCTTCTCACCTTCTCAATATGTTTGCCAGAAGCAGTGCGCCATTGCGCTTTGTGTGGGGAATGGGCCTCAACATGCGGCAGTGTCCATTCGCCAGACACCTCTCTAAGCATCCCATGTCACACCAAACCCTTCGCTTTGCGTGGGGTGGGGAGCTGGGGTAAGCTAGGCGGAAGCCGGCGGACAATTTGCGGGAATCACCAGGAATGCGCAGAAATTTGCGGATGCGCGGAAGAACTTGTTCTAACGTGCGTTGGGTGTTTTTTCATGAAATGCAGTTCTGGGTATGATGCCGCAACGCATTTGGAGCAGCATAGCTCATACCCATCTCCGAGACGCGCGCACGCTTCCCAATTCAATGCCGTGCCATGCGCGTTCTTGTTATACACCTAAGGTACAACGCTGTATTTGTGAAATCCTTACAAGAAGTGAGTAGGCTTCTTTTCAACAGCTGCTACACATGTCAACAGCTGCTAAAGATGAAACCAACACAAGTTACACAATCTCACTTCCTCTCAAATCACAATATGGCTCATCCCATGTTCGTTGAGGCAAGGCATGTTGTGCTTCAAAATTGAGCACGCCCAAACTCTAGCTGAGAATGCAGCTACAAGAGCCGAATGCAATCATCACGGGGAACAAAAATATCCCTCTACTGTTTGCGTGCAAAAACACTCTGGAAATGCAACTTCCAAGGTTCCCCAGTCCGCCAGACCTTGGGCGAAGGACACCCGTCCGTGCCTTGCTGGAAGAGGTTCTGCCGCAAACCTCGGAACTCACCGACAAACACAGGGTTGCCTGCAACACAGGGGCATCGACTACAAGACGACCCCTTCCAAACGCACCCTTCACAAGTGCCACAAAATATCCTGTACCTCAACCCCAGTCCAAAACGAGGGCTATATAACTTTTGGCAACTTTCCAAGGGTCGTTACTTCACGGACGCCAACAGCTGAAGAGTCTCATGTCAGATTGGGAATTTTCCATCTTGCATGGCACTGCAGGCCTTACCTAGTGGCGCAGAAAAAAGGAAAGCCCGTCGCATTTGAGCATATGTTTTCTTGAGTCTGCCCCGTTCACTTTGGCTTTAAGGAACCACCTTGTTGAACGTTCGGGCACCCTGTTTGTTTAAAACATGCTCGCTGGGAGGCGTCCCTGCTGCTCGTATCGAAGCAGCGGATCCGAAGAAGCTTTGTACAGTCAGATACTCGCATCTATTTGCGACGTTTGCAACTTACAGGACACGTCACGCAGTTTGGAAAGCAATGCATATTTGGCTTGTGGCTTGCAGGAGAACCGTACCCATTTGAACGAACTTGATGGGAAACAAGTGCTTGGGAGATCTAAGAACAGCGGCTTGCTCAAGCGTTGTTTCCGCAAAGAAGCACTCTGACGCTCTTCTTCAGCTAGTTTCCCTCGCCGCTGGCAAACGGTGGTGCATCAGGGACTTCGACAGGGTTCCCTACTGCAAATGTCCCGTTAAATCATCATCCCCTCACAGTGAACGCGTCCAAGAAATGAGGTTAAAAACGAGACGCAAGTGATAGGTAACCCTGACTTCAGACGCAAAGCGGATCTGAGGCTTCGGCGCGCCCCGAGAGCGGCCGCTTGCTCGCTGCAAAGCATCTCTTGAAAGCCTCGAGGCGCAAGGGAAAACTGACCCCAGCCAGATGCCACTTGGAGACCCACACGCGCACAATGCGATAATCAGATTTCATATCATGGATATCAAAAGGGCGCCGCGGCCTGCTGACCATGTTGACTTGTAAGGGATAAAGAAGACGTTGGACAAGCCCTGGGTTGGGCCACAGATTACGGCACGTTTCTCTGCAACAGTCGACACACAGCATCCTGAATATGTATACACACATACAGTATATTGCCTGTTGAACCCCTGCTCAAGTGCACCCGCTCAGCACTGCACAAACGCCAGCCAAGGGATAAGCACCGCTCAAGTGCACCGCTCAGAACTGCGCACCCTCTGCCGAGCGACAAGAACCCCCACTCAGGCGCGCCTGCACACCACTGCACACAAGCCTGCCTAGTGATCAAAGCCCCCCTGCTCAAGTGCTGGCACGCACACGCCTGCCGAGTAGTAAGAGCCCCCGCTCAAGTGAACCCGTTAGGCACATTGAGCTCTTCAGAAAAGGGCCTTGAAGAGGTCGGGATGCATATACTCTTTGTATATATGTAGTAGATAGACATCATACAAAGGAAAACAAGTAAACCGACCAAAGGTCATACAACAAAGAACAACACTCAAACAACAACCCTGTATACATATACATATATATATATATAATAATTAGATATCAAAGTTTGCGTGTGATCGTGTTGTCGATATATCCACCTCAGGAATCTTCGGGGGGGCTATGGGGGGGGGACTATCCCTGGATAAGCCCAGGATAACTCACGGATAAGCCCCTTATTGAGGGCTTAATCAGGGATAGCCCCATAGCCCTTTTTTGGGGGTCCATGACTATAATTCATAACTGCGTATATGTATATATATATATATGGTACAGCGTTGCCAGCCCCCCCCCCAATGGTCATGGGTCAGACAAGTACCCTCCCCCGCTGTGGCTGTGGTCCTGTGATTGGGTTGTGGTGGTTCAGGGTTGGTTTAGAATTGGTTTAGGGTGTATTTAGGGTGTATTTAGGGTTAGTTTAGGGTTGGTTTAGGGCTGGTTTATGTTGATTTTGGGTTGGTTTAGGGTTGGTTTAGGTTTAGAGGTGTACGGTTTAGGGTTTGGTTTAGGGTGTATGTAGGGTTGGTTTAGGGTTAGTTTGGGGTTGGTTTAGGGTTGGTTTAGGGTTGGGGTTTATTGTTTAGGGATTGGTTTAGGGTGTATTTGGGGTTAGTTTAGGGTTGGTTTAGGGTTAGTTTATGTTGATTTAGGGTTGGTTTAGGTTTAGAGGTCTACGGTTTAGGGTTTGGTTTAGGGTGTATTTAGAGTTGGTTTAGGGTTAGTTTAGGGTTGGTTTATGGTTGGTTTGCGGGTTGGCTTGTCCTGGGGGTGGGAGAGCCGGGGTGTCGGGATGCGAGTTCAGGGGGTCGGGGTGCCAGGATCGGGGTCTCGGGCTGGGGGGGGGGGTTGGTTCTGGGGGACCCATACCATATGGGGGGGGGGTAGCAACACGGAACACGGGACCACAGATATATATATATATATATATATATTATAGACTCGACATAGATTTCAACATGTCGGGTGCTGTATATTGTATCAACGTAGCTGCATCAGCCGGCTGGCAGACTGGGCTTCGCGCTCCTCCCAGGCAGTCGTGGTGCGGTGAGGCACCGGATGGGCCCCGCCTGGCAAGCGCTGCTCAAAAGCGCGGTTGCCCCCCTTGGCATGGCACACCAAGCAAAGTGTCCTTGAGAGAAACTGGGACTGCAAATTGGTTTGAACCCCCAGCCCTTAGGAAAGCCAAAAGCTTTTCTTGAAGGAAGGTTTTAACACGTTTACACCAAAGTCAGTCTCTACCATTCCGACATGACCCAAGCTTCATTGTCCAAAGTGGAGGATGGCTTTCAAAAAGAGCGCACGGCTTGTCGATCTTAAGTTGCGCATGTTCATGAATGTCACTAAGCCGTAAGCCGTGTAGCTGCAACAAAGAGCCAAGTAGGATAATATCTTGTGGGCAAACGTGGAACTTCATGACACCTTGACTCTTCAGATGTTCGCATTTCCAGCAGACGCTGCCAGGGGCGTCCCTCAATAAAAGCTATCATGCCTATCGGCAAACAATACATGGAGTCGTGGATCCCCTACTGCTCAAGGTGTCATGGACCCATTTCACGACGCAACACTTGACTTCGCGTTCTCCTCTTACATGACAATTTCTCAGCACGCTGGAAATAACGTTGCCTCGCGACTGGATACATCCTAGAAACATCAACCACATTCCTCTGGGATTTTGCGAGGCATGCGGGTCGGCCCCCCATGTCCTCTCCAAACACACATCAGGCAGTACACAATCCACGATCCGCGAGGGAGGTGTCAATCGACGCAATGGAGTTCTAACAACAGCTGGAGGTTTGAATGAAAATCCAAAGCCCGGACCCACCCAATGCCAAGAACCCGTAGTGGCCCTAGTGCTTTTGTCGCACGTGAGACATGCGTCTTCCCAAACACCGGCCTTCCACTCGGTGCGCTGCAGGAAGCTTTGCACTGGTTCCTCTAGTGCCCCCTGGGCGAAAGCCAAAGCAAACATGCAATCGCTTTGCGAGGATCCGATTCGGAATGAGGTGTTTAACGTCAGACCCAGCCGAACACAACTGTCTATGCACATATAACTCACTTCCTAAGCGGATTGCCCCCCAAATGAAAATGTTCGTTGTATTCCCCAAAAGTATGAAGTCTTGAAATTCAGGGAGAGAGACACCGAATTCAATATGCTCTTAGGTCTATATATACACAGACATGATCATATGTGTGCGTGCCAGTTGGCTGAGGCGGATCATGTTATAGCCTTTGGTGAATACCTGCCGTTTCGGTGTTGCCCGGCGGCTGCTTTGAACAAAAGCGGAAGCCTTAGTATCGGTACACTCCCACTCTCTCTCCCTATCATCGCATCTCCAGCTCGAAAACCGCAACTTTGAAGTAAAAGAATAGTACGCGAAGTACACTTCCGCAGCTCCAGCTCGAAAATCGCAACTTTGTAGTACAAGTCTAGTACGCGAAGTACACTTCCGCAGCTCCAGCTTGAAAATCGCAACTTTGTAGTACAAGTCTAGTACGCGAAGTACACTTCCGCGTCTCCAGCTCGAAAATCACAACTTTGTAGTACAAGTCTAATACACAAAATACACTTCCGCAGCTCCAGCTTGAAAATCGCAACTTTGTAGTACAAGTCTAGTACGCGAAGTACACTTCTCCAGTACGCGAAGTACACTTCCGCAGCTCCAGCTCGAAAATCGCAACTGTAGTACAAGTCCAGTACGCGAAGTACACTTCCGCATCTCCAGCTCGAAAATTGCAACTTTGTAGTACAAGTCTAGTACGCGAAGTACACTTCCGCAGCTCCAGCTCGAAAATCGCAACTTTGTAGTACAAGTCTAGTACGCGAAGTACACTTCCGCAGCGCCAGCTCGAAAACCGCAACTTCTCAATACAAGTGTCGTATTTACGAAGCACACCTTGGCAGCCCCAGCTCGACAGTGGCGACTCGCCTTCTCGTTTTACGGTGGCCACGCAAGGGTCCCACCCTGACTAAGTTACAACTGCAGGGATTATTATAGAGCCGTGTGTTCGCTAAGGGTTATCGTTTTTGGGGGAGACCTTATCGTTTTCCATGGTTTTGGCATGTGTTATGCAAAAACGTACCCCGCCTTGATAAAGTGGTCTTCGTGTGTTTTGTCCGTGGCTCATATGTGTATATATATATATATCATCATATTATTGGCGATGCCAAGCAACCAACACGGACATCTCCGAAAACAAATCTTTGTTAAACAAGCCAATTTGATGGCATTCGCATGGCTTGTCTGCAGTCTCCGCTTTTTGGTGGCAGGTGACTGCGTCTGGCGAACATGTTGGGTGTATTAAAGAAATGATCACTGGGTCCGAGAAGGAATGCCCGTTGGGTCTGACCTCGTGAAAACTGATGTGACACGACCAAGGCAGTACGCGTGCAGGTCAGGCATATCCCGAATGAATACGCCAACTTAATTCGGAAAGCAAACTAGAATGACTGGTAGGCAAGCATAGTCTGTGTCCGGGAATAGGTCAACAAGGGCATTAAAGACGCACAGCAACAATATGATGCATTAAAAACAGTAGCCGCCTGATATTGGGAAGAAGGTCAACTAGCACAAACAGTCAGCAATGTCTTGCCAGGGCAGAGGCTACTCCTGTGAGACCAATGAGAATCTTCACAAAGGAATCCTTCGCAAGTGATGTTCATAATGCCATTCCTCTGCGCGTAGGTGGTTTGGGCGCTCCGAGCTCATGTTCAGGTCTACAACTCCCTCGGCTGACGATGGCTTGTCTTTGCCGTGGCCCCGCACCTAAACTTCACAAATCCAAAATTGTCAAGCACAAGGAAAGCTAAGCGGACATCTACAGTAGGGGCACAGGTGCAGATTCGCTAGCTGAAAAAGGACATTACTCCCTTACTGTCATCTCCTGCCTCCGAGTCTGGGGACATGTTGTTGAACACCACCAGAAGGTTCGGCGCCACCTGTAGCCAGCTTCAAAGCAAACGTGCTCTGTCACATTGCGCATGAACTGGGCTCGCGCAACACCACCACTGGCGTGCAAAGTCACAAGTTGCAGATAAGAGGTTGGGTGGGGGGGCCTGCGTCTGTGTAGGCGGGGTGAGTGGGCAGGCAGGTGGTGGGTGGGCGGGCGAACGGGTGTAAACGTGCGAGGGCAAGGGACGAACCATCTGTGCGGTCCTAGATTCCACTACGGAGTTGTCCGGAGGCATGAAATCAACAAGAACCCGTCAGGAATCCGTCTTGCCTGCTCCCTATCACGTGAAGCAGACAGGATTCGGAGCTTTCAGCTGGACTGAAGAAAAACATTTGGAGCTACCATGCTTCGTGTCGACCCCCGGTGTAGATTGGGATTGCTCGTCCCTCTGCATTGTGATGTTCTTGGATCCCCGTCCGGGTGGGACCGCCAACACTGCTGTGCGACAATTGCAGTGGATCCAATTACATTTTTTGTAGGCAACCAGGGTTGTTACCTCTAGGTTTGCATGGAAGGACGTGAATATCAAGCATGAAGCCAACCAGTTGGAGGGATCTCTAGGGTTGACGCATCCCTATGCTAACAGGTCACTTGCTTCATTGCGAACAAGCTCCTAAATTGTTCTACATCATCAAAGGAAGTGTAGAAGAAGCTTCCAAAGTACTTCCGCGAAGTCGAGGCGAACTGTCGTTTCAATGCAAATGAAAGCGGAAGGAAAAGAGAAGAACCAAAAAGAGACGAAAAGGCTGTCATGAAAAAGTAGATCAGAGCGGAAGGAGAAGACAACAAACAAGAAGAGAAGAAAAAGCTTTCCGAAAAAGTAGATGAGAGCGGAAGGAGAAGAGAAGAAACAAGAAGATAAGAAAGGGCTGTCGTAACAAAGTAGATGAGAGCGGAAGGAGAAGAGAAGAAACAAAAAGAGAAGAAAGGGCTGTCGTAAAAAAGTAGATGAGAGCAGAAGGAGAACAGACGAGCAAGAAAACAATAAAAGGCTGTCGCGAAAAAGTAGATGAGAGCGGAAGGAGAAGGGAGGAAAAAAAGAAGGGAAGAAACGGCTGTCGTGCACAAGTAGATGAGAGCGGAAGGAGAAGAGAAGAAAAAAGAAGAAGAAAAGGCTGTCGTGGAAAAGTACATGAGAGCGGAAGGAGAAGAGCAGAAACAAGAAGAGAAGAACAAGCAGTCGTGAGAAGTAGATGAGAGCAGAAAAAGAAGAGAAGAGAAAGAAAAGAAGAGAAGGCTGTCGTGAACAAGATGATGAAAGCGGAAGGAGAAGAGAACCTAGATAGCTATATAGCTAGACAGCTACGTTGGATAGATAGAAAAACAAACAGATAGCCATTAATGTGCACTAGACTAGTTCGATAGGTAGATAGATAGATAGATAGATAGATTAGATAGATTAGATAGATAGAACGTGGGACTAGATAAAAAAAGAGAGTGAAAATAGAAAGCTTGAATGGTAGCTAAATAGAAAGGTAAATCATAGATTGATAAGCTATAAAATAACTGAATTCGAGGAATCAATATCCAGCAGCTAGAGATATAGAGAGAGAGAGGATAAACAAATTGCAATATACATAGATATTCAGGTAGATAGATAGATACAAGTGAAACATAGATGGATACATACGTGCACAAATAAATAGATAAATAAGTACATAGATAGAGATAGATGGATAGATGGATAGATAGATAGATCCGTGGATCGATGGATAGATGGATAGACGGATAGATGGATAGATGGATCGATGGATCGATGGATAGATCGATCGGTAGATCGATGGATCGATAGATCGAAATCGATACCTTGATAGATAGATAGCTAGATATATAGATAGATGGATAGATTGGTAGATAGATAGCTAGATAGATAGATAGATAGATGCATAAATAGGTAGATAGATAGCTAGATCGATAGATAGCTAGCTAGATAGATAGATAGATCGACAGACAGATAGATAGATAGACGCTCGAAGAAAAAAAGGCGAGATTTTGTTGGTCCGTACTATATGTATATATATATATATGTATATTGTAAAGAGATACGTAGATAGGTAGGTAAGCATGTAGATAGACAGATGTATCGATAGGTATACAGATAGAAAGATATAACAGAGAGACAGCAAGCGAAAAAAAAAAAAAAGATAACGATAAAGATATATAATATATCCAGAAACAGAAAGAACCAACAAAAAGAAAGAACAATCATGAGACACATAAGAAGCGAAATTACGAAAGACAAACAAGAGAGGCAAACACGAAGACACATAGTCCTTACTGTTGGTTTGCCTCGAACTAGCCCAAACGACGGTAATTACCCTCAAATCCCTCGCGCACACAAACACACACACACACCACTAAAAACCGCCGGCCCAGCCCGAACCGGCCTCCTTGGTTTCCTCTTTGGGCGCCTGCACCCAAGAAGCGGAAAACCCTTTACTAGAGATATGCGATTTCGCTATATGACACCAGTTGGTATTTGGCTTTTCCGAGTTTGGTAGGATCACTTTGATTTGTTGGATCACCAAGAATCAAACTGACTAAGCAAACAGGCACAAACCTAGGGTGTACTGGCAACTCGGAATGGGTAACCAGGGTGACACTGGGCCTGTACATCACCATGGAATCTTTTGCAATATGAAGACAACACTGTTGGGCCGGGAAGCCACACTTTTTGGTACACAGGACAACAGGAAGCCACAAGGACACCCGCATAAACCAACACTTTAATTAGAAGTCCCTTCATTGTGAGACAAGCTCACATGTGACCAAATAACTCAGCAACGCCGCACGGTCCCAGCGCATATGTGCTGAGAGCTCGGCCTGTGAGCCTAAAAGGGCCAAGAGGGGGGAGCTGTTGCTTTGAAAGACTAATTCAAGGAAAAAGGCCCAACTCAAATTGAACCTGATGCCCGTGTCGGGGCGGCACAGTGCAAGCGCTGCAATAGAAAAAGGGCTTGCTTGGACTAGCTTTCACGTGCCTAAGCACTAGCGAAGGATCCTTGTGTCGGGATTTAGGGAATTCATGACTGTTGCTGCGGCCACCCCTTTTGTTCAACATATGCAAAGCCGTACTACATCAGGAGGACGAAAGTTTATGCCTCTTGCTGGTTTCTCGGAAGCCGTATGGATCGCCTGCGGGTCGAATTTCCGATTCGGTTTTGTGTGGCAGGAGTGGGACGGTCAATTGTCACCCTCCTTTAAATTTAAAATACTTTAAAGGTTTTGGAGTGAAAATTCGACCACGAGGGACCCAGCATCAGCTTGCAGGATTCTAGGGGGAAAGGGTTGTGTTCTCTGAGAAGGCCTGAGAGGCGCAACTTTTGTCCTGGCAGTGTAATCCCACCTTGCAAGTACGTTTGAAGGCCCTTCTATCGACCTGCTGAAACCTTTCTGGTTGACTTGGGTTGTAACACCAGCTCCCTGCTGCCCACCCCGAGCACAAACCCCGAGCAGTGATACAAGAAAGAGGAAACAATTGGAACATGTTCCATGTCGAATTGTGCCGTATGCTACCTCACATTGCTGGTTCCGGTGTGTGTGTGTGTACATGTGTACATGTGTGTGTGCGCGTTTTTGGGTCCTTTGCCGATTGGTTCGAATGCATTTGGGTTGTGTGATGGTCTGGTTGCTTCGCTCTCGGGCTTGTGTGTGTGTGTTGATCCTGTTAGGCAAGCAATGGCGGCGTCTCTTGGTTCCCTGCACTGTTCCGTCGTTCCCGGAACTAGCTCCACTGGACTTGGTGCCCTCGAAACTTGCTTCAAATTTTAACGGAATACGTACACAATTCCTTCTTGGCATCAATCTAACACCCACAGTTTGTTTCGCAATTGTGAGCTCATGGCTTACCCCCAATAGCACATCGTTATCTTTCATCGATCCGCGTTTCAGTGTCCCTCGCGGCTCGCCTGCTTCTCTTGTTTGAGCCATGTGGCCAGATCCGGCACCTGCAAGGCAAAGCTATGGCGCGGTTCAGAGCTGAATCCTAGCGGTGTTTACGATTAAGGTTGAAAGCAAATCGTGGCAAAATGCGAGAGGGTTTGCTTCTTGTTTGTATAACACAAACACTGGGACCAGTGCCAATTGAAAGGCACTTATACAAATGCTCAAGTGAAAACAGAATTGTGCAAAGGATAAACAGGCTTCTTCGTCCACATGTATTTTGGATAGGTTGCATCCTTCAGGTGTGCTTATGCAACAAATCACCCACGAGTGTATCAAAATGGGAAACAAATTGCAAAGGAAGTGTTGCAGTACAAATAATTACCCGAGCATCAGCCATTGCACGAAGAGTGTTTCGGATGGGTACTGCACGATTCCATATTCACATAGGTTGGCCCTGCGTTACCATGCACACTCTTGTCGTGATGCACCACACGCTGATGGTGTCACATCTGGAGTGCCTCAGCTCCAGGCTATAGCGTGTTGGGTTTCATTTGGTGGCCCTTGAAAGCCAGGCTCTGTCAATTCATGCCGCCCTACACGGTGCACGCCGTGGACTCGCCAGCCGAGCCTTCGATTTGAGGCTCCCCAAGAGCCGCATGAAGCGCCAGAGCTGCATGTCCTTGGCACAAAGGGACAAACAGATGCGATGCCCAAGAAGAAATCATATTCAATCATGCATGCCATGCCCGTGCTGAACCCTATGGGCATGTCAAAATAAGGTGACCCGCAAAAGGGTGGGTCTTCCCGTTAGATTGCCTTTAAAACCAAGTGAAAAGGGGACCGCCCCACCCCGAAACCAAAAACAAAACAAAACGACTTGTCTCGCGTCAGTGTGCAATGTCAGTATCAGTATAACGGAGACCAGCAAGCTGTATCTTGGAATTTCATAGACACCAGCTCCAGGAAATTCGACTAAATAAGGCTCACCAAACCAAAAGGTTGACTACCTCCCGGTTCGGTTGCCAGACAGCACCAACCTGGCGCGAATTCTAGGCGCTGCTCCCAGTGGTTCAACTCCCTGCAGGCTCTGAGTGCTGGGCTACTGCAGTGTCAGTGACCACTAAGATGGTGTGGCCTCAGTGGGTGCATACTGTTTTAAAGGGTGCCCTTTTCAGGTTGGATTAGGATTTAACGAGAACCAGAAGCAACACGTCCCCCGATTTAACGCATACCCAAATTGACAAACGCAGGGGAGTGGGGCAAAGCTTTTCTCTTGCTGATTGGATGAATGCAGCCAGTGCTCAAAATCAAGATGAAAATAGATTGCGCAAAGCGGACCTGCGCTTATTCGAGGAACGATCAAAAGCAAACTATTCCCACCTCTTGGCAACTGACATAAAGGTTTGGGTGGATCTCACATGGTGACATCAACTGTAGGCTTGCGGAACATTGCACCAACGGGATTTGATGAGCAACACATGGTGGTGACAATCAGGACGAGAAGCATTAAATGGGTGAAGCGAGCCATCTCCGTCAACCTACTGAGTGAGTTCATTGGGCTGAGCCGCTTTATTAGACCTGTATCAACAGAAGAGAAAGGGTAACAAATAAAGAAGTAGACAACCCAAGAAACTCAGTTGAATTCGCAGAAATTCCAAAGCCTCCTCGAAAGAGGCCTCTTTGACACAAGCCTGAAGCGGCAACAGGTCCTTCAAGCTGTTGCTGCCAAACAAAGCACTTCCCTGTGCAAACTCTCCAACATGGCCCTCGGACCTGGAGCTCAAGCGAAGGATGCCCAGCGTTTGGGATAGCAAATCAGTTTTCTTGGCCGGTGGCATTGTATGGGAAGTGTCAGAAGGCACCGCACTGCCAGTACCAAACGATTGGCTGCTGATCGACGAAGCAAGTCGCCAACTTCACCTTGCACAAAAGGAGCTCTCACCAGCTCCAAACACCCGGATTAGACGCATCATATATGCAAATACATGCCAATGCATACTTGCTCGAACCAATAACCCTTCAAGAGAAGTTGCTGGATTTGCCGGAGTCCACCCTTTAAAGCATTGCCCAGCTGCCTGCAATCCGACGGCTAGAAGCAGGCTAGCACGCGCAGACACACACACACACACACACACACACACACACACACACACACACACACACACACACACACACACACACACACACACACACACACACACACACACACACACACACACACACACACACACACACACACACACACACGCACACACACGCACACGCACACGCACACGCACACGCACACGCACACGCACACGCACACGCACACGCACACGCACACGCACACGCACACGCACACGCACACGCACACGCACACGCACACGCACACGCACACGCACACGCACACGCACACGCACGCACACACACACACACAACAAAACAAACAAACACGCCACTCAGGCAGCGGCAAATGGAGGCCAAAAAGATGTTGAGGAACAACTCGCTCCTCTCTGGTGGCTGGCAAGTCTCTCACGATGCGACGATGAAGTTGCTTCTGTCAATTGGCAACATTGCTGATGCAAGAGATATGAACCGAGTATGAGCCAATATCCAGCAACCTGAAAACAATGGAACACGCAACGAGAAACTAACAATTCCCAGTACAGCATGTCGATGGAAACCATTCCCAAGACTTCAACGTGACAACCCAAGAAAGTTGAACACAAGGAATAGAGCGGCGACTACAATCCTTGTGGACCAATACATCCCGCGAGATATAAGGTTGCACCAATGCTACCCCCGATGGCTTTGCAATAGTACGGATCGTGCAATAGCACAAATCGTTCAATAATGTGGAACAAAGTCACATGATGTGACGGAACAAGGGGGAGGCCGCGTGCGGCCGCTCATCTTCAGAAGGATGCAAAATAACAAACAACCAAACAAACAATTTATGGCATCGCGTGTACCTTGTTGGGTTGCCCTTCCCTTGCTCAGCCTTGTCCTGCAAGCGGAATTCGACCAAACTTGGCAACCATCCACTGTCAGTTGACTGCATGTTGTACACGTCTACGGGCTACTGTATGAACTGATGTGCTTCTTTTTACAATACTTCCAAAACCTGAATCAAGAGGACCGCAAACCTTGCCATAAACATGGGGAGACTGGTCCATGATCCCAAGCTACGTCTCATTTACTGATGTGGTCTAGATAGTTCTCCGAATAGCGCCTCAGTTCCTTACCTCATGCAGCCGCGCAAGACCCTGGGACAGACATGCTGCTCAAGCTGCACGGAATTAGCTCTTCTCCAGGACATGTTGGGGAATCATCAGCTTGACCGCCCTCTCCCGAGCGAGGCTCAGCTTATGCCAAGGTTCGCTATGTTAAATACTGAGCGCACCATATATGGTTTAGTCAGATTCGTGGGCGTTTGGACCTCTATCAAAACGAGAACCGAAGCAAACCACCAGTTGCAGCTTCTCAGGTGGTCACAAAGCAATATCAGGACGTCAACCTGCTGAGGGACTGCGAATAGCAGCATTGACCAAATGGCACAAGCATCGCTGCTATCAATACTTTGAGAAAGTGTCACCTGCAGACTGGCCAAAACCAATGCTGAACAGCCCCAAGCATCCCTGAGCATCAGACACACAGGTTATTGGGCACAAGCAAAGGCCCGCCCGATGATCCATCTGAAGGGGACGTCTCCAGAGATATCTTCGTGCCTGGCCTTCATCGCGTGTGAAGCACCAAACCTTCCTTGTACTGCTAATGATTACCCTCTTGGCATGCACATCTGGAGTGCTTTCTCAAGCGAGTGTAATCCAGGTGAGTGTGGGCTGGCGGGTTTGTTGCCCGACTTACGGACAGCGTTGAGACGCACACAGGGCAACATGCCAAGGGCGTTGAGGAAATGAGTATACTGAGTAGTCCGCCTGACAGAATATGTGATTCTTCGCAAACACCAAACCTGGCATCAACGATTGAACAACAACAGATTGCGCTTCAAACATCCACAACACGATTATGTCCAGCTAATCTCAGTTTACTTGAGCTGGATATTTGAGCGCATGCCTCCGCAACAAAAACACCAAGTTCGACACCTCAAGCCACCCGACCCGGCGGCTCAACAAGCCTGAGATCCGCATCCGGAGAAGCGGAGATGGAGTCGAAGAGAGGCTGGGCATCAAGGAGCACCAGCCGATCCTGGTAGGGGGACAACCAAACGCCCTCCAACCCAGAAAAGGTTCTTAGTAGCTTCTTAGACGGGTTTCTTAGAAGGGCTCTTAGAAGGATTCTCAGAACCTTTGGGGGTGCAGGGGGCTCCTGATGAATAGCTTGAAATAATTTGCCCGAGAAGAAGGGCTAAAGGTTCCGGAGAACACCGGCGACTTCTGGGTTTCTTACGTAATCCGTCTGACAACTGACAACTTCCCCTAAATGACAGTTTCCCTTTGCTCCGGTGGAACGATCATGTGTTGAACGGCCACATTGCATCTGTTGAGGAGACCGATTGACATACTCAAAGCAGAGAAGGAGTCACAGGTTATTAATTTTAGCCACGACTCCAAAGTTACAAACTTACTTCCCGATAAGAAAAAGCAACAACGTATCAGAGAACATGCTGGGTAACCACGTTGTTCATAATATCATAAGCATCATGAGCCCCCAAACCTGGAATCCTTTGACCAAATGCTTCTCAAACATGCGATTTCACGAGCAACCAAAAGCAAACCAAATCCACACCATGGGAGAACGCCTGAGCGCCATGTTCCGTCAGGGCACAACTGCCCAGCCTACTACCTCTAAAACCTCTTCCAAAGTTGCTGTGGGTGCAAACGCGTGTTGCTTCAAGCTACATGTGGCCGGGCCGCATGTGCGGTTTCCTGGCCATGGTGTGACTAGGAAGTAGGATGGACTGGCCAACAAAATGTCTGGCCTTCTCGAGCTCGTGTTCATGCATTCATTCATCATCCTTCATATCCAAAGACTGGCTGCAACGAGTCTGGGCAAACAACTATGATTCCCTGGCTTTCAGTAGGTAAGCAGCCTGTCATCATGGTTGAGCTCGATTTACATCCGGTCAAGCCTCCAAGAGAGTGTGCAGATCAACTGTTCCATACCGTCTAAACCCTTGACTGCAACGCATGTTGCACACATGGCACATGCTCCAACATCCGGATGTTGGCCCGAAAGATCAGATTTAAGAGGCAGGCAGAAGAAAAAAATGGCCTGCCACGTGACACTACAAACATGTTGGGTTGTTCGTGTTTTGTCGGCAGGAACTAGATTACCAGGCAAACAAGAAGCCAAGAAGTACCAACAGCCGCGGAAGCTCTCCGGACCGCTCCAGGAACATGTCCCAAAAGTGCAAGGTAAGTACAATTTAAGGGAAGCATGACCCGACCCCATAGCTGTCGCCGTTGTGTCCCGAACCTGGCGTGCCCACCGCGTGCGTCTGCATGAAGCGATCTGTGACACCCGGCCGTGGTGATGCAAAGGTCCACCCCTGCTGGCGAAGCTTGGCCTGCGGCTGGGTATCTGGTCAAGCCAGTTCTACTCAAAGACCCAATTAATTCTTGCTTGACACCGATGTCGCAATCTCAGAGTAAACATGGACAATTTGAACTGGGCGTGGGCAACAAGTCGCACGGAGGGCGGCAAGCGGGTTTTGCATGTGTCCGAAAAGCGATATGACTATATTATGATTGCCCATGTCAAGCTTGTTGACCAGAAAGGGCGAGGGACATCGAGGGACAGCCTCAGAAAGCCCCACACATGCCCCTCGAATCGGCCGGCATGAACCACACATTTCATTAGTCATGCCTTGAATTCCACACCAACCAATCCAACACCCACTATGTCGCTGATCCACAATTCTAGTTCAACTGTAAGTTGTGCGTCTAGCCCCAGGCTTGCTTTGCTCACTAATCGCAAGGGCTCCCTTGATGAACCCTAATTATTATTTGTTTTTTTTAAAAAAAAAAAAAAAAAAAAAAAACTCAACAATGCGACAAGAGCTACTTTGAAAAGAAGTGTCATTCGCTTTGGAGCAAGACAAATATGTGTTGCTCTTGCGGTTGATCGGGGCTAAACCTGTCTCAAGCTCCTCACGTTTTCTTGCAAGATCACCCTAATTTGGAAGATATACCTAGCAACTCTTTGACAACAATTTCCCCTCTTTCTTAACAAGCAAGCAACACACGGACTTGTGGACCACCCACACACATCTCCCATACTTGTGTCAGGTCAGCTTAAAGGGAACCAAAAGAAGGAAAACCGAACACCAGCAAAATCCATTTGGGGGTCGGGACACCCAAATGTAGCCCTGCCATTTCCAATCTCCGCCTTCGAGGAAGGACTGAGCAGAATGAATGCCCAGCGGCACCTGCCGAGCATAGAAAGCACAGTTTCTGTCAGCCCTCCGGCAGTTTCGAGCACTTTACACCTGCGACCAACAGCTTTGTTTTGCCCTAGAAACAGCAAACATCTCTTGTTGGAACATGTTCTAGCTTGGTGTTGTGAAGAACATGGACATGCCACCCTCGATTTCTGGTTGGAAGGGGCTTGAGCCAATGAAGCAACATGGAAGGACTCGTGGTTCAGGCACGCTCCGCACATGATCCACCGGAACCACTGCTATCCATGTACAACCACATTCAATTCGTGCGCAACCGGCCTTAAAGGTGTGGTACGAGGGCGTTGCACCTCGGCGCGTTTGTCTCGGCGACTAGCAACATGGTTACCCTAGTCACGACTATTTATTCAAGCAGTGAATTTGGCTCAAACTGGGGGTTCACAGGGGTGTCATGGGGCGCTGGTTGCACGCCACGAGCCAACTCTAGGACCATCTAAGAATCCAAGTATGCATCACGCAACGTACGTGAGCGGTAACATTCATTCGTCTTGACACCAATATCGGCTTCAACAGTGCAACTGTGGTTTGCGGAATTGGATTTGCAAAAACGGTTTCAACAGAAGATGTTAGAACCGATCTCATCACAAGTCAGCAGCAAGAAGTTATTTTGTCTCTCCCGAAGAAACAAGCAACATGACAAAGAACCTGGCCATTTCTCTTGTGCAAGACAACCTCCCTCTCAATCATTAAGTTCCTTTTGGGATCCTCGAGACAATTTGTCTCAGGGCAACCGTGAAAATGCTTTTGCAAGGAAACTCCGGACAACATCACGACTCTAACCGGAAACCGAAGTTCGACCCATGGGTTCGGCTCTAAACAGGGGAAATCTTTGAGCCGGCCACAAAAAGGATCTTAAAAAAAGACGCATCACCTTAGCCCCAGTCCCCTCCCAATCGCTGGGTCGGGGCCCCGAACCCTCAGAGTAGAAGTAGGGGGAAAGCAGCGTAGACAGTACCTGGCAGCTGGATCCGTTGGAGAACCACAGAACAATTCCCTACCTGGTCCCAACTTGTAGCCACCACTACATGAAGACAACCAATAACATTTCAAAAGCTTAATTTGTGGTTTGAACAACTCAAATTCTACTCCGCTGCAAATTAACATGGAACCCCAAAAGGGGGGTCGTCAGGGACGATACAAAGTCTTAGTCGCATTCCTCCGATTCCTCAGATCTTTGGTCGTGTTACACTAATAACGCAACGTCGCCAAAAATTGGTCACACGCGCAACTCTCACGTGCCATATTTCTCGCGCGTGGCACTTCAAAGGTCAGCTAGGCCCTGGTGCTGACACCTCCGGTATCACCAAAGTCACCCAATGGAACAGTATGTTTCACTTCTTTTGAGCGATTGGGCAACAACAAGTCTACACTTGTTGTTTACAGCTAAAATGACCTTCAAAAAAGAATAAAGTCCAGAAACTCAGGGAATAAGTCTGAGAAAGCATTCTGCAGGGGGCCAGTATTGCTCCCCCCCTGAAAAGCCCAACCCACGCTCGGGACATGTTTCACAGTCAAAAACTCAGGGCAGCTGTATCATGTACTACCCCGGCCTCTGTTTGTTTTTCTTAGGGTGCAATGTGCTGAAGCACTTGGGGAATCGGGTGATCAAAATGCTTGAGATGCAAAACTGACCACTGCAAATCACGGTCGTGGCCAACGGAAAAAGGAATCCTGAACTGAACAGGCAGCTCAAAATCCCAGGGAACAAATACCATCCTTCTTCACCGTCTTCACCCATGAACACAGTCCAATTGAGTAAGGCAAACGGGCGAGAACCCTACTTTGTTTGAGATTACCCTTAGAAACACAAGGACCACAGCGCCTATGTTCACATGGTTCCGCTGGTACCGATTTGATTTGTGGGGTTGAAGGGCAATTCAATTCGCTTCGTGGCTGCGTTCATGCAGAGTCCCAAGGAGGCTGGCTGCCAACTGAACCGACCCCAGGGTTTGGCGCGCCGTGGAGCGGCCGCCGCCCTGGCAGCCGAGGGCAGCTACCACGGTGAAGTCCCCACTCTCCAGCAGATGCGGCGCCACCTGGTGAGCCGTGCCCTTTTGGGGGAAAAAACAGTACCAAGTGTTTCGTTCTATTGGCGCTGGAGGGGGAGAAGGCAATGACGGGGCTTAGATACGTCATTCAACGTCTAGTTGTCGAATGCCCAACATACCCAGGGGTTGCCTGGTTTATCGAACAATAACATAAATAAACAAATATCGATCGATCATTAACCATTTGCAGCGAAAAGGTAGCCGGGGCTGCCAGGATTCTGGCTAAATAGCCTGTTTTGCTGCCAAAACCTACGTGGCAAATGTCGGTGTCATACGAGTCCCGCAAGGCCCCACGCAGCAGGAGTCACAGCATGAAATGAAGCTGTTGGTTGGTCGTGCGTGCAGCATGAGCTGGCATTAAAATATCTGACTAATGGGTATGTCGGGTATGTGTCAAAATAGGGTGACACCGACACCCCAAACTGGTGGTTGTCCTCTTGGTTGCACTGAAAACACCTCAACGAAGGCTAGCCTCAAACCGACAGTGGAGGTTGATCAGTCTAGCAGTTGGTGACCCCAAGATCTCAAGCGCATAGGACGCATGTGGCCAACCTGTGGTCCTGCGTGTCCCTTGTGGGCCAAAGATGGCAGAAAGCCTTGCAGGTTGCCTTGTCCTCTCGTTTCACCAGGTGCAACTGAATGGGCTTCTCAACTGCTGCGGATTTAATTCACTGGATTGCGATAAGAGTCAGCAACAAAGAATTGGGGCCCGGTCCTGGAATACATCAAGAAGCCACATATAACCGAATCCAGGCGCGCTCAAACTTGAAGAGCTTGAAAACACTTGAAACACTAAAGAAGGTTAAACACACCATGCATTTACCGTGGCTCTCTTTCTGCTGGTGGCGGCGTTTGGTCGCACACTACTAGATGAACTTATCTTCTGCAAAGCACCCATTTCTCACCCAGGCCGGCATTTAACACGTCCGAGGCCAGTTTCATTGGATCGCTTGCTGTTTCTCGTCGATGCGGCACTTCCAGGAGCTGGGAGCTTTGCATGGTTCAATGTGGAGGCATACAGGCATTGAAACTATTCAAGTTTGACCTCGCGCTCAAAGCAACAGGGTGCCAAGGAAGCACGAGAAGGGCTAACTGATCATTTTCAGAACATGGCCTGGTTCAAACACATCATCATTGCTGCCCATGCATCATTAGCTTTCTTGCCTCTTTTTTCCTGGCACCAACGCAAATAGTTGGCTTCATTGAAAGCCCCCTTGCCGTCCTTGGTTGCTCTATGTCGCTCTAAGCTTGCATCACGTGACTTTCACTGCTTGCTATGACACTTCACAGAGTCTGTTCTGGAAACTTCGGGAGTATGTTTGCCATCCACCACGCATCATGTGTGAATAGATGCAAGCTTTGGTGCTCAGGCTGGACAACCTTGCCAGTACTGTGTCGAGTACATGAAAATGAAGTATACATAAGTATACTAAGACAATCTAGGATGCTTTTGAGGGTCCCTTTCAAGATCAATGGAGAATGGCATCGCCTATTTGTAGGCATGTCTGGCTTGGAGACACACCCAAAAACATTCGAGGTACAGTACTGGTGCCAACCTTGGCCACAAAGCTCAATCCTACACTCCGACCGTATGTCCGCGCCTTTGCAGCTTGCTAGCCGCAGGGCCACACTTGGAGCAACTGTGCTGTGATTCAACCGGTGAAATTAGATGGGCCCCGAAGTACTGTGTTTTTCTTTGTTCGCCGCAAGACTCGCAAGATACGTTGTGTTGAGTCCTTCAAACGTGGTCAGAACCAGTAGATCCCTGGGCTCCGAGTTCGATCGTGAGCCACAACTGCCAGCCGCACTCGAAGGCCCTTTGCGGTGCACTCGAATGAAATTCGGCTCCATCCGAAGCACTCAAGGCAAAGGACTCGGTCGGTGCTGGCCGCCTTACAGCTGACCAAAGCTTGGGGCGGCACATCTCGAACTCGAGGGTTGCTCTATGCAGGCTCCCTGAAAAAAGTAAGCATGGACATCTTGATTGGACATAAGCTTTTGACAAGACTCAAAAACATGGTTTGTCGGACTCGTCAAAATCGTGAACGAGTGATTGGTGCAACAAGTCAATGTGGCGCTGCAAATTGGCAACGCCTCACACCACCAAATGATGCTTGCTCGCTTCTGTACACTTCAGTCTTGCGCTGCTGCGAGATGGGGTGTGCGTGGCGACCCGTCCAATAACAGCTGATCTTGAGCTGAGGTACGTTTACCATTGACTTCAGAATCGTCGCATAGTTTGCACAATTCAGCTCGTGCCCTCGCGAGAACATCGCCCAGCCGGCCGCCAATATGCACCAGGACTAGGATTCACAAGTTGAAATGTGTTCAACTTGCATGACCTGGCCGCCGGCCGGTGCTCCGGCGTTGCTTCATGCACCGCTGAAGCATTGTCCTTCAGCCTACAGTAGCCTGCCAAGCATGTTCCAGCAATGAAGCTGAAGAGCCTTGCGCAACTTGACAAAGCTTGCTTGTGTTTGAGTGAGGCCAATGTGACATATTCACTTCTGCCGCGGTGTGGCTCGATGCTAGAAACCAAAGAACCTACGGATGGCAGGTCCATGATGTTTGGTTTCGAGCTTGGCCGACACTCCAAGTCAGCCAAATAGTCCTTCCAAGCAGAACTATGCACCTCAACATTCACATACAACCCACTTAAGCAATTCGGGAAGACTTCGGGAAGCATTGCGTTTCACACTCAACCATGCAAAGCGCATTTGGGGTTCATCGACAATCGTCGACAATCTGCAATTATATACAGATTCCCAGATTGTCGTGTGAGTGCACTTGAGTCACTAAGCATTCGCTGCACTTCAATCAATGGCTATCTGCCCAGCATTGCCTCGCTCACGCCTTTCCAAAAGCGATGCCCATGGCTTTGAATGCGATAATTATGATATGCGTCACCTCCTCCAGCAAGGCTCAAACAAAGGTAATGTGTGGTTTGTGGCGGAGGTTTGCACTACTGAAACAAACTTCTGGCCTGCGTATCGAGCCGAGCCTTTAAGGAGGGAAAGCCGAGCAGTCCTTCTTCTTGAACTTTTGCTTGCTGCTTGCGAAGGCCCACCACACGCCCGCCTTGCTGACCCGCACATAGGCAGTTGAGCTGCGCTTGATGTCAGCACCGCGTTGGGCAGCATACCTTTGCTGAATGACAACGCAGAACGACCTGGCTTGAGACACATTGACATACAATTCGCAGCATCCAGCATGCGAGCGTGTTCACAGATCACATGGCCAGCATTGGAACAAAGCGTGAGTGATGCACATGCTGCCTAGTAACGGCTTGCAAGGCAATGCCATTGAGCAAGTGACCAGCGCTAAGAAATCAAATTGTAAGTGTCTGTCCTTTCAGGGAACGTCAGACATGACATAGTTGTCCACTCACTTATACATAAGTCCTTATTGGGCAAAGCTATCAAGGAATTTTTGACCTAGGCTGAGGCACTTCACGAAGCCGACGGAGGTGTCCAATTGTAGAAGCTTGCGACACACAGAGAGCCCCTGCTTCTTAGCCTCCGCCTCCTGAGCTGGGCGAAACCTTGAGATGAACCCCAACCAATCCAAGGCGCACATCCCTCCAGAGTTACAATAAGTGGGCTTTGATTGAGCATATAGGTTCGGGGCACAAACCAAAAGCCACGAATGAAACAAATTGGCCTTGCAGCCCATCTTTGCTGCGCCTTTTGCCGAGAGAAGAGACGCGAATCAACTTGAAGCTATGTCCGATGTGGCCACCCCTAATCCGACATATCGACACAGTCCAAGGGAGGTTGTCCAACACCAGCTGTGAATTATTGAAACAAATGATAAGCATATATTCTCAAACAACTAGGGTTGGGTACGTAGTGACTGAACAGTTCTGCGAGTGCTCCTCGGATGTAAACTCATCGTATATACGTTCTTCTCGGCAAACAAAAAGACACAAGCATTGCGCCGGACTGTTCAAGCTGCCGCAGCGGTTTCCGTAGAGAATCGGAGGCAAAGCATTGTTTCCACATGCAGCCAAGAACAACAAAAACTAAGCAAACGCAACGCACACACGCACAACCGGGGTGCAGCGAGGCAAAATTGACTTACACCATGCTGTCGTGCCATCTCAAAACCAGGGAATCAAAGGAGTCCAAAAGCAAACGGAGCTGTGCTTCTTGACGGGCCCAGTGGATCCGGAACTTGGGGTCGCTGGAAATCGCCGCACACGCTGAGATCGGGGGGTACTGGCTCCAGCGATGCCCTGGCGAGATCTTCACTTCCACCTCAAAAACAGGTACCCTCCCGCTGGCATGTTTTGTTATCCTTTGACCAATCAGCGAAACTGCATAAGAGGGGACTCTCGATGGATATATATATATATATATAATGTGCAGGCCGATTCCCATTTGCTTTTTTGGGGGATAGGCATCGGCCAAGTCTCCCTCTCTCGCGCCAAGTTCTTCAACTCTTTCAGCATGGAGCCCTCGTTCTCGAACTGCCGTCCTTCTAGGCCACCAATGACCTCATCTGCAAGCGTCCCAGGAATGCGGAAAGCAACTCAGGGCGGAGATGTTCTGACCTTGCTTTGCTTTTGGGTTTTCCAAAGCCAAATGAAATATTGAACCTTTCCACAAACGGTCGCCAACCTGTCGGCCCTGTCACAAATGAACAATGGAATCGCTGAGTGAGGCTAGGCCCTTGTGCAAGGTCCCATCTCATAGAATGTGGACAAATTTAGTAGTTTCGGTGCTGTGGGGAGTCAACTAAGTGAAGTAGACTCATTCTGCTGCCCGCGTCACTGTTGACCAGTTCGTGAGAAAGCGGCGGTTTGTGACCTCTGCGTTGCAGTCACAACTTCCCCTCCGAGCCTGCAATGCTTGAGCAGTGCTTCACGCTGCGGCGCCTTGCCTACGAAATCCCTACAGCAAGCCAACAGCAAATGACAACTACTGGGCATTTGCTTTAAACATGCCAGCATCGGGGTGCCGCAGCACCTGCCGACAGTAGCACCACCCACATGCATTGCTGCCATGCTCCACAACGCAACAAACACACATGCTCTTAGTTTCTCATGCGCTCCGTATGTCGAATAATGTTGGCACTTGACTAATAAAGGCCCCCCCCTGAACAATGGAGGCGCTGGAACAATGCAGGCTCACTTTTGGGACGTCCAAACAATGGAGGATTTTGGGGGGCCAATTCTACTTTGGTATTGCAGCCACTTCCTTTTTGCAATTCTACTTTAGTATTGCAGCCACTTCCTTTTTGTAATTCTACTTTAGTATTGCAACCAATTGAAAGGGGAATGCGTTTAAGCAAGTGGGCCGCCAATTGAAAGGGGATGCTTTTAAGCAAGTGGGCCACCAATTGAAAGGGGATGCTTTTAAGCAAGTGGGCCACCAATTGAAAGGGGAATGCTTTTGAGTAAAGCAACTGATAGTTTATTTTCTGGGAGGGGGCTGGGGGCTTGCAACTAATGTCGTCCCCTAAAAGAAGGTTTCAGCTGGCTTTGGGTTCTGTGGTTGAGCAACCAATTGAAAGGGGAATGCTTTTAAGCAAGTGGGCCACCAATTGAAAGGGGATGCTTTTAAGCAAGTGGGCCACCAATTGAAAGGGGAATGCTTTTGAGTAAAGCAACTGATAGTTTATTTTCTGGCAGGGGGCTGGGGGCTTGCAACTAATGTGGTCCCCTAAAAGAATGACATTATTGTGGTTCAGTGGGGTCTGTGAGGGGTACCCTTGTCCTGATTGCTTCTTTTTGTTTTGCATTTCTTAAACACGGTTTAGTAAAGAGTTTGCAGTTTCAGGGCTGGGGATGGTTTTCAAATTTGCTTTGGGTTCTGTGGTTGAGCAACCAATTGAAAGGGGAATGCTTTTAAACAAGTGGGCCACCAATTGAAAGGGGATGCTTTTAAGCAAGTGGGCCACCAACTGAAAGGGGAATGCTTTTGAGTAAAGCAACTGATAGTTTATTTTCTGGGAGGGGGGATGGTTTTTTAAATTAAAATTGATTTGTGGAGTTGTTTGTTGATTTGTCCCCCGGGCAAAAACACTTTCAGTTCTTCTGGTACCCCCAAACAATGACAGCAAACCAGAATAGGGAAAAACACTTTGAGTTATTTTAGTACCCCTGATTAATCGGGTGTTAACATTGCGCAAATGGCGAGGAATCACACCTCTCACAATTGATAGTGCCCATGTCGTTTCCTGCGGTGGGGCCGCGGGTAGTTCGTAATTACAGTGTACATGCATCGCTTTGTCTGTTTGTGGTGCTTGCTCGGCTTGGATGCACTCGTCCGATGGTCGCGAGAGAGAGAGAGAGAGAGGCTTCACAACACGAGCCTTTTCGAGATGCTTACGCAAACCGCAGCGGTGGTGCCAACCAACACAAACGCTGCGACTTGCAGAAAGCAAATAGCTGGAAATGACGTAAGGGTAGGGGTCAGTGCATGTTGTAGCTGACGATCTTTTGTATAAGCCCACACCGGCAGCTATGCGGAAGCGCACAGACACAGATAGCCACATAAAAGCAACGTGGAAGACACTATTCGGGCAGTGTGCAGAACAGTTTACTCTGGGTGACGTACGTGAGCCCAACAGCATGGGACAGCAAAACACACAGACACACTGACAGACAGAAAAAAATGATAGACAAACAACCGGCCAGACAGCTAGACAGCCAGACAAACAAACTAAAAACAAAACGAGAAAAAAAGCTACCAACGTCAGAAAAGCGACTCTGCGGCCCGTCGCACCAGCTCTCAGCATTGGTTTTCCTGCGCACAGCGCGTGCCTGGACCATGTGAAGCACCACACCTGCGCAAGTGATGCCAAAACGACCATCCACTGGCGACGAATGAACGCCATCGTCACGGCTTGAGCCAAGGCTGCAAACTTGAGATTGTTCAGCTGAAAACACAGGTGGATCACCGATTTCCGAAACAAATTCTTTCAAAACGTGGCACCCATCCAGATGACACATCCTAAATTTGGACGAAAGGTTGTTTGGGTCGAACGGCCTCTAGCAGGTCCCCAAACAGCACCGGTTCCACCATCCGCAACAGCAGAGCTGGGTCCTGACGTGCCCAAAATGCCTTGAAATGGTGTACCAGCTTCAAACTATATTGAAGGCGTGAACCCATCTAGTTATATTTGGGCAGGCAAGCTGTTTGTTGGGGAAAACTTCTCGTTCCTAAGATGTTTGAGCTGCTTTGAGACTAGGCATACAACAATGAGTCAGATCCAGAGCGTGTCGCACACGTGGCTTAGTTACTTTGCAAACGGAATTTGGTTCATGTTGGCATGCAAACACCTACGCATCCCAATGCCAGCCAATCAAACTAAATCGCCTAAAAAGGAAACACGGAGGCACAAAAACTGCTTTGCTCACTTGTTCTATGTGCAGGGGATGCTTGCGGTTAGTGTTTTCGCCGGGCGTTACCGTGTATATAAAGGGATCCGTGGGCCAGCAACATCATTGTCGGGGCAAAGGTCCGAAGGCCAGCTGGGCATCTCAGCGAATGTCCTTACTGAAAGCTTGAGAACCAGCCCTAGCATAATCAAAAATGCGGTGGATGTCTTGACGTTGCTTTTGGGCAGCCGACTCTCCAAACTCATCACAGAAGCTACTGTATGCCACAAGACACAACTACTTAACTGGCCTCTGCTTGGCAAGCTGCGTCCATAAGCATGCACTGAAAGCTTTGTCTCAGGCGTTTCCCGGAGCGGCCGAGACGGGCGCGTCAAACCTTGTTAGTTCAACAGCCGTTTAACAGCAAGTCCCGAAGCAATTGCAGATCGATGAATGCAGCAGCTGGCGCCCGGTGGGGCAACCAAGTCAGTTGCATGAAAGCATTAGAATGAACCGGTTTCAGGCGGAATTCATCTTGATACAGCCCAAGTCGCTCTAACAACAGCTCCCACAAACGCCGCTGTTCCTCTGCTTCCAAAGCCTCTGCTTCCAAAGCCTCTTATCGCCGCTGTGGGCAGCCGTCTGTCTCACGCACAGGTGCCATACTCCAGCTCTCGCCTCATGGTTTTTGCAGCCTCCGGGTCCATATCCTCATGGTCCATCTGCACCCTCGTTGCAGTGGAGCGAGCTCGTGCGGACTCGTCAGGTCTGCCGCCAACAGTTGCCCAGGCCCGCACACGCCCGCATGATCCAGCTTCTTCTCCAAGAGGGCATGGTCAGAAGACACGCAGGAGTCACCTCCACAAATGCCCAGCTTCTGGCGAAATCTGGCCATGGACTCCACGCAATGCTGAGCATCGAATCTCAAGAAGTGCAGCGGTGCCGCTGTGTATGGAAGCTCGTAACACTTGCGGTGACGCTTGTCCTGACCTTTCACTAAAACGACCCTTTGGCCTGGAGTAACCATGTGAAATTGCGCAGCGGACAAGTCCAGAATCAATCGTTGCGTCTGGTCGCTTGAAAACTCGCCAGGTGACTTCTGGCGACGTTGTGCACTTGCGTGCTGTGATGCCAGTAGTTCTGACCAAAGTCCTTCAGCAGGCTCATGCGGCGGTAGGCATGCACAACAAACCCTACACAAAGAATCATGTCGGCCACCCCCTTGCCGCGAATAGGCTGTTCACAATATCAGTGAATGTGTATGTGATTTCTGAGCACCGTCCACAGAGCAACATCTTGTAGAACAGCCGCTTGCATTCTCCAACATCGAGGTCGCACCAAGTTCTGGGGAGAGAGCCGGGCAGAGCCATCGCGCGTGAACGTGGGTATCAGCTCTTCCAGGAGATTGGTTATCATCACATTGGCAAGTCTATGCAATACTCAACGATAGCTGGGCCGTCAAGGAAGTCGTGCACCGCCATGTTGGCCAAGTTCTCCAACTGCAGCAGATCGCTCTCCAGCGTCACGATCAAGGGCAGCGGGCGTGCAATGGGAGACAAACGTGATGGCTTCAAGCCAATGGGAGTATCGCAATCTTCTACTTGCACCACCCAGCGGTCGCCTGGACCAAAGAAGCCACTTGCAGATCTGCCTGGATTGCAGCCCTCAGACAACCCCGCTGCAAACTCCCGACACCTTTCCAGCAAGTTGGATGCTTTCAAGCTCACAGGCTGCACAGGCTCTGACATGGCTTCGGACTGCACACCCCGACGCGCACCTGTGCGGTGCCCAAAGCCCATTGACTGTCGCTTCTACCAAAAAAAGGTTGGAACGGTGCCGGCTGTACTCCGCTTTGGGCACTCACCCTGTGAAGTAAGCTTCCCCAGGGAGTTGTTCAGCTCAGGCCTCTTGACCAACCCATGCGTGCACCGCTCCTCCCTCTGTGAAGATAGCGAGGGCACCCTCCATCACAGCGAGAGTGGTCAAAGCATCCTATCTTGGTCACCCAGCGGCTATGGAGTGGAACAACTACGTCCGTGCGCGCCATTCTGAGTCCACAATTGTGATCTGGACAACAGGCTGCCACTGCAAGTGGTGGGACACATAGCTTGCGTACTTATGAACATTGAACAAACAGAAGATCAACCAATGTATACGCGCAAACGCACACACACACATGTCCAATCACACTTAAAGCCTGACTGGAGCACCACAATTATCTAACCTAGACCTAGCACAACATTCTTGAACAACAAAGAACAAATGTACCCGCCCTTGGCCAAATACACCCATCGAGCGCCTGGTCTGCACAGATCCGCCAATCCTCGTCCATGAAGCGACACCTCGAAAGGGGGTCGATTCCGTGGGGTCGACAGGACCAAACAACATTTCTCTAAACAAACACAACAACAATGGGACAACACCTGACTTGCCTCTGTTGCAATCACATACCCAAATCGAACCAGCCTGGCAAATGAGCGCCAAAAGGTTATTCACGACATAAACTATGCAGTCTCAAGGAAGATTCTCATCACCAACCGGCCTGCTTGTAAGGCAGCAACCACTAAGGCGAAATAATTGCAACTCACCCTTCCTCCGCGATCCTTGGATTAGCTTGCGTTTTGCGACCCACTTTGCTAGCGTGGTGCAAGTCTATCAACCTGTAGGCTGCCAAAATGAGTCTCGTATACTCACTACTAACTATGGGAATCGTTTCACTGTTGTTGAGCAAAGATCGCATACGTGTTCAATGTCCAGTCAACTGAACACTGAGACACACACCTCCTGCCAAACCGACCCCGTAAAGGCTCAGTCTTCTGCCAACAGTTTGCATGCCAGTTTCTGTCGGTGTAAGTACCCAGCTGACCATTCGTGGTACCGTAGGACAAAGGGATGCAGGACATGTTTGCTTGCCTCCCGCGGATGCCATGCTCAAGTAGGTCGCATACCGCATAGCTTAATTCGGGGTCTGTTTCATATACTATGAGGAAGGATTGCTATGCCTGCTCATCTAGCGCCATGAACTGCCTACAGCAGGAGCGCCTAATTGTGAACCCAAACTCATGTAGTTGCCCGCAACATTGTTTTGCTCGGCAGTGGACTCAGCAGTTGTATAATGGAATGGAACCATACACAAACATACAGAACTCCAGCAAGCCACACTCCTATTCCTAGCTTGAAGGGCATCTCCAACGTGTACCTTTGCTGCTGTGCATCCAGAAAGCTGCCCTGGCTCCCGCCTCACAAAGGGCGGCACTCTGGCATCCCTGAGCAGGCGCCACATCATTGATTGTTCAAGCTCTTTGCGGGCTTGCTCGTCTGGGATGGGAAAGTGGCACTGAATTGCACTTAATACTTGTGGTTGTTGACCAGGAATCGCAATTTCGAGACATGTTGGGACGGCATCCCGTTCTATTCCCAAAGACTTCCCGCGCACCTGTGTATGTTTGGTAACCCCACCGACCATCATTGTCTGCAGTTTAGCAAGTTTAGCAGAAGCAGAGCCTTTGCAAGGCTCTGAGCAACAAACACATGCATGCCGCCCACAATAGTGGCCACTGAACAAATGGCCAAACAATCCGCATATAACATGTGCGTCCAGTAGGTACGAAGCTGGTCTAAAGGCAGTTGTGTCGCAAATCCTCTGCTCCCTTCCATCACCAAAACAAAACAACTGGTTGAAAGAGTAAGAACGGACCAGACGATCTACTGACCGTTATAGAACTGGCTTTCTGCTGAGCCTGTCGCTCTTGATGCCTATCATCTTGGTTTCCCATCCCGAGGCGTTCGACAATGAGAGCGCCAGAGATCACAGTAAAACGCCCCCAACCAAGCTGTTTTACAACGAGAAGGGATTTGCCACCGATTTGAAAGCCTTTGGGTGCACCAAACATGACCCTGTCTGATGCACAACAAGCTCCCCAGACTAAAGGCCGTCAAGTTCTTCCAGAATCGAGACCCAATGTATGCTGGGCCGAAAAAGCATTTGCGTGTTTCTCATTTGTGTAAAAAGGCCGCAGTCCTTTGCAGGACTTCAAACATGTCCTTCCTCAGCTGTGATAAGGGAACGCTCTCCGCCAAACATCGCCGATCTTTTGCCATGTCCACCAAACACCGCCCGGGGCTCTGAAGGTTAATTATGATCTTAGCAACTTGCTGTGGTGAAACCCAGAAGGGAGGACTGCCCCCCCAAGCTGATGGCCGATTCAGGCTCAGTTTTGCACCTTTGCCTGAGAACTTTGAAGGGATTCCCAAAAAGGCCATGAAGTCTATAAGCTCATTCCGAATCCGTCACAGCCTCGAGATCCGTTGTTTGGCGCCTGACGAGCCGAAGGCTGACAGGCGAACCGAAAAGGCAATGTGCTTGACAAGGCATGCCTGTCAGTGAGGCACGTATTGGGCTGAGCAAACAATCTCATGGAGAGTCATGCTAGGCCGTCCACCTGGTGGAGCACAGCGGCCAAGCGGCAGTCAGACAGTACTCCATGATGGCCCGCTTCAGCCCTTGTATACCGGGTTCCCAAAGTATTGAGATCCGACAATGTTTTGGCTTGCACATTGTAGGCACCAGCCAAAGATGGATTCACAATGCTAGAAGCGGTGCCGCCAGGTGAACCCTTGTACATGCAGTTTTTTCACGAGTCGCTGTGTGGTCATGCGATCGTACTAGAAGGGCAATGTATTGTGGATATGTGCTTGCACAAGCATGCGATTGAGGCCTACCTAGTGTTCGCTGGACAGGTTTTGCCATATATTGCCAGGAAGGAGCTTCTTTGGGTGGACTCCTCTGTGACGTGAAGCTTAAGGTGTTGTCATCAAGGTTGTTCGACCTTGCTGCAATCAAGTTGACAATTGTTTTGTTTGCAAGAAAACCTCAATGATCATGTTCAGACAACCGTGGTTGAAGTATGCTCAGTTGCAGGTATTTGAAATCGTCGAACCCGACCCATGGGGGTCTCCACGAGCAATCTAATAACGAGAAAATAAGACAACAACAAACAATTCAAACACATACACACACACAAAAGAAACAACACACACACACACACGACACACACACACACACTCAGGAGCGCAAAACTGCCAAACTGCCAAGTCCCTGGGGTACCTGGGCAATATTAGACAGCCCTTCAACAAACTGGGACCCTATTGGTCCGGGTGCTCCTTGACATACCCTTCATAACCTTCTATGTATCTAGACTGACAGGCAGTATCCCTCGGTCCAATAATTTACCAGAACCTACTTAAACCGCATAGGTGGTTCCAATACTCCTTGACACTCTGCGCCTTTATCCCGCGTATTCGTCGCCAAGCTCCGGCTGGGAGGCCTGGTCCGCAAGAGGCACTTCATAAACATGAGGGCTTGTTAATAACACACGTGTATATACATTGATAATATCATATATATATATATATAGTCTATATTCAGTATATATACATATATATATATGCCGGAAATTAGCAAAACCGTGAGTATGGGGAGCAGATGCGTAGCAAACCTCGTAATATGTCTAGCATTTTCCCACGATACGTCTGAGATAGGCATCATAGCTCCAGATAGTTTCTTACACACAGATACAATAAATTGATGTCGATACATGATTAATAAACCCCCTCTGATTCAAAACGCACCATTTTAGTCGACTGCCAGCCAATGCTACTGTAAAAGCAACCGTTAAAAGAGCCCTCTGAACAGTTTCTTGGCACCCCCTCTGACTAAAGACGTCCCTTTCCGGCCAAAAATCCCAAATAATTACCCAAAAACACATCCATGCATAATTCTGCATAAACTAATAAAGCTATTGACAATATTGTTGCCAGTACTGACTCCTTTCACAATGCCGTTCCAAAAATTGAGCAAGGGCCAGCCCGAAGCAGCAAATGTCTTGCTATTGGCTAAAAACAAGAAGGTTTGACAAGCTCACAAAGGAAATCCCTTCAAGGCTAGCCCCGCCCGAATAACACAAACCCCGCTCTGATTCTTCCTGGCCTTCCCCAGCCCTGGACAAAAAGGAAACTTCAATTGACTGTCCATTTGCAGTCCTATTGGCCAAAGAGCGGTCGACACCGGAAAAGACCGGAGAGGCCAGGTCCGTATATCCCCAGAGGGCCAGGACACCCTCCAAAATCCGGATTTTCGGGACCTTGCCAACCTTGAGGGGGGCTCTTAGTGTATCTCCAGCTGTTTTGCAAAGTATATCATGTGTCGTGTATATGTGCTGTCTAGCATCTGTTGAGCAGTTTGCGCAGCACATGTCTAGAATGAAGTTTCAGCACGTGTCAAGCGGCGCATTCCTGCAATATGTGAAGCAAGCAAGTGTCCGGCATAGTTGTAAAGCCCTACGTATCTGGTTTCTAGCAAGGGCTATTGCGTCCATGGACCAGTGGTCCCAAGTAATATCCCTACTGTAAGGTCACGATTTCATGTAATACCCAAAAATTGCAGTTCGGCAAATCCTTCCGAGGCCCGATCCTGTTCCGATCCTGCCGCTCGTCGTCAGGCCTGGCGGGCAGCCATGGGGCGCGATCTTGCCCCTGGTGCGAACGACGGCTGGCCATGTTTCGTCTCGTGGAGAAACCACGAAACCGCAAGGAGAAAGGGTGCCGCTGAACGAGCGGGTACAGCTCACGTGACTGTATCAACACTTGGAGCATGCCTCCTTCAAGACATCCATGAAAGACATGAGGCCCTCATGAGGAGCACCCATTTAGGACAAACACCGCCTTCACATCGCAGAAGGCGAAGCGACTATCGGCAAGAGCCAGTATCATGCCACAACAGCTTGCTTCGGCAAAGTGGATTGCATGTAATCGCAAGGACCTAAGGAAATCACTGCAACGGCGTCGCACAACAGATCGAGATCACAGGCATCCATATATATATATATATTGAGATATGATGCAGGATGAATACTGATGTTGAATATCAGAAATATGTCCAAGTTGTGTCTTGATCGAACTATGTGGGACTTACAAGGACAAACTTGCGATTGACCGGATCGCATGCCTACCACATGAATGTATACTGATTTAACCTGTTCAATCAATTCTTGATGCACGGCTACTGTACAAGCAACTCCGGCAGCTCGCTCGTCCTATTTCGGGACCGCCCTTCCAATGCACAAAGAGCTTTGCCTCGCCAGTTGCTTTAAAATCCGATGTTGAATGGAACGCCCATGCGCTTCGCCCAGAGAACTGCAGCGAGAAGTCAACGCCGCCCCTTGTGTTAGCCTAGATAAACTTCGCACAGGAATCCTTCCCACCCCTTCCACCCCTCCCTCCACTCCCTCCCCTCCCTCCCCTCCCACCCCTCCCACACAGGTCGCCTGGAATCGGCCTGGCATGTGAAGTTTTCATGGGTTCTAAAAACATCACCACCCCGAAACCCCAAAAAATAGATGGTTCCAGCCTGCCGGCAAACTAGGGCCATAGCTCAACTCCCAACTGCTCGGAAAATCTTGCAACAAGGCATGTTCTGCGTCTTCTGCGTGTTTCGTACATCTGAAGCTTCCAGGTTTGCAATTTGAGTGGTTTCTGCCGATGGCTGCAACAGCACAAATATCTGCAGCCATGTTGTCAAACATGCGTTTCAGTATACAAAAGTGCTTGCTGAATTAGTTCTTTTCGTCCAGGAAAGGCGCAACCAGGAAAGCTAGCTGCACAGTACCACTTCCTTCACGCATTTGTTGCAGAAGGGCAAACCAAAAACAAGTAGCTGGAAACACACGAAATGCAAAATGTGCAGTCTTTTGCCTACAGAGGCCGGGGCGTGTAAGTGCCTACATACCGTAGTCAGCACATTCAATTACAGCCATTCAAGCCTGTCGTCGCAGGTGCAACAGGGGTTCAATCCGCAACGCTTGTCGGCGTTGTCATAAATGCAGTTGCTAACACATTGCATACGCATGGCCTTAAAAGACTCTTATTTGGGGTCCCAAACTCTTGACGTAATTAAATGGACCGGCTATCGTCTTCACCAATTCCATTCAAATTTGATGGCACGGATCTAAACTCACACCCTGTTTAAGACCTGTAGCTGGTATCAGCTTGAGAGACGGGTGAACCAAAGCTAGACGGCCCAAAAACGACATGTACTACCCAGGGGCTGCCAAGCTATTAAGAATGCAATCCTAAATGAACATCCAAACAGTCATTAAGACCCAAATTTGGACCGGGTCCTATTGAGACAAATCTCGTTCATGCGATGCTGGCTTTTTAGGGGGTCGCTTCCCACCCAAACCCTGACTAAATCAGGCATTGTGGGAAGCTCAGCCCTCACAAGGAGCTAAAGCTTAGAGAAATCCTGCTAGCACAGCTAAATAGCATTCGTGACAGCGTTTGAGGTTAATAGGGGCAAACCACGTCACAAGCAACTCTCCACATGGTTGGTGACTGGTATCAAAAGTCCGAGGCCCGCTCACCAGCTGGGTCCGAAAGTCACATGACGCTCAAAGTTAAAATGTTTTGGCTTTCTTGCCACAGCGTTCAGGGATGCGCGTGGCTCCTTCGCAAGATATGCGTGCTTTGGATACGCGAGAGGCAATGCATCACTTCTTTGTCTGGTAAAACTCATGCGATGAGCAAAGATGGGCGATTAAAGGGTCTTGACATGACACTGTTCGCACCTTGGTGCGCGTGACGATCTGCACCTTGGCATCGCGTGAGACTCTGAAGCCAGGGGCTTGACGTTGATTCTCCCCCCCGCTTACCAAGCCGTACCATTAAAAAGCCCGCCTCAAGCATATCAAACACAAGCCAGGTCGGATTCATCCTGGGTGAGCTCACAAACACACCCCTGGGGCCAAATCAACTTCTCTGGCCAGGGTAAGACGTTTCTTGCAATGCGTGAGCTGCAGCTGAGCAAGGGAATGTGTATGTGTCGAATCAAGACGCCCCGAAACTGGTAGCTTTCCGGTTTCCCTCTAAACTACCTCAAAAACGGCACCCACAAGACCCACACGCGCACACACACACATTCCTGATCCAGCAAACAAAAGAGAGTGCACGAGTTCAAAGTGGAGTCCATGGACTCGAGGAACATGCCACAGAAAAGCAGGGCGAGAAGAGCGCGCGAAAGCGCTCAACTGAGAACGGACTGGCGCAGCCGTACCTTTTGCGATTTTGCCCAGGAGAACAACTCAAATCAAACTACGACAAACCAATAGTTCTGAATGATGCTCAGCTCGCATTCATCACAAGGGCCATGCTATTTCAATACGGAATCAGTTTAAAGTAAATGGAGACCTGCGATTGCAGCCGTACAAATGGAAACGCCACGGTATCCATTGGAAGTTCCGCAAAAGCCATTTGTGTCAGTTTCCCTCTCTCTCTCACCTGCGCAAAACAAGAAGGTGGAAAGGGCGGAAGCAACATCCAGTCTGCAAAGAGTGCAGCACTCAAAGTGGTCCCCGGACTGGAAACCCAAGAGCTGGCGAAGCCCTACTTACAATTGCTGGATTGCCAGGAATGGATTGGAATAAGGCCAATCGCTGTTCAGATTCTGACCGCCCATGCGTAGAAACACACTGGAAAGCTGGACGCAACGCAAAAGCAACTTTGTTGCCCTCCAAGGGGACAAAACTCCATTGTCTACCAAAGGTGGTGGTGGTGGAACTATGCCTGTTGAACAAAGCTCATGCGCACACATACTGAGGCACCAGCCGGTGCACGGTCAAGACCTCAGCGTTTAATTGTAAGATTCGCGCTGTGGGAATGAGCCTTGCAAGCATCCCTCATTTGTTGCTGTGGACCGCCAGAAGTGTTAGCTTCATAGACAATTGCCAGCAAATAGCAACTTGAACGAAAATATTTTGGGCAATACCATCTTTGGAATGTACCAAAGCGCTGGTACATTGGACCTCAAGTCCTGCTGATCCTGAAAGTGTGGGCAGGTTATGACGTGGGCAATCAAGCTCCTCAATTCGACCTCGTCGCCTTCAGAAGCACATCGGCGCAATGTCCTAGCCAAATGCCGTTGGAGAGAGCAAATTTGATCCACCTTATATCATATCAGCAACGAATACACATGATTCAAATGGACTCGACAGTATGTCCGTGTCTGTGTGTGTGCGTGCATGCGCGCGCCCAGTGACAGTCGAGACACCTAGGTATGACAAAATCATGACACACACACACAACATCATACGTCAGGACCAACCTAGCGCACAATGAGCACCAACATATTTCAAAGAGACAGCCATTTTCACAGATTCAGATCTGATGCCCTCGCCACACAGAAACGCTGCAAATGAAAACAGCACTGGCAGTGGAAGGACGCACTTGACATGGACTTGCCGGTCAATATGCAATGAACATACAAACCCAACGTGTACATCAGCGCCAGTACTGGTGTCAGCGGCTGCGCGATCTTGCCCGCTTAAGTGCAAGACAACGACAAAGCCTCTACTCTGGACCTGTTGATTAGTCTGCCTCACTCGACTCATTTGTTTGGGCCAACCCACGCGGGAGTGAGTGTCTCATCTGCTGTACCCGTTGAACCATAGGCATGAGCAAGAACATACACCGGCGAGTTCTTGCATCCAGCCTGGCAGCCAGCCCCGTCCATTTCTGCAGGTGTCCCATAATGTATGTACTGTGCTGGTTCACTACAATCCACAAACTAGAAATAAAGAAACCCTATGTAACGGGCCTTCGGCCTTCATCAAAAGGGAGCTTGGTTTGCCCGCGGGTGAGCATATTCCAATTTGCACAGATGACAGACGTGCTCATTCCTTTTGCATTCCCTCTGAACAAAGTGTGGAGAATGTGTCCTGTAAAATTTGTTTTCTGCATTCCATGCAGAGTGTGACACTGATGACAAGTCAACTGCGCACTTTCTTGGGATTTCCTGGCCTAAGATTGAAGAAACCAACAGCACCTCTCTCATATTATCTCATAAATTGTTTTGACCTGGATTAAGCAACAGTTATGTTGAAACCCCGTAGCAAATAAAGACGCAGCATGGGGCATCCCTGCCCCGCATATGTGTCGTGTTACCTACAAGTGGGAAACGTGGCGAAGAGCCCTGAACTGGGACAATCCCAAAATATTGCACAAAAACATTGCGCGGATTGGCGGGAGATAAGTCTTCGTGGCTCTCTGCAAAACAAAACTGAAGCAGGCGGTCAAACGAAACATCTTTGCAGGCTTCAGCAGGTCTTCGAATCAGTCGTGGTGACTCTGGTGTCTTCTATGAGTCAAACACATGGGCAATGAGGCTGCCTCCAGTCACCCCCCAGTTCCAAAGCAATTTTGGTCGCTGCCGCGTGTCGGTCGATTGGTTGTGGAGTGAGACTTGGCTTCAATGGCGGGATCCAGCCCTGCAAATGTCAATGTAAACAAATTCCAGGCAACAACAAGACCTTCTTTCATAACTACTAGCCGGCTGAGCGTAAAATAAAGTGAACAAGCGGTTGGGTCATGTATATCCCAGTAGTGATACTGTTGATATGTACAAATACATATTATATACATTGGTTCGCTATCGAATGCAAGCACTGTTATCAGTTATCACCTTCTTCTACCAGCGGGGGTGGTCAGGACCACACAGGGCCCAAGCAAGAGTCAACTCAGGAGTCATGTGAGGTCCTTCAAGAAGAAAAGGTCCCCGTTCTGGGCCCCAGTGTGCGGCACGTTCCGTCAAAATTAGTCACAAAAGGATAGCAAAAAACATCCCTCTCTGAATAACAACAATGTTGCGTCTCAATGCCTTGTCTGGGTTGCCGAACGGCCCTCGAGTGCTGCGTTGCTTTGTAGAAAGCGGGTGCGTGGAACGGAAGAACGCAAGAGTGCTTCACAGCTTGGTTGTGAATGGCAGCCGCCAACTGATGCAAGCAGCTGTATGTACACAAGCACTTTGTGAGCCGATGAGCCAGCACTTCTTTCACACCGAGAGATTCCCAATAGCAATTAAACATTGTGTTGGAGTGGTTTTGGGATGTAACCTCGCCATGCTTTGTCGAGATCACACCACCGAGTGCCAATCCACAAATTCGGGGTAGCTGGGTAGTGTGGCTGGGTAGTGAATGGAGGATCTGAAAGATATAAAGAGGCAACTACTCAAGAGTGTGGTTTGTGCTCTCTTTTGTGGTTGCGTGGTGTTGTGCGAATCGAGCATTTCGCAGCGGGAATAGGCTGAAGTAGTCCGTTCCTAGATGCCGCAACCCCGCGCCACGCAATGCGCGCCGTCACACGGAGCTCCGGCGCTCGCCTGGCCGGACCTCCGCCTCAGTGTCGTCGGACTCCGCGGCCCTAGGATCCCACTCGTCCAGGACGAGCGCCTCACCTCGCGTTGGTGGCTTTTCGCTTTACTGGTGCCTTACGAATTGCACCAGGGGAACAAAGGAAAACAACGGAAATGACTTGCAGCGTTTAGGAAATCCAATGCAATTACATTCCAGACAGGATAGAGTACACATGCCTCCACAATGTGTCAGCTCCTGACAGGCACTGTTGTGAAAATTGGGCACGCGGCGCATTCTCTTGGAACGTGAATCACAAAGCAGCGGAACCAATAAGATTTCTAACAGCAACGGATGTCACACAACATTGCAACTTGCTTTCTGGAGCTCTTGTATTGATGGACCTGGGTTCAATGTTCGTGTCGCCATCTGACCAGTTTCAAACGTCTGCATCTGTTTCGAACGAACCACCATCTGAGAGTTGGGCCGTCAACAGCGTGCGTAGATTGTGGAAGCCCTTGGACAGGGACCAACATATGATGTGGCTCCCAGCCATTAATCAGTGTTTTGACAGCTCCCAAATCAACATCTCCTTTCGCACAGAGCGCTTTCCATAGGGCGAAAAGGGGAGCTTTTTGTGAGCCTCCTAAGGAAGCCCCCGTTATCTGGATGGTATCCTTCAGTCGGCGCGGTAATGTTACACCCACTTTAATGAAAGTCGCCGCTATTGTAAAAATATTTTTGCAATTCAGGATCCTGAGACTGTGTTAGGGGTCCGCTATTGTTGCAAGTTGTTTTCCCCTCCCAAAAAAATCCCAAACAAAAAATACAGGCTTGTTTGTTTTCAACTCTCTGGTCTGGGCAGGCTCAGGTCGGGCTCAAGCTAGACTAAGCCTTAGCTGATGTTGAGCTGGAGGCTGGTTCTGAGCTGGCCTGAGGTCTAGAAAATCTATTTTGCAAGTTGTGCCCAAACCATCAAATTTATGATAACTTCTTTACAAAAAAAAGCAAGGTGAATCAATCACACAAAGGGGGTTGCCCACAACCAACCCTGATCCTCTTTAGTGTGATTGTTTTGGGGCCCTCTTTAATGTTCAACTGGTTTTGGGAGCAAATCTCAAAAGGAAGCTCCAGCAATACTAAATCAAATGGAAGATCTCAAAAAGGAACCTCCAGCAATACTAAATCAAATGGAAACTCAATTCCAAAATCTCAAAAGGAAGCTCCGGCAATACTAAATCAAATGGAAACTCAATTCCAAAATCTCAAAAGGAAGCTCCAGCAATACTAAATCAAATGGAAACTCAATTCCAGATCTCAAAAAGGAAGCTCCCAGCAATACTAAATCAAATGGAAACTCAAGTCTATCAATACTAAATCAATTTGAAAGTCCCACCCAGACCCCCAGAGTTTGCCTAAACAGGGTCCCGCTGACTGGTTCCATTGTTCGGGGGGGGGATCATATTAAAGCAGGTCCAACATTACCTCGGCAATGTTGAATTTGGGTATGAAGGCCACACTTTGCCTAATTCCCACAATAGCTCAAGTTCTTTGCTAATACCCAACCAGCTTGTCAAATTGTTGATCTGCGAATCTCCAAATCCCACAGCGCCCTTTGCTCGTCTCTTTGGGTGCCTTGGCCCAGCAGCCCAGAGCATTGGCTCGGCAGCTGCTGCGGGCACAGGCGCCGCAGGTTCTCCGGGCGCACGGCCAAGACCTTGTCCCCTGTGACAAAAGGCCGCGATTTCGGGGGGATTTTATTTTGACGCATACCCAAATAAGGGGTGCTTGTTGAGTGGGTGGCAAGCAAGGGGGTCCTCTTCAAAGGTGATGTTTTTGTTGTGGAAAAAAAGCATCAACCCAGGCCTAATGCAACATGAATCCAACACACTTTGGGAGAACAGGGGGGTTGTTCTCCAGAAATCCTGTTTGTGGTGCCCTTGTGGGTTCACCCAGTGGTTCGCCTTTTGGGTTAGCCAATTGCAAACCCCTCGGGCTGAAAGGTGAGGGAGACCTAAAAGTCAGCTTCCCTCCAATTAGTTTGGAGCCGAATTGGTGGTTAACCCCATTTACCTACAAGAACCAGGGATCCAAAACCAAACCACCAACTGAGGCCAACCTGATCTGTGTTGAGGGCATCCCCTTTTCGAGTTATGCCAGAAGGAAGCCAAAAGAACTTCCAAGGGAAACCAAAAGGACACCTGCAAAAGCGCAGACCCAATCCAGTGGGTTTCTGGTGTGTGTGGGTTTGGTCTACTTGGCGGGTTTTCGTAGGATCCTTTCCCCCGCCAAACTGCCCTCCCTTCGTCGCCTCCAAATCAGGCCTTCACAAGGCCTTCAGTACAGAAGTGTCTTAAATTTGGGAAACTGGGGCCCATTTATATTCATGTACGCATTGCGGCCTTTTCCTTTTGCGCTCAACGAATTGCTTTTGGTCTTGGGTCAACTCAAAAGCCGCTGCTTGAATCCTGTTTCTGGTGGCATCGAAGATATCGCATGTCACTTCAGCGATTGATACTTTGGTTGGGACTCTGGGAACGAAACAAGAACTCACCACAATTGGCTCTTTGTGGGGAAGGGTCGTGTGGATTATTTCTGTATTTGACACGCATGCAGAGCAGATTTTCACCTGATCTCCCAGCATGCGGAGCTAGTCTCCCAAGAGTCAGAAGCTTTCAACATCATGTGGCATTGAATTTCACTGAGGAACCTCATGTGAGAGCTCTCCCGTGTCATCTCGAGCCTACAGTACATTATTCAAAAATCTCCCCGGAGAAAACCTCTCACAAAATGGTCACCCCTATCAAATCATGAGGCCCCGTGATTGCACATTTGTTTGCTGCTTACCTAGCAAGAAAACCTTGGGAATTGTATCAAAAGGGCCACCTCGTAATGGATGCGGACTCCTCATTGTCCTAGGCGACTAAATGGCGGTTCAATCAACAACACCTGTTGGTTGATTGACTCCCACAAAGGAATGAGTCCTGGAGTATCCTGCAGCTACCCGCTAGGGTCCCTAGGGGATAGGCACCCATGCCATTGCTCTCTCGCGCCTTCGCCCTCCAAGACCAGCTCGATCTCGATACGGCCATCAGGCCTGGGAAAATCGATTGAGCCGAGCCCCGTTTTTGTTGCCACACGAATGACCGTTTTCAGGTTGGCCTAAAGGGAAAACAATACGACATTTGTCGAGTCCCACAATTATGACACATGCCTTGGGTTTCTCATGGTTTCCCTCAAATTGGGGGCCCCACAAAGAAGGGTGGTTTCCCTTTGGTTCCCCTTCAAACCACCCTGAAATACATACCCTCCAAACACTCCCGAAACTCTTTGAGTGTTGGTTCTACTAAGACGGTTGTAACGCTTTATGTAAGCCTTGCTATAGCTTACGAACATGGCCAGTAGAGGTTTTGGGCGCTCATCCGATCTTCAGAGGCAACTAACAACAGAAACCGAACCCGCCTGACGCTCTTCACGGTGCCGTTCTGATCGTTGTACTGCGCCGCAGAGTTGAGACCCTGCACGCAAACCTCAAGCCAGGCAAGTTGCAAGGAGACCCAACTTGGTGACCCGAAAGGCAGAAAAGACCTGTTTTGACCATTTTGGGTGTTAAATTAGAAAGGGTAAAAGGTTACTGAACAACTGGAAGTGGGGAGACACAAAGTGGCCAGGTGACACGGCTTAAGCATCACCTATCTCCAGGAAATCAGTCGCCAGCATTGGAATCATGGATTGCGGTAGGCTTGGAAGCAAGAGACACTTCTGATCTCGGTAACTCCAAGGCGCCATGTCCCCCACCACGGGCGGCGCTTCCGCGGCATCTTCCAGTTGCCGCCGAGGTTTGACATTGGACCTAGCCGGCATCCCGGGAACTGAACACCAGGAGTGCTGCCACATGGTTGGCTTTGCCGCCATCATGTTGGAATGGACTGACAAGGCTGCACGGCTTTTGAAACATTTGAGCGGTTTGTGGAGCCTTTACCAAAAAACAAACTCTGAGTAGGATATGCCGTAAATTCCTCTCAAGTCTCACAAAAATGGCCGGGAAACGCCAGAACCGGATCCAAGAAAAGTCACAGGTCAGAATCAGGGGGCTGTTTAGCATCCTAGCGTCATGTTTTGCCACCTCAGCACTCTGCACGGAGCGTCATTCTGGCATGGAAAGAGTATGCGGCATTCAATCCTCCACAATCACTACATACATACTAGAAACTGAATCACGAGACGTGGCACTGGCGGAAATCACTATGGTAGCTGACTTGGGTGACCCTAATCTTTGGATACCTTGCAGCACAATGAAGCGCTCGTTTGGCCCAGGGTCTGAGAATGAGTGCAATCCTGTCTGAAGAGAGTCAGACTGGTCCAAACTCTCTTGCGATACTTTAAAGTGGATTTTTCATGAACAATCCCTTTCAAGCATAGGAACCGATTCCTATATAGACAACGCCCATATCACGGCTCCCCGACCTTCCCCCCGAATCGAGGAGCCTGGCCGGCGCGTCCCGGGGGGGCGGCGCAGAAGTGGCCGCCGCAACCTGATGCTCGTGGATGGAGGGCAGCAACCGCTCCTCGGAAACGCGTGCCACGGATCCGATCGGCCGATGATTTTTTCGCCTGCTCCAAGGGCTTGGACCAGCTTGTGAGGCACGATACGATAAAGCTCGCACGACAAAAAAGCTGAGTTGAGAGGGCCAATCAGGGCCAGAGCCCAACTGAGAAAATGTATGTTCACTATTTGAGGACAGCCAGGAGCAGGGCCCAAATACTAAAGCTGCATTTCCACTCTCTCCTTTTCAGGGGAGAGAAAACCAGTGAACATGGTCCCACTAAGAATTGTCGCATGGCTATCTTGAAACTGAAACACATGTTGCTTCTATCTTCTAGATCTATGCCACGCGCCATTGTGCACCAAGCCCTTCCCGCTTGGCAGGTCGCCTCTTCGGACATTCTGCATGCCGCTACTTCCTAGTTGCCATCACTCAAACATGGTGCATGGACTTAAATCGAGACTCATGAGAATTTCATGTCCACCAATCCCAAAATGCGGAACGCTCCTTCCGCTTCCTTGCATTGAGAAAGGAGCCAAGGAGCCATACAACAGCTCAAGATGTCCTGCACCAAGCCTTGCAGCCGCTGCCTCACGGGCTACATGCGAAGCGCCAGTGCTTAGCTCGCGAGCGGGAAAGACACACGACACCCTGGAATGTATCTAGTGATGCATTCATTGGATGTAAGTGATGTAGATGTTGCTAAAAGGTAAAAAGCGACGTACTTGGGGATGTAGGTGATGTACTGGCAGAAACGGATAGGTTGAGCAACCAACTGTTGCATGTCTGGGAATGCAAACAGAAGCTGCCCTTCTTCCGAAGGCCCTGAAACAAGAACCTACAATTACAATGTGCACAGACTTAGATCAGCGTCCCCTGCCAGAAGTCCTTATAATCCGCTCCCCCTATTAATGAATGACCATTAATAAAAATGGAAATCCGGGGCCCGGGACCAGATTTCCACTCCGCACAATTGATTTTCCATTGCGCCAATACTAAACCAATACTAAAGTCTTGGAATCCTTATTAGGGGGCACTTTTAACAAGCTTCCAGCCCCACTTTTAAAAAGGTGGGTTCCTCAAAAGATGAATTCCCTAAAAGGTTGCTTCCCCAAAAGCTGGCTTCCCCAAAAGGTTGGGTCCTCTAATTATTGGGGTGTCCCTCAAAAGAAAACATGTCCCCAAAAGCTGTCTAGCTGCGACTGTCTCTCTCCCGTACATGCTGGCTAATTAACCTGCCTGGCTGCAAAGAAACAACCAGTAAACTGAAAAACAAGTAGAATGATACATCAAATTTCCTTATTAAATCGCTTACTCGCGGACCTTACAATTCAATCCATTTCCTCCAAATCCTATGTGAACCCTCACATTGTTGGAAAAGCAAAACAAAAACCAACCCCAAAAACCCCAATCAAATATATATATTTTTGGGGGGGGGGATTTATTTATAATAGGGGGGCCGTATTTATTAATAGGGGGAAGAGATTATCTAAGACTGCAAACATTGACAAAACGGGGCCCATACTTAACCCCATGAGCAGACCACCTGGAAACATGCGTTTCACTGGGAGCTGGGCCCAACACATGCACCGTCTTCGCGTTGGCTGCCTTTTAGCAGCGTCCCGCATAGATACCCCCAGCTTGACAAAAGAATTTGGCCTCTATTCAAGGTTGGCTGAAAGGGAAATCAACAGGATACCCACCCTCAAAGGACACCTGCCTAGTGGATTTCCACGAAACAAAAAAATATCCCGAAAGAAGGAAAGGAAGCAACTGTGCAACTGGGCACAATCAATCAGCTGGGATGTGATAAACCCAATGCTACGAGTACCTAGTGCCGATCAGCCTGGGTTGTGTCCATCCACTTGCCCGCAGCACCAGCGGGTGCAAACCCGTTCACGCCTGCCAAAGGTGACACTCACCAGAAGCGCCCGCAAGGAGGCGGCATGGGCGCCACGCTGAAGCTCGGTGATGCGCGTGAGCTTCTCTTCGTTTCCTGCGGAAGAATGGGCACATGGGCCACGCACTGAGAAACGGGCAAGAGACTGCTTGATGGTGTGTTGCTGCATGGCACTTGTTCATGAGCATGTGTGTTTGTTCGCTGGCTTGCTTGCTTACCTGGTTGCTTGTTTGGTGGTGTGTTTGTTTGTTTGCTTGCTTGCCTGCCTGTGTGTATACTTGTGTGCGAGCGTGCTTGCTCGCTCTCTTGCTCCGTTGCTCGTGCACACCCTCGCATGTGAGCGAGTTTTCTAAAACAAACAACTCACAAACACTGCAAAATACAAATTCCCTTCCAACATTGACATGGATCCATGCGCTTTCAGCTGCCAAGAACGCACGCTGACAAGCTGCGACAAAGCTGGCCCTGCTTCATGTCGTAGGTGTTTGTCTTCCGTTGATTCCTTAGCCGGGCATGTCTCCACATCGCGCTGTGTGTGTGTGTGCCTGTTTCGGAGACATCTCCAATTACATGGATCTCGCGCGGTTCCCTTTCAGGACCAGCCAAGCAGGCGTCTCAACTGCTTGACACATTCCCATACCACCCCACAACATCCCCGGGGCCAAGTTCCTAAGTACCGCTGATTGGCCCCCGATTAGGGGGGGTGGGCTTGAGCTTAGTTTACTATGGAGCCTGCACGCAAGTGTTTCGAAACAGCCCTACGTGGCATGGAAGCAGAACTGACGTCCTGCTTGTTTGCTCCAGCCCTCAAGTATCATGAGACATCCCAAATCGAAGAGCAAACAAGTAAAATATGTCAAGTAAGCAGCGATGATGATGAAGTCAAGTTTGCTCTTGCGTAATGTCCTTACTTTACTCCAGGGCAAAATTAGATGATGCGATGCCAGGCGGTGTACCACTCAATGATACTAGCATAATTGCTACTGCTTTACCAGGCACTCGATCAAAAGTGGATCGCAGGAATGCACAACTATACCAAAAACAATATTATGCTCGCAGCGCACACCCAATGTGGTCATGAATTATCATGGGTCCAAGCGCGCAAGCATTCAATCGCTTGCGATGTGCGCTAGTATTGGCCACCAGACACACAACACCACATTTCAGGAACACTGATGGCAACACATCATTTCGCTGATGGATACTGGGAAGACTCTTAAAACACTCGGTTGAGCAAAAGTAAACATGTCCACGACCCCAAACAAAAATTGAGGGAGACAGCAGCATGCCCGCTACACTGCTGGGCAGGGCTGTGTCAATGTGGAATCGGGTGCTCCTTGAAACTGCGAATCTTCCCTTCGAGAACCAGCAAAATAAGCAAAATGGTTTTAGTGCTTGTTGAAACACAGGCCACTCATGCCTCGGGTTAGCTCCCAGGGCTCCAGGACTGTGAACCCTTGCGTTTGACTGCGAGTTGGCCAATGACCCAACCATGGGACACCCACAGCAACAATCATACTGCAATCTAGGCATGTCAGAAGGCATCCATGGAATCCAACGTGGGCAAATTGGAATCATACTCATATTACATATGAATCTGGATAAACAACAAGTAAAAAGCATGCACATGTTACCTAAGGCTGCCCAACGAAGCATCAGGAATGCAATCCTCAGCAGCCTTCAGGATGCAACAAAAATCCACAGGATGCTTGTTGAACTCTCAGGAAATATCAAAGAACCCCAAATCTGCGAATTTTGCAGGCACTCGGGACGAGTCTCTCTCTCGCCCTCTCTCTCTCTCTCTCTCCCGCTCTCTATCTCTCTCTCTTTGAGCCCAGACACTCCATGTATGCAAATTTTCTGAAAGCTCACATTCTCAGCCTGGCACCTTTCCCGGGGACCCGACCTTTCTTCCAGCCCCAAACTTGTTGTTTGACCTCTTCCCGTTTAACTTTTGGTTTACCCAAGGAAGGGGGTCCAAGCCGGGTTTGGGAACTGGTGCCTTGAACACCCGTTTTGTGTACGGTGTTTGATGCCTAGTTCATCACTTCAAAGACAAACCCCTGATACAACAACTGGTAACGTTCCATGATCCAACCCCCACACATTTGGAAAAACTGCAAACCTATCACAACTTGAATCACATTCATGAAAATGTGTTGGAAGAAATGAAGTTTGGTATCACTGCAATCCAAATTTTCCACAACCATGGTTTCTCAAAATAGGGGTCCAGCCCGTCTTGGGTTGGTGGCCAAACTGGGTGGTTGTTGGAACCAACTTAGCACCCGAGTTCCCCAGCCATGGGCCGAAGCTGATCGAGAACCAACCGTTACCACAAAAACTGCTGCTACAACATCTTAGAAACCAACCGTCTTCTCACAAGTCCTAGGGAACACCATCGAGAACCAACCCTGGTCTCCCTCGCTTTTGCAAGGCGCAAAGACTTGGAGAGGAGCCCAGAGCTCCGGGCGCCAGCGCCGTCGGGATCCAAGGCTGCGGTGCCCAGGGCGTCGCGAGCGCTCTTCACCTCCTCTTCCAAGGATCCGAAAATTGAACATGGGCGCGTCTTAAAAAACCTTTCACTTAAACAATCCCCACACAAGCAATTGGCTTGGCTAAACTAGACTGCAACCACACAGGGGCCAAAGAGTCAATCCGACTGCGCGCGGCGACGTGGCCGCAAAGGAACTCAGTCAAACGAAAATGCGAACATGGCAACTTTGACCCCAGTCAATAGCGGCCTCAGCTACTAACGAAATGAAACTTCCTGTTTGGTGAACAGAGTTTCCAAAGCTTGAAGCCATGGTAGATTCCCTAAAAAATGCAAGTAGCCGAACAAAACAAGCCCTGTGGACCACAATGCATCGGGGTTTGAGGCTGGACGTGCTTAGCGCACACTCCTCCTGCCACCAAACAACTTGTGAACCCGTCCTGACGAAGCCGTTGCACCTTCCTCAGGAACTAGGCAACCAACATAGGACAGCGTGCGTCCATGAGCACAAAAAACAGATGGATCAGAAGTGATGTCTACAAGCGTACAAGGGTTCTCCAAAATCTGAGGTGATTGTTGCTATTGATTAGTCCAGGCATTCGTTTCAGGCCAGTTTGAGATTCACGGCTTATCCACAGTTATGGCTGAATAAATATTGGGGTTGAACAAGGCAGCATGGTCTCTTGCTTAACAAATGGCAATGGTACGGTTGTGTCGTGCGGGAGCCGAAACTGAACAACAGTGCAAATGCCAACGCCAGATCAACGTCATTGCACTCAGATACACATTCAACACCAGTCTTCCCAACGCCAAGTCAGCAGCAGCTCTTGTCTGCACTATCACCATGACTCACCCGCCTGAAACAAGGGATCACTCAAGAGAAGCACCTCCAACATTGGTGAGGGCAAGCTTCAGGTGAGCTTGCTACTTGTGCTGGATTCGCGAATCAGTACAAAGCGAGAATTCGTTCTCAGGATCTTTCCACAAACAATTGACAGGTGTGTGTGTGTAAGAAAGATGAGGTGGACACCTGACGAATAACCACCTCGAATCCAAAACACCTGCTTTCCGAGGCCAACTGCCTAATACTGCTTGCAATCTAGACAGCTGACCAGCCTCCGCGTGGGTATCGTGGGGATCTGCCAACTGGGAGCAAATAACCGACTCAACCGAGCTCAGTGAAAGGGGTGTGTTCCAGGGCGTTGGGAAGTATCCGATGCCAATCCAGCGTTGCAACTCGAACACAAGCCATAGTTCAACGCCACTCCTGAAGCTGGCAATGTCCGCTTGTTTGCTTTCTAGGGAGCATTCGTGAAACGAGGACCTACTGCTTTGAAACTGTGCAATCCTTCCGCAAGCACCCATTTTCCGTCCGCTTCGTGTTTTCCAGTCATGCCTTGGGAAATCGCTCTTGCAGCAAATGCTTTGTGACGAGGTATAGCTGCGCGTAGGCTGGTACGAAGACCAAACTCAGGATCACACACAGAACTTGCGAAGTCTCTTGTACAGAGTGAGACCATGTCAGCTCAATGCTGTGCTGGTAAATCGTTATCAGCACCAGGATCCTGAGCTGTCAAACCATATTCGTTCCATTTGTCTGTGTGTGCTATTGTTTTTCAAAGTACCATTTTTTGGGTGGATTTCAGGAACAAGGAAACCACCTTGTCCGACGAACTTTTTCTTTTTCGGGGGTGGGGGGGGTCCCTATGTTGACACATTCCCATTTCCAGGAGGAGCCCTGGGTAGGCCGAGACGCCATCAAACTCGGGTCAACCATCCCCATGCAAATGACTCATTAAATGACACCCAGCTTGTGAGGTGTGAACAGACAGTTCCGAACTGGAGTTAGAAGGGGTCCCCCTATTTTGACATATATATATGTATATATACTATATATATATGTATATATGGGTATGGGTCAAAATTTAACCACCAGGGGAGCGCAGGTTTTAGTCCTTGGTTCCATTTACCAGCGTTCCACTTTGGGTACCCATTTTGACCCACAACCATACATATAATCAGCCATACATACATTATAATGTATATATATATATATATCTATATACATATCTCTGTGTGTATATATATATATATGTTTACAACTCCATTGCAGGTGGCAACATAAAAATAGCTGAGCGATCACCGCATTTTCTCCATCGCTCCAAGTCAGGATTTTGGGCACACCGACCACACAGGTCGAGGAAAGTCAATCAGGAGCACCGCGGTGAAAATAGTGAATCCCAAGCCAGCACCAGAGATGTGGCATCACCAAAAGAAAATCACTGCAGTCATCAAAGGATTGACCAGCCAACCATGCAAGGAAAAGTTCCGGGGGGCTTGCCCCGGGCGGGCTGGGTGGGGCCGAGATTCTACCACCCATTGCATTGGAAACATTGTCCCCATGTTTACAACTCCATTGCAGGTGGCAACATAAAAATAGCTGAGCGATCACCGCATTTTCTCCATCGCTCCAAGTCAGGATTTGGGCACACCGACCACACAGGTCGAGGAAAGTCAATCAGGAGCACCGCAGTGAAAATAGTGAATCCCAAGCCAGCACCAGAGATGTGGCATCACCAAAAGAAAATCACTGCAGTCATCAAAGGATTGACCAGCCAACCATGCAAGGAAAAGTTCCCTTCCAACTTTAGGAGCCACGGTCCAGGTCACGAAGGACGAGTGCAGACAAAGGCGTTGCGTTTGTCAAGACCCTGGAAATACAGCAAACACCAGCAAGGGGAAGGTAGCAGCAAAAGCCATGATCGAGGAACGCGAATCAGAAGACAAAGACCCAAGTATATTCAAGGCAGCGACTTCCTGCAAATAGCTTTCAAGTGTTGTCTGCGACCGAAGCCTCATCAGCCAAAGCAAATCAGCAACGGGTTTGCCAGCTCTGTAATGGAAAACGGCGCTTCCTCCTCTCAATCCGCCTGGCGTCAGCTTACGGTCAGCAGGAATGCCCAAATCGGCCAAAAGTAGGTTCCAGCGCATTCGGTACTGATAGTGAGAGGCCGGAAAAAGCCGGTCATCCATAGGGAGCTTGTTGAAGATAATGGTCAAAAGCTTCACAGCAACCTGGTCACTCATCTTCATATGTTGCACTTTTGCAGGTTGGCGGTGTAGGCTTTTAAACCTTCGCAGTCGAAGGAAAACTGCACCAGACAAATCACAGAGGTCGCAGGGGAGGACCAGATCCTGTCTAAGGCAGGAAATCACTTCACCAAGTCGGCCAGCGCCATAAAATGCAATCAGTGTAATACCAACCCAGGAAAACCACTTTCGCTGCCAGGCTAGGCAGCACATAGCCTTTACCAGGACCTCCGGAACAGGAGCGCGATGCGTCACTGGATATTGCACCTCCCATCGTTCAACCAGCTCCCAAGCAGATTGCATACAAGGGCGTGAAGCCGAACACCACCTCTGCGCTGCCAACAGCAGGTGCCTAAAATTAAACAAGGAGCCACCACGCTGGAAGCTGTAATCACCATATGCTCGGAGACAGGTTGGCAAAAAAGCAGGAACCAGGTGGAAAAGACTCTCAAAGTTTGTGTTCCCAGAGCGCAGGCGGCACCAGCTGAAGAAGGCTTCCAATTCGCGAGCTTGGATTGCAAGAGTGGCCGCGCTCAAGGTCTGCACCTCCTCAAGGGAAAAGGCATGCTGTTGCTTCCGTCCACGTGGCCCGGGATTTTGGGCCTCGCCAACACGCAGTGTGTCACATCGGCTGCAGCGAGCAACGTTCAACTTGCTCTTCCCGACCCATCCATCTGAAGTGCAAAGAGATGCTGCCAACATCCTGCAAAGGCCTCGCGGGTAGGGCTGAGCTACAAGCGTCCACGGGATCCTCTTTGCTGCACACATGCCACGCAACTGCAGGTGGGGTCTGGTGCACTGGCACCACATAGTCACTCCACTCAAAGGCCCGTTGGTTGCAATTCTAGTGGCTTTTCGCCACTTCGTTCCAAACCGGCAGAAACACAGACAGAACAGCTTCGGCCCATGTGAGTTCCTGAACTGTCGCCAAGATCTCTGACGTCACCACCATGACAAATCTGGGTTTTCGACCCACCAAGTCATACCGACAGATTCAACAAGGCTCACAAGGTGTCGCATCCAGTCTGAATGGCTGTTGCCCTCTTTGACCTTCTGACGCATCGAGTGACGTAGCCCCGGGATTCCACGAGGGTACTGGTGGCTTCGCACCGGCGGTGTGATTGCAACGCTGAAGCTCGAACAAATAGGAGCTGCACCAAGGGTGAGGAAGGCACCTAAGGAAATCAACTTCTCAATCTTTGAACGAAGCTCACATTGCAGCAAGTCCTCATTAGCAGACCTCGCGTAGTCGAATGTCAGCACCCACGGGCAGCCCAGCTCAATCATAGCTTTGGCGACGCCGCACCTTCCGCTGAAGAGATCAAGCCCACCAGGAAGTGAGAAGTCAGGACAATTGCCGGTGTAAAAGAACTGGCTCTTCTTGAACGTCCGCAGCAGCATCTCAACTTCAGTCATCTCCTGGTGATCGAGGCACACACCATCGGCATCCTCTTCAGCATTCACCCTTCTCGCACGAGCCCGCAATCTGTCGCCACGCTTGCGTCGTATCACACTGTTGGGTCTTAAGTCAACAGCATCGCAACTGTACAATTCGGAAAAATCAATGCCAGCAAGAAAACTGTGAGCACCATGATCCTCAAGCCACGCATCAAAAGAATCAAACCGCTGTTCGATCACATCATTCCACCATTCCGGGAGTGGGGCAGATACATCCGGTGTGTCAGCATCCCTTGTGGGTCCATCAGCAGGATTCCAGGACGAGGGAAAATACATATACATACCATAGATGTCAGAGCCAATAGCAGGAGCAACCGATCTCTTCATCTCCGCATTCAAGGATGAAGAAGCAGAGCGGCCTTTGATGACCGCCCCCAAGCAAACCTGTGAGTCAATGCCGTGCAATGCCCTAACACTCTTGTACTTCGAGGCGAGCCGACGTTCCTGCTTTAGGTGCGCTCGAAGCTCCAGGATGTTAATATGGGTTTTGCGACGGACTTCACACCTCCAATCGGTCTTGTACTGAATGCATCTCGCAAGCAGAATCCAGAGAGGGTGTGTTTGGTAGACCACCTCATCATCCGGCAGCTCATGGTCAGATTGAAGGAGACCATGCCCACGCTGCCAAGCCCGGATCGGAGATAACAGCTTGGTCCAGACACCTTTTCGCAGGGAAAAGCGAGACGCCTCAGCAACGATGTTTCGAGGGCAAAAAGCCGATACACCAGCCATCCAGCCTTCTGAGGCGTCCGTAGCAACGACCTGCTCAAGGAAGTCTGCCCGAAGGTTAACACAACTCAACGTAGCCAAGACCACCAACGACCCAAGTTCGGATAACAGCTCTGGGGAAAGCCGTATGATCGCCTTCTGGTCGGCAATGCCAAGGGGTTCAAAAATAAGATCAAGGATGCAAAAGAGCTTCCTCCGTAGTCCCAGCAATGAAACCCAACTTCCTGCAAGAGCCTCGATCAGGCTGACGGTGCAAAGGCCCAACGTCACCACCCGCATAGTCACCAAGCACATAGGCCAGAGGCGTAGCGAAGACGGTCGAAGAAGTCCAGCAACTCCGTCAATTTCAAGGCCCCAAAAACGACACTTGTCCTCATTGGCGAAGGCTTTCTTCGGGTTCGATTCAAGGCCAACAGAGGTGTAAGCATTTCTCGCGGCCGCCATCCTAGCATCAGCTTTTGTAGCGACCTTGGAGTTCCGCTGCGTCTTCAGGATCTGTTCGAGGACGATCAAATCGTCCACAATGATCCCCACTTGTAGCAAGCCCCGCGGTACAGAACCTCGAAGGGAAAGCAATTCACCCACGGCAGCGACCCCGAACTGCAAGCGCATCGCCAAGTGCGAACATTGCGCAAACTCTACAGCGCAACAATCGCCCATGGCCAGCGTGGAAAGCCCAACCTCAACGACATCATCGGGCCAGCTGAAGTGCTCTCCAAACACATATTTGGCTTCAGCCAAAGTCAGTGGCGAGCACAGGGTGTTGCGTGAAATGCGTTCCTCGTTCACACGGAACTGATAGAAAAAATCACGTAGGTCCTCGCCACTGACGCAAAGGTCGCAACCAGCTTGGAGATAAAGGCCGCAGAGAGATGATGCGGAGGCCATGCCAAGGCACCATTTGCGCTGCCCGACGTCCAAAATATTGGCAGGCCTGCCATCCAGCACCATCCTATCCCTCAGCTGATCCTTGCCAACTGCGAAGAGACCAGAAGTGTAACCATCATAGAAGGTCCCAGTCCGGATGGGCTGAAGGCGGCCGGAAAGTGCCAGTTTGCGGTACAAGTCGAGCTTGTTCCGCTGCGTGGCTCGCACAGACACTTTTGGAGGAATTTCATCAACATCATCAGGAGACAGGCCAGTCGAAATGGGTCTGTCGTACCGCTCAAGGGTGCAGTCATCAAAGAACTTCCGGGGGTCAAAGCGTGGAGGGCCAGGAAAGTGCAGCCTGTCTGCAAACAAAGGCTTGGCCGTGACGACAGGGTCATGATCTGACCTCCCAGCAATCGATCCACAACGTAGCTCACGGTGCTCAAAAACACAAGTCTTGCTAGGCTTCAAAGGGGCGTACATACCTTCAAAATTGTGCAAGTCGGCAGTGGCACGGCCCAGGACGTCCATACACTTCTGAAAGTCCTCAATCTTCGTGGCGGCCCGGCCCATGTCAACCGCCTCAACACTAATTGGAAAGTTTCGATCAACGGCAAGGTGTTCGATCATCCGGACGACTGACCACTGTTTTGCATTAAGCCTGGCACCCAGTCGCAGTGACGCAGGAGCAGCCGCAGGACACCCCAGAAAATACCAATCAAGTACAATAATCTGAAGGCAACAAAGGCGCTTGAAATGTGCGCTCTCAACCCGCTGCGCCGCACCCGCCCGGAAAACCTCCGGGTAAGGCACCGGACAAGGCCAGACCACACCAGCAATTGACGTACAGGCATCATTAACCTGGTGGGACTGCACGATGGAAAGCAAAAAACCCTGTAGGCCGCATTTGGACTTTAACAGCAACCTGGGCAGCGAATTCAAAAAACCCGGAACATTGACGGTGGCGGCATCAGACCCGGGCAGCTTAGGCAGAGGCCCCGGCTTGGTGCAGCGATCACCATCAGCAGGCAAAGGCTCATCACGAGCCGTCATGCATCTGAACTCTTCTCCGCAGTCGTGGCCGCCTTCGGTTTGGCCCCGGGGCGGCTCTTTTTCTTGGCGTCTGGGCTCAGGCTGCCGCTCTCCTCTGCAGGCTTTCCAGTGCTCCTGCCAATATTCCTTCGCTTTGTCAGGTATTCGTCCTGGTCTCGAAGGTGGGATATCGACACTTCTGCCCACCGTGCATCCAGCAGCTTTGAAAATGGCGAATCTCCCTGCATCACATCGGGGGGCACATGTTGGGACGAGACTGAGCTCTGCAGCTAGCGTCCACGAACCTCGATCTACTGACGCCTGGTCGATCTGCAGCAGACCCAAACAGGCACGGGCTCTGGCCTGAGGTACATTGTTGGCCAACAGAGAATCCAGAATGCCCGCAATGCACCACGAGGAGTAAGCCGAGGATTTGTAGGACCCAATTCGAGAACGAAATTCGACCCACGCCCGTGCGCTCAGACCTCGGGGTTGGCAGCCTGGCGGCAGGGTCTGCGAGTTCAGGTCCTCGAACATCAGTCTTTCGATCAGCAGATGAACTTCCTCCGGATGCTCTTGGAAAGCGCTTCGCAACGCCCGCCTTGCCACAGCTGTCTTCTTGCCTGAGCCCAAGCTTGTAACATCTGACCCTGTCGCTTGCACAGCGTCGAGGGCAGAATCTAGCTTTGACCCAGTTGTCTTCTTCTGCTTCTCCTCGGTCAGCAGCTCCATGATGTTGGTCAGCTTGGCAAGGGATGAAGCTAATGGGTCTTGAACTTGAGACCCAGATCCTCCGACAGGGGCTTCCTCCATCTCCTGCTCCGTGGCCGAACCTCCGTCCTCGGACAGAGGGTCCAGAACGATGTTCGCATGCACATCTGCTGTCTTCCTTGCTCGCGCATTCTGCAAGACCACCCTCTCCATCTGGCCCAAGCTCTCGTGAGACACACCGGCCTGCAGAGCAGCTTGAACAACTCCTGGATCGAGGTGAGGAAAATCCATCGTCTTCAACGCAGCTCCTGACGACGAAGAAGGTTTGGCCTTCAGCTTTGTTGGCATGGGCGCTGGCTTCGTCTTGGTCGGTGTCTGATGGGCCTTGGAACGCTGCATCTGCAGGAGCTGCTGCATGCTCGACTGCAGGCCATCCAACACTGACTCCACATGTCCCATCCTCGTCTCGAGGTCCGCAGATCCAGGCCCGCCGGCACTCAGAGGTCGCCCGTCCACACCCACCAGAGGCTGATCGTCTGGGTCGATGGGATCGTACGCTTCCTCCTCTTCCTCCTGCGCAGAGAAGAATGCAAAATGGTCGTTGGCTGCGGCAATCAGAGAGGCGGCAAGAGGGATGTAAAGTTTCTCCCCTTGCTGCATGAAAAAGTAATCGCACTGAGCTCCATCTGAAAACACCTCCACATCCGCTAGAAGAGTCGGCTCGAGAAAACCGACCCACAACTTCATCTTCATGCCTTCTATCTGTGTCATAGGGGAGTCTGAGTCGGCTACCAGTACTTCGACTTGGGTCACCTTCTTCAGGGCTCCTGAAACAAGTAGCCGGCGATTCACATTGCGATGCCATACTGAGTGGGGCACAGCAACCAAAGGTCGGTTTTCAAATTCCGAAATAGCAATCAATTGAAACTTGATGTCACCAGAAGACAAATGGCTGGTGAACAAAAGCACTTCAAAGTCTGAATTCAGCAAACCTTCCACCAGCAAATAGGAAATGCCAGTGGCAGTGTCGTCGTCCTCCCCGCTCATTGCTCCACGAAGCCGGGCCAAATCAGTCCAGCTGCAGCCACCGCCCGTCGCGCCTCACGCTCCGAAGGGAAGCCCACGTAGATTGCGTTCCCGGACTCGCCGTTGCGCGTGCACAGGTTCTTGCAAGGGGTGAAGGACTTGAAGACCTTGACCGGAGAGTAAATCGAACCTGGATAATCACGCACCACCACGTAGATCCTGGAGCCGAGATGGTTCTTCTCACGCCCACTCAACCCACGATGGCGACCCTCCAAGCACCTATTGATCCAACCACCAATCTCTTCAGCAATTGCCTCGCGCTCAGGCCAAGTCAATGAGCCAGAAGAGCCGGGAGCACCTCCGCGCACTTGCGATCCAGATTCACTGCTGTCAGCAGTGCCAGAATGACGCAAAGCAGCTGTAGAAGCTCCCGTTGCGTCTGCACGACTGACCAGCGAGAAAGAATCCACAGACCGATCAGACTCCCCACCACGCACACTTGCCGCTTGAGACCCAGAAGGGCCACGAAGCACCTCACGCAGCTGACGCTTGAGGCCAGAGACGCTGAGAGCCAGCCGTTGCACTTCTTCTCGGAGATCCGCTACCTCGTCTTCCAAGGTAGTGATCCGGTCACTCATCAAAGGAGCTTGTACAGCTCCTTTCGCGAACCAGAAACTGATGTAGCCCCGAAGTGGTGTTGAAACCAAGTCACAATGCACCAGCGCAACGTGAAAAACCACTCAAGGATGGTGTAGATCAGGAGCCCGCAGATCAGGCCAAGCAGAAAGCTCCAGGGTTCCACCACCTGACCAGTGCTGGATGATGCAGGGTCGAAGAAAGGAGGCAGCGGATATTGCTCTGCCCACCCAAGAAGTTTCAGGGCAAGGGCTACGCTGGATCCTGCCGTCACACCTGTGGTGACAGGCCTAAGGCTCATGAGCCGAGATTCTACCACCCATTGCATTGGAAACATTGTCCCCATATATATTTGTATCGACTTGATACTGCACCGCAATGCACGAACATGGAACTGCCCTGATGCCCAGGAGCATTGAGGTCATTAGCAGCCAATGCTCAGAGCGGTTCCAAGCTTCCGCCTCTCAAACTCAGAAGCCCAGTGGATGTCCATGAAAACTCATCGGAGAAAAAGCTATTGGCAACCTGCTCTTCTCGTTGATTTCAATGAAAGAATGGCAATAAGGGCACCGTCTTTGTTGGTTGCTTGCAAAGGGGGTTGCGTCCCCAAGAAAAAAAACATAAACCATTCCTCGCGGTGTCTGGGCTTGGCCTTGTAGGGCTCGTACTTCAACTCCAGCACCAAAGCAATGACCAGTACCAAACCCATGCCTTCCGACAGGCATTTTGGGCCCAGCGGGCATGAGCCTCAAACTTCCCCTCAAAGGACATAGGCAAGTTACGTGGGCCTGATGGGATTTGCAAAGTTGGGTGGGCACTCCATGTTGTCCTCGCCAAATTGACAGACTCCCAAGAGCTTTGTCAGGTCACATCCGTTGGACATGGACGCTGGCAGAAGTCTGCGCCCTGAAGTTGAAACCCATGGGAACAGCACAATTTGGTGGCTCTCTTTGGCGACCTGCTTGCAAGGGGGCGCAGTATAACCATTGGGTTGCAGAAGGGGCCAAAATGGCACCGACCAACAAAAACAGCTTGGCAACTTTCTGTAGGCAATGCCGACAATCAGCCCATAAAGGATATGCAAAAATAGTGAGGCCCCGGTTTCTGCGCACAATTTAGTAAAGCTCCCAATGCCCCTCTCATGCGAAGCTACCAGTCATGAGCGTGAACGGGTGCAGGGTCACGGGATAAGCAGAGCAAAGCAAGGCCAGCGCGATCTTCCGCACCAAGCGCGTCACCTCCCACCATCTGAGCTCCTCCTGGCCAGCTGACGGGCAGGGGTGGTACCTACACTTGGTATCCCCCCAAGCGGACCCATCCACGACGCATGTAGGTTATGAAAGAACACTAACTAAGAAATGGCACCCTCATGTTTGCACAAACCGAACAATAATATTAAGTAAACAAAGGCACAAAATCAGGCCGGGTTAACAGAACATACTGAACCAACCCACAAACTAACAAATCTGCGCGAGAGTAAACTCTTCTGCGAGTCTTTCGCAACTTCACGCCCGTTCGTTTGCAGCGTGCGCTCTGGGACCATTGTCGTTGCCACTGCAGTTGCTCTTGCAAACGCAGTAGCCACACCGTTCACTTGCACTGGCAGGCTTACAGCTACGGGAAAAACAGCCAGCCGCTTATTCACTATCATTCACCCTCCTTTCGATTTGTGCTTGCTAGGACTGGCCCGTCCTGGGCCCGATGCGTAACCTTACAACAAGCTCCAGAAGCTTTCACCTCGCGGCTCTTGCTCCAAAATAGCCCATCTTTTATGTTGGCACCATTCTGAGCACAGGCAGGGAATCAAGGACGCAAGTACGGTGCTGAGAATTTCTCTGTCTACAAGGGAGTGGGCTGCAAATATGTAAGTGCACGATCATGCCTCCAAGAAGCTTTCGCGAAACCTTTCGCGACAAACAATCTCTTTCGCAGACTCCAGCACGGATCTTGCACAACCACAATCGCCTGCGGTGCTATGGTCCTCCAAGCACGTGCCATTGTGCCGGAGTGTGTGCACTCCAATCACAACGGTGGGCTGGTAAAACCCACTTTCTGTTAGGTACCTTGACCTGCCACAGAAAAACACACGCATTGTCAGGTGGCGTAAGTGGATAGTTGATGCCGATGGTGCGGCAATGCGTGACACACTTCTCGTTAAAGAGTGTGTGGAATACACAAGTAGCTCAGTCGTCGGGCGCCATTATATATGGCGTATAATCGAGCCGGAGGTGTGGTGCGCCTCAAGGTCGAGTTCAGTTCCCTGTGGAGACTGTCTTCATCGCTCGCTGAAGTTTCAGAACTTCAGGGTCATTGACGAAAAGTGGATCTACCTGATTGCTGAAGGGTAGGTCTTGAATCCTCACCTTGGTGCTGCTACTTGTCATACTGTACTCCGAATCTATCTTGTCCAAGTCTGAACGAATGGATGAAACATCATCATGTGTGAATGAATCAAGGATGTCCTCTAGCAAGAATACTTCATTGTCAAGTGGCTTAGCCTTGAGGAATCTGAGAAGAATATGTGCCAAATCTTGGCAAAAGGAAAACGGATAGATCTGAGCAAGCTTGGTTCTGCTTCCATGGTTTCTAGTGTTGCCTTCAAGTGGCTGATGTTGGTGTTTCACACTCTTCCAAGAATTGGAACATCGCTTGACAATTTGTCTCATAACTTCCGGTGGAAGGTTACGCATGAGACTGGTCGGCTTCACACTCCTGAGATGTGTGTCGGGATCGCGTAGTCCAAATGCACAAAAATCTAGGTCACTCCAGGTGACCTGCGAGCTTCTCATCAGGTTTGTGATAGAATAAGGTGTCCAAATCTTGGACGTCTGCGGATTCTCTATGAAATGCAGTCCCTTGCTCATTTGGTATCTAGCAATGGATGCCACAAAATCTATCATTGGCAAGTATCTTGCTCTTTTCTTGGCAACGACCTTCTGGTTGTTGATGTTTTGCATTATCGACCGCGGTCCACATACAGGAGCTAGGAAAACGACATCTGGTTGTTCACGGATAATGTCCAGGACCATTTGTCTTCCCTTGGAAGTCATGACGTCGAAGCCTGATCGGCACGCCGACCTTGAGTCCTGTAACAGCGCAACATTGACTGAGTCTGGCACTACCTGCAAAAGCTTCAAGTACATGGATCTTGCCCTTGGTGACGCAGTTCCAATTTGCATGTTGCAAATCACAAGTCATATCTTCAGTTAAATAGGCCTGATGAGGATGAGGGTTCACCTTCAGGAGGAGCTGTCTTAGTGGTTAGTCTCTTGTGTGTCTTCGCAACCTCAGAATCATCTTCCGCCATAATGTCCTTGACAAGTTCATCCCCTGGAGAAGGTGCACCAAGTTGTGGTTTGGAAGGAGACAAAGTTTCGTTTGACCTTCAACAGGCGGGTTCCTAGATCGATTCCAACTGTGGTTCTATTTGTGGAAATGACCTTTCCTTTTAATTGCATACCTCCGGATCCCTTACTCGCATCAGGTTTAATCTTGGGTTTTTCTTCACTCCAATAGAAAATCTTGTCACCGATCGCAATGGGCTTGGAACTTAGTCGTAGGTGCTGAGCAAGATCTCTACGGACATCTTCTGATTGTCTGGCTTCTTGATAGGATTAGAATCGTAAGTTGTGGTGGTGTAGCTACCTCAAGTTGAACAGGCTCTGCTGGTCTTCTGCCGAACGCTAGCTCAAGTGAAGTCGCGCCGCCATATGTGACTGATAGGTTCCTTGCTGTTGCTGCTGCCTTGACAAGCTGTCGTACGTTCCTGCCTTCAAGGATGCTGGAGCTATGCCTGTCTTGATGGACTTCAACATCAATGAGACTTGTCTCTTGATGAGACGGACAGCTGTCTCTGCTCGATTTGGCTAAGGTGTGTTGGGACTTAAGGGGATTGGTCTTATGTCAAGACTGTTGTAGAATAACTCGCAGGTTGGAGCCATGAATGCTTGGTCTCCAACAACACATTTTGGCTGCAAATGGTATTGGTCAAAGTAGTTGCGCAACAGTGACATGTTGGATTCTTCAGCCGTTCTCTCAACTACTTCGGTAGTGAGAAGAGTCGTGGGTCCATCGAGGATCACTAGCACATTGATGCGCTCACCCGTTTTCAGGGGAACTTGACAGTGGTCAATGAATGTCAACTCTCCAAATTGTTCAGCTCTTAGACCGCTAGTCCTGCTGCGGGAAGGTGCAATCGCAGCCTTCTGACAGGGATAGATCTCCTTCAGCAAATGGAGTGCGCGGGTCCTGCGCTTGAACTGTTCTCCTGACATGTGGTAACGTTTTAAGGTGTAGTTGGTCCGGCTCACATCCCGCCGTGGATCAAAATGCAGTTTCGTTTGTTTTTACCCCTTTGGGTAGTGCAAACACTGATGTTTCAGCACTGTACCCATGCCAGCCAGATGGTATGAACACCCGCTCACGCGCACCCGCTCAGCACTGCACACATGCCAGCCCAATGGTGAACACCCGCTCACGCGCACCCGCTCAGTACTGTATCCATGCCAGGCTCGACTATGCTTAGTGCTGTTGTGGGTACTCAGGTTTTGGATAGGACTTGGAGCTCTTAAGACTTGGCTGCCGCCGAAGGTATGTGCCAAGCTTACCATTGACGGGTCTAGCCAGTTCCACCCTGCAGTGAAGCAGCAGGTTTTCCAGCGCAACCGGCGGCAGACGCTAGGTGCTCAAAACCCGAGCGAGTTTTTGCCTGCCCTGGAGGCTCTGCTGTGACAAGGAGCGCTGTTGGTGTTTGATTGGGAAAAAGCGGTGCATCGTGCCGATTTGAAAGGGGCACTGGTTGCTTGTACATGCCGAATGCTTGGCATGTGATCTTGTCGCATTGAGGTGTGTGCTCAACGGTCATGTGAAGATTTCGCATCTGATCTATGCTCAGCAGGATCGGTACCTGTCAATGTCTATGTAGGTAACCATAGGTGGTTGAGTGTTGAAGTACAGTTGGAGAGTCCAGTCAACCTTGGACTGTTGACCCTTGGCGAAGGTGAACCTTGTGTTGCAAGGGATGAAGTCGTAAGTCCTCTTTGTGGTGTCGAACGCGGAATCATGTCGTAGGTCAAACCATTTTGGGTGACTCTACTTCTACTAGCATCAACTTCTTCAGTTGAATTTGCTATGTGTGCCTTTGGACCATCTTCGTGGTGTGTGTGAAAGGAGCTGTTGCCCCAATCTGTGGACGACCAGGTGTAATTATTCCAATTCTCTGGGGCTGGCTCTGCCGATGAATCACAGGATGCTGTGTAGCGTCCTGGATCTCGGTTGTGTGTTCCGTGGCAAAGGTTTTGGACTTTCATTTTACTTTCTGGTCGGTGTCCTTGCCGGAAGCCTTCCCTTTATTGATCAGTGGTGATCTCATCGGCCATGTCGCCGGCCGGTGCTTTTGTGAAAGGGTTAAAGCTGCCTCATCGGCGCTCGCCCTCGCCTTTTCCTTTTCCTCCTTTTCCACCCTTTCCTGGTCTAAGGGTTCGTCGTTTGATCTTCTGTAGGACAAACGCATCATGGTCTTCCAACTGCCAGAATGACTCTTCATCTTCCAGTGGGCAAAAACCTTCCACTCCTTCTTCATCTTCGACCCAGAATCCGTCTTCTCCTGTATACTCTCCTGTTTCAAGAATATAGAAGGTTCGGGATCGACTTCCGCCGTTAGGGTCCTGAATGGTGGTTCTGATTGTGATGAAGAGTTCATGGTACTGTGTAAGTTGCGTCTGTCGTCCTGCGATGCATTGTTGAAATACTGCAGGATCTGTTGGGATCCAGGATTACTGCATCTGGGATGATAGGTGCAGCCGCTCCTCGCGCCTGTCCTGCCATCATCTCAGGGAGGCATAGAATCGAATCAAGAAACGCAATCGAAGCCCTTTTGAGAATCGAATCGCTTCAAACCGGTCCGGGACCGAACCGTGTAGAACCGAACCTGTGCATAACAGCTGGTGCTAAGAATCGACCAAGGCAAGAACCGAACCTCTCTTGAACCGGGAACGTTACACAAATTTATGATTGAGATTGACATGGCTTTGCTCACGCCAGAAAGGCCGCTGCGTAACTTTTCCCGCCTTTGGTCTCCTCCTTCCCATCCCCAGAAATTCTTCCAAAATTTCCGGGGGTAGACACCGCCGGCTTCTTTTGCTTGAGTTTCAGACACGGACTAGCAACCCCTCTTTCCAAGACTTGCCGGAAAGAAAAGCTTTGACCGATTTATCCCATGCCCCTTAGAAATCCTTCTTCCCATCCCCGGAAATTGTTC